AATATTTTTGTCCTCTTTCGGCGAATCAAAACAGCTACAGAAATACCAGGAGTTCCTTGCCAACTTCAAGTGAAAAAATTTCAGTCTACTACAACGCAGCTCATACAAGTTTCCATATAACCTGGAGTACCACTTTGTCGAGTTTTTATCAAGTTGACTGTATTCGCTCAGCAGTGAGACCGTATTCGGATATCGTGTTCGACAGTGTCTCGTGCAAGCGCTCGACACCAACGGGGTCGACGGAGTTTCTTGCATGACTGGTGACTTGAGCCATTCGGCGGGTTAAAATCGGGTGACGCTGACGGAAGCGCTTGTACTAACCACTTGACAATCGTGTGTGGGAGGGGTCAATCTTTCGCATCAGCTGTGATGCCTTGATCATGACTGCTTGACGATCGAGAGAGTATCCATCACGTTGCATTGCCGCGATCCAGGAAATAAGATCATCTTCGCAACTCTTTGGTAGCGCAGTCTTCGGACCAGGACGCCGTCGCGCGCGGTCCTTTCTGGCCTTCTCAGCGCGAGCATACATCATCAGTGTATTGTAAGGTATATGTGTGGCACTTGACACTTGCTTCCCACTAGTACCATCGAACACACGACGGACGGCATCGTCCAAGTCCTTGCGTTTGTACCGGAACCGTGGACGTGCCATCGTGGCGCCAATTGACAAGTGCCGTATGATATTATAGAGGATTTGCCGCGACATTTTTACGCTCTCGGATTGGTTGGTTTTGGAGCACAAACAATTGGTCTCTTACGTTATTGGTAGATCTTCCAGTGGAAAACAATGCATTTCAACATTTCAAATGAATGATCTCGTTTATCCCTAGAATGTACGCTGTACTGTATACCACGAAACACAACTTGAGGTCTAATGAATTCCACAGTCACTTTCACGCTGGCGAATGTCGTCCATGACAAGGGTCGACTCGGACGAGGGCAGCGCGACTTGTCGCCGACTCCGCACGAGTACAACGGTGGCACACACTGTCGCGACACACCCAAGCGCAATCCCGACGATGCCAACCGGAGTTGGCGACGATGATGTGGAGGAGGAGTCGCTTTCGGAGAACAATGCCACCGATGCGACTTGGACAGGTGCTTCCGTTGTATCGGTGGCATTGCCTGCAGGTGGTTCGGCGTCGCCAGAGCCGTCGTAGGCATCACCGGCATAATCGACATCGTCCTCTACGTTGTCGGTGATCGTTGGCTCATCATTCGACGATGGCAAGGGAATCGTTTCTTGTGCTCGAGCATTCTCGTCGTCGTTGAGTGGCCTACGATATTGGACTCCTACGACAGCTGCCTCTTCTGGGGACGGAGTGTTGGGAAGTGCGATCGCGGTCTCGTCCATGGCGGAGAATGCATGGTCAAATTCTGCTTCGGCAAACTCTGACGGCTCGGCGCCTGCTTGGGGAATGCCAACGAGGTTGAAGGCATTGCCTGCTCTGTCGCCAGGTCGAGATACCCCGATCATGTTGTTCCCGTGGCCATCTCGAGCCGCCGTAAGTGCCGCGAAAGCCAAACACAGCGACGCGTGAACAGTTCGTACCATCCTTTCGCAAGAAAAGCCAATGGCGGCGGCACCAACTATACATACCCATCCATCTCTGTGCTTCCAATCCACTGCAGGACCAACCAGGGGGGTGCTATCCAGCCACCACTCTGTCCCCCTCCGCAACGCAGTAAATTCCAGACTGCTTGCGCATGAAGCCCATCAAGACGAGGCCAACGGCGAGGCGTATCATGTCTGCCCCTTTTCCGGATACATCCGCATAAACTGAATTGAAGATGCAACCTTTGTAGCATGATTCCGATGTACATCGTCCCGCCTGGTCGTGTAGCCCACAGACCGGATAAAAATGTATGTATGTTTGAATAAAATTCGTTCTGTCCTCTCGAGTTGTTTGAGTCGAAGGTGGTCTGTCATGCCAGGCGGACACAGTGGACATTTGAGCTTGTGAAGCTCGTCGATCCCGCGACATGCTGCCGTCTGCGTCATTGAGGACATCGCAATGCCGCTTGCGCATGGCAGGATGGTCCTGTCTGTTGTCACAGTCGAAAAAACGCCTCGAGTGTCCAGCAAAAATAGCTGCACAGGTCGCCCTGGGAGACCATCGGCGGTTTGAATGCACCCAGGTTGTGGCGCCAGCGAAGTCATGAACCAGAGCGAAGAAAAGTGGGGGCATCGACGGCAGGCTCCGCCAACGTCCAAGGAGGTGACCAAGTTCGACACGATGATGGCCGAGGTCGACGACGCCGCCCCAGACGACTCGAGTGACGCGAAAGCCCTGGACGCTCGTTTCACAAAGCAGCTGCACTTGGCCCGCGCCGCCATCCGCGACAACTGCGGCGACAGCGACGACGGCAACGACGGCTCAGACGATGAAGTAACCACAGGTACGACTTGCTTGAAATGCTGTCGCTGTTGTTCTGACGAGGGTCCATCGACAGCGCGGGTTGCCCACGCCAAGGAGGGGTACATGCTCGCTGACAGGAGTGCCGATAAGTGACGAACGGTCGAATAGGAGCTTTGACGTGTACCGGACGACGCTGCCCGAAATCAGCGTCGACCTAAATGCATTGCGCAACTTTGTAACTCGAGCGCCTGCAAAAGGCAACAAGGCCGTCCAGGTAACGTGATGCGATGGCGTTTGGTCCGTCGGGACGATCCTTGATCGATGCTCATGCCATGATGCAGTGCTACGTCGAGCGAGACAAGAGCGGGGTTCATATGATGCGGCCTGTATATCGCCTCTTTCTCGAAGATGGCAAACAGTTCTTGCTCGGCGCTCAGGTCTGGCGAATGGACGAGCGCATTGAGACTCATATCGCGCGATGGGTTGTTGTAGAAGCGGATCAAGAACAAAACGTCCAACTACCTCCTGTCCATGGACAGGTGCCCAACGGACCGACGCAGCGGGCTCATTGTCGGCAAGCTGCGGGGCAACTGGGTACGCCATCCTCTCCTCGATCGATCGCTGACGTCGTCGTCGGCGGCGGCGTGTAGTCGGGGGCGTCGTACACCATGTACGACCAAGGGCTGAATCCGTCCAAGACGTCGCTGGCATCCAACGTCCGGTGCATTCTCGGTGTTGTCGACTTTACGTACGACAAGATGGGCCCTGGGCGGATGGCCGTGCGTGATGGTTTTGCCATGGAGGCACACCCTTGACGTTTCTCGTGGGTCAGATTCGCATACCGTCTGTGAATGCGGCGGGAGTGGCAACTCCGCTAAAAGACAAAGGCGGCGCCGACGACGCCAAGGGATCGAATGACGGTGGAGATGACGACGACGACCTCCTCGTCGTGAAGTTGCGTAACAAGGTGGGCATTGCGATAGTGTACGAGGTGATGCTCACGTCGGCTGTAGCGCCCCAAGTACGACGAGAAGGCGCGGGGGCACGTGCTGAATTTCAACGGACGGGTTACCATGTCGAGCGTCAAGAATTTTCAGCTCCAGTGCGACGGCGATGCCAACGCGGACGTCGTCATGCAGTTTGGTCGCGTGTCCTGTCAGCCCCCGGGGCCCAACGAGCAGTGTTCGTGCCACAAGCATATGTTTAACTTAGACTACAAGGTTCGCCCGAACATGGCACGATGGTCGTGACGACGTGTGTAGCATCCGCTGTCAGCGGTCCAAGCGTTTGCTGTGTGCTTGGCGACCATGGACGGCAAGCTAGCCGACAACAAGACATTCGACGCGCTCAGTGAGTTGGCCAAGCGAAAGTAGAACGTCGGGGTTCGTGGCGGCGGCTCGAAACGAGCTGGACATGTACCTCAGTCACTCACGGCCAGGACTTGGTGGACAGACATCAAATAGACGTGACCTTTTGTCCGCCAAGTGTGCCACGTCATTCCATCGGGAGTTGCTGCTTTAGATCGCTACACGTCCTCCGCCGTCCACACCGCGAACGTACCCTTCGCATCGACAACTGCGGACGCGATTCGATCGCAGCGTCCATGGCGGCGGCCGTCCCCCCGTCGACGACACAGGAAAGGTTCGATGTACGCGAGGTGGGGATGGCATTTTGGCGATACGACCCAAAAAGGTCCCTGCGACCATCACTTTCTTGTGTGTGGATGCGCTGCGCTACGTCCGTGGGAGGGTAGGAAGGCAGGTGGATGTACTGATGACGTGTAAGACATGTATCACCGATGCCAACGCAGCTCGATCGATCGACGGCGTCGCGGAGCGCAAAGCACCACGACAAGTGCAAAAGCTACGAAAGGTATGGTCCAACATTGGAGTGGTACGGTGATCCAGCTCGTTCATCCGACTCCATCGATGGCCGTACGACGTCTGCAGCGCATATCTGGGGCCAGTGCACCCCTATGGGCGGTGGTTCGACTGAGAGAAGCGGCTAGTTGGCCGCGGGCACGACACATTCCCACGCCTTCCAGCGCTATCCACGACGATGTCGAGAAGTTCCTTTCGTCCATGTGCACGTTGGACAAGTTTGTCCACGCAGCTGAGCGCACACCGTGCTCCGTCCAGGAGTGTGTGGATCCAATGTGACCGGCGCGAGAGGATGGCGACCAGAGCGACGTAACTGAGCACCTCGAGGTTGGTCAGCAGCGACGCAACACGTCGACTCGACTGCAGTGCATTGTGGTCACAAATGTGCCCCCCATCAAAGATCTTACCTTGCCGTATCAACTCGCGCAGCGCGGCAGCATGCCGACGCATTGGCAAAGCAACGTTAAACGACGTGCCCGTCGTTGGTGCAAAGCTTTCGTGCTGAGGTCCAGGCAGTGCCTGTAAGCGACTCGTGGCGCCACATCATGGGCTCGTTCGAAGTGCACATGTCGGAGTCGGGCAGTCATCCTCCACAGCTCTCGGAGATGCGGTGCCTGCTGCACGACGTTGTCGGGCCACGCGCTCACGTACGACCCGTCAAGCACTTCGACGAGCGGCACGTTGTGGACGAGCGTAAACAAGTTCGTCGACTCGAGCTGCGTGACGGAGCTCACATCCATGTGGGTCCGAGGACATGCCACGTTTTGGTGTGTTCTTGCAGGCAGGCCCGACGCGTCAAAGCCCCTCCGAGACAATTTGTCCATGCCGTCCGATACCAAGCTGGCAAATATGGCTGCTCATGGCGGCAGATACTTTGATCGCCAGCGCCAGGAGCTTGGCCTTCCCATGTGCCGAAGAGGTGTCCCGTTGGGGGGAGTTGGAGGGACCTTTCACGAGGGACACGCGCTGCCAACATGGCAGGGGGACAGCCTTGACAATGTCGTGCTGGCCATGACGCTCCACAACAAGCCTCGCGCTCAGCGCCCCCATGCATCGTTCACAAAGCTTGCGCATCTGCCAGCCACGTGTGCGACGTCTCGTCTTTTGTGCACATGTGAGAGAGTTGGCCAGGAAGCGGCGACAGTGCGGCAGGACGTGCATGGGACTCGAATTCAAAAGCAAAAAGGGGGGATTGCCCCGACATCATGCCCTGGCTTGTCGGATGCGAATGGGTGTTGCTGGCTCACTCGGACCGAACACCGCTTCGATACCGCTGCTAGCGGACCTGGTGTGCAGATGCGGCGACCGTTGTTAAGGCGGTGGGTCGCACGGCATGCCAATGGCGCAAGAATGTCGTGGCATCGCTGGCCACCCTTCTCACGAACGATGGGCCGCCTGCGTGCCGATCGCCATGAGGGGATCGCCGTGTAGCCGTGAAACGGTTGGGGCTATTTTCCACCATTTCGCTTGACGTGGTGTGTGCCGTCATGCCGAAGAAGGTGGCGTTTCGACCGATCCAGCAGCCCTCGTTTGGACTCATTTCAGAATCGTCGCGCGTCGAGCATGTCGTGCGACAGGCGAGTGGACCTCCGCCATCCACGTTGTCCCCGCATCGTCGACTGCGCACCGATCTTGGCCAGCGATTCGTGCGGATGATGGCGACGTTGACCGCATTGGCGCATTCGCATCTCCGCGACGACACCACCATGCCCACAATCGACGTTCCCCCCGTGCAACTCGCGCCACACACAAACGCCCCTCCTCCCAGACGAATGCGTGATGCGACGCCGTCGTGCACGAAAGAGTGCACACCCACAGACAAGCCACTGCAACCCGAGGCAAGTGCTGCTGCAGTCGACCAAGTGCACGACGAGGGCAGGGGACCACCCGTGCCAGCGCTCGTCTTGGCATCGACCTCAACCAAGAAGCGGCGACGAAAGCGGCGAGTCAAGCGAACGTGGTGAGTTCCCCCAGAGTCCCAGTGTCCCCGGACAACCTCCGTCACGAGTAGGAAGACGTCGCATGCGACGTGGTGTCCAAGTCAAGCGGATGCCAACAACATCTCCGCATACAACCGCGAGTCCGAGTTGCGCAAGCTCGAGCTCCTGCACACGCTGAGCACATTGCAGCATCCGTCTCTTCTCCGTTCATCTTCTCGGGCCTCCGTTCGAGGTGCATCAACGCGATCCAAGTCGTCGTACACGACCATCACGTGTCCCCACGACGACGGCATGTACGCCGACGACACGTTATCGCAGCCGAGCGACTGCATGGCCAGCATCGAGGGCAGCCGCCAAGAGCCGTTGGATGGCCCGCCACCGTCGCCTCAACCAAAGACAATTACTATCGAGATACGCCTGAAGCTGGACCCGCCGCGACCCCCCAGCCCCCCTACAGCGTCCAACTCGTCCCTGCAACGGACTCAGCAAACGAAGACTGCCAGCACCAGCCCCCCGTCGTCGGTGGCCAGCGCCTCCTCCCCCTCCCTTCGTCCAGTTGAGTCGACGACACTTGACCAAGCCCCTTCTCCAAACGCCCCAACGCTTCCAGCGCCCAAACTCCATCGCCACACCCCCACAGTCATCACCCGCGAGATGGCGGCGTGGCTGCGGCAACATGGACTGTTCAAGGTCAAGCCTCGCCACGAGCTACAGCTCACGATGGCGGATCAGCTTCCCCTCCATGCATCCTGACGATGCCCGCGGTCGCACCCTCTTCCACGAGCTCTCGATGGCACTGAATAATGATATCATGTATTTTGGGGCCGATGCCGACCTTTACGTCGACCCCTTCTTGTACGTGCCAACGGGTGGCTTGTAGCACTCGGGGAGAAGTTTGCGCTGGAGCTCGTTGAACGCGTACGTGTGCGTCTGGATGTTCTTGAATACGTTGTCCCGCCGGACGCCGCACAGCCGCATCGTTTCGATCATGTGCTTGAGATTCAGCGCCTACATCGATCCCATGAAAGACGTCCGGCGTGGAAGGACGAATGGATCGGCTTTACCTTGGCCTCCTGCACGAGCAACCTCGCCTGCTCCAATGTGACCGACATGGCGGTTCGATCCTTGCCGCTCTTGCAGCACGTGGCACGACCGCCCCCCAACCGCCGACAAAACTCGGACGTTGTCATGAGGAGCCGCACGTTCTTCTTGTGCATGGGCTGCGTAATGCTCGCGGCAATCTGGGCCCACATGTCGTCCAACTCGGTCAAATTCGGTTGAAATGGACTCCCGTAGCCGTCGCGGGGTCGAGGCATGTGCGAAAACTTGAGCTTCTTGAATCGGGCAAAGTAATGGCCGAGTCGTTCGAAGCTCTCGATGTTGATCTGGTCTTGAATCGCCGTGCTCGAGCTGTGCATGGCATGGGCCAAGCTCTGCATTTCGTTCACGCCCTGCGTGAAGAGAACCGCCAGGACTCGGAACGTCTTTTTTCCCGTCGCGAGGTCCACCGGCAGCGGCTCGCCAAACGTGACCGGGATTCGGACCACAACGTTGAGAAGGTAGTTGTCTCCCCGGGATAACCGATACGACACCGACTCGGTGACGCTCGGACTCACTTCAAAACTAAACACGACGTGCTCGAGCCACCTGCACGCAACTCGAAAATCCTCGAGCATGCCGCCTTCGTTGCCCTGGGTGCTCAGGAGCGACTCAAAGTCCATGAGGAGGTTGTTGCGCATGACGATTTCCCACATCATTGCGTGGTGGATGCTGCCTTTCGCGGCCAATTCCAGCATCCCGGCAATTTGCGTCGCAGTCGCCGACAACACTTGGACGCAAAGACTGTGGTGGCGAATCTCGAGATCAAACCATGCTTTTTGAGCCACCGAGACGGGGTCGTACGATTTGTTGGGGCAGTTCGGGTTGGCGCTCGACGAGCTCAATAGGCCGATCGGGGTGTGGAAAAGCTCAAATGCTTTGAGAGGGTCGAGGTCCTTGGACTTGGGTTTCCGCAATCGATTTGCTTCGCCGAGGACGTCGTGCAGCGTTTCCTTGAGGCGGTGGCCACCCCCCGCCGAGAAGCCCCTTGTGTGCGCGGCGGCAGCACCCATTGTAATTGTCGTGAACGTGCCGGTGAGGTCCGTCCCGTGGTACACTTGCATCGTTTGCATGTGCATGTTGGTCGCAACCATGGCCCACTCCTTCTTCTTCTTGAACGTGCTCCGCTTGAAATGCGCCTTGCCCTTGGCTTCTTCCGACAAAAACGCAATGTGCGCCCGGGCGTCGGCTTGCAGTGCCTCGTACTGTTTCTCGAGTGGCCCGAGCTTGCGTTTGTCGACCGTGCGCCGCGCTGTCTCGAGTCGCGCGCTCAGGTCGTCCACGAGAAACGTCAAGTACGCAATCGGCATGGCAAACGTCGCCTTGGGCACAGCAATCGCCTCGACGACAACGACGCCACACGTCGTCAGCGCCGTTGGGACGATGTACTTGCGATGGGCGGTGACGACGGTCGTATCTGGCAACCCGACGACAACTCGTTTATCTGGAGCAAACGCTGAAATGTGAAGCGAATATTCCAAGTCGTCCATTTGCACGGACGGCGTCCGAGTGTTGTTTTGGGCCGACGCGGCACGATTCTAACGGGGGGCGCAGCATGAGAAGGACGAAGCAGTCAGGGCAGGACGTGATCCATGCAACAGTATGGTCACGTCTGCATTTGGAGAACCGACGTACCGACGGAGTGCTGCGGTGGACGGCGGAGGCATTGGCCATGCGCTACAAGAGAGCGATGGATTCAAATGGTGTCCATGACCACCGTCGCTGTTTCTAGAGATGAGTACCTCCTTCTTGGCGAGCTGAAGCGGCAAGTCGCACCCGGAGGTCGCGATGGCCTGCGGCAGGAACGACGCCATGTCGATGGTCGCAATGGCGTACGGGGACTTGCCGAAGTTGACATCGTCGGCATGCGGGGCGCGAAAGAGGGAGAATCGGATGTCCGAGTGCTTGTCGGGGTGGAGGGGTAGGAGAACTGTGAACGCGTGCCGACAATGCACCGCGGTGGTGCTGAGCGACGCCATGGAAGACCTTGTCGCTTCCTCCGTTCGAAACACGTCCGTCTGCGCGAGCTTGTGCACGTCCGGTGCACCGCCGTCAGTCGACACATCGATCCCTTCCAGCAAAACGTAATACGCCATGCGGCCCTTCCCGCCATCGATTGTCAATTCGATGCGCAGGTCGTACACGTTGGCAATGTCGTCCGTGGTGGACGCCGAGTACGCCGTCGACGACCGCGCCGACATCAAGTTGTCGTCCTTGAGCGATGTCCGAATGTCCGGCGAGAATCGGACCTGGGCGTTGTTTCCACACGTTTCGTCATCGTTGTCTTGCCGACTCGTGACGAGGTCGATCGTTTCTGCGCGCGCCGAGGTGTGAGCGCCATGGCACATGATGCTCCCTACCTTGAATAGCATCGATCCATGCCTTGAACACGTCTGGGGACGGCGCTTCGAGCAGAAGGGCCCGATTCGGGCTCGACACTTCAAACGCTAACGTGGACGTTGCCGACGACACGTCGACGATCGTGGTGTCCTTTGTGATGGGGACGAGGCCAAGGACTTCGCGATTCTCTTCCGAGTCGCAGTACACCAGGGACGGTTCGTCAATTCGAAGGATGAAGTATCGCTGTGCCATCATGTACGTGAGCGGTCCCGCCATGAGGATCAGTGCGACTCGTACCCGTTTCCAGTTCTTGCGCCATGATCCCTGTTTCGACAAGTAACCCTGCATGTAAATGTCCCCCGTGTGAATGACGCCGCCGACTTTCTTGGACGAGATGGACCGCCGCCGTCGAAAAAAGTTGGATATCCGCGACGTTTGCTTCGTCTGGAATGACGTTGTGTCTTTAAACCGACCTCCAGTCGTGAACTCGGGCATGGACGACGACGACGCGCTGTGACCGTAATCGCCGTTGTTTCCGAGAGATTCCTACCACGATGCGATCGTTGGTGACGGACCGTTTGCAGTGGCGGACGTACAGAGGCCGAGTCGGACGTCCGAGGGTACATGGAGGACGCATTCGATCGAGAAAACGAAGTCGTTGCGTTCAATTCTGCGACAGCTGCAAACACACTTCGTTGTCCATAACTGTAGTCCACGGACAAGTCGAGATCGTCGTTGTTGTCGTCATTTGCGAGGCTGTAGTTGCTGCCACCTTGGCCGTCAGGTCGAAGATGTTTCGACCACACCGCGTCTTCGCCTTTGAGGCGACGAAACGCGTGCTTGGCAGGCTCCACGTCGCTGGAGCTGATAAAATCCGAGTCGTGCGAAGCCTGCCGAGACGCTGGACGTGACCGCGCCAAGTTGTTCATGGAGGCACCTGGAGCATACAATTGAAGACGACGTCCATCACGATGCGCATGACACACCTACAGCGGGGGGTACCTACCTCCTGCGGGTATTTCCTGCTCGTGGTTAGACGTGGCCCGTACACCGACACAATCACCTGTCGGCGCTGTCGTCGCTACCGCCGACGAATGCTGAACTGCAGGTGATCAGCACGCAATTACTCGCACCCGGTGCAATTTTGAACGCTCGACGCCGCTAAATAGTGTGAACATGACAACCCGTATAAAACATCTATCGAGAATTCGGCACAAAAAGTCAAATCGTACCAATCAAACGACGTTATTGTCGAATGTATCCAATCACAATGCATTTTACATGTCGTATAAACAACTTTTGACACGGGGGGGTGTCGTCGGGTTGATGGGCTGCGCGTCCGGTTAACTCGGGGGGTTTTGTGGAGGGGCAACAATAAAATACAAACTAATTTCATCGACAATACTAAAATGAAGTACTACATCGAAAAGTCGAAAAAATCCCACCACGGACCGAACGTGCTAAACGACCGCCGACAACCATCACGTTACACACTTCTGGTCGCCGCGTCGCCGCGGACGCTGCCGCCCCGACGCCGCTGCACCCATAGATGCAACTCGCATCGTTTTGCTGCTGCGCCTTGGCCCCCACCGCATCGCCTTGCGTCGGGACGACCCAACGGCTTTGGTAGTGCTGCAAGAAGACGCATGGTTTCGTCTGGTCGTGTGCACTACATATTTGGGTGCGGCACGTGTGCACCTGTTCTTGGGAGAATGAGCAACCCAGGCGCAAGCGACAAGACCGTGCCATCAAAGGGCGCAATGATGGTGCCGTTGTCATGGACTGACGCCTTGGACGATTCTAAGCAACAGTCGTATGTATGTGCATGGGTTGGGTGACGTTGGAAATGGTGCAACGGCTGTGTGTGTGATGTAGCGGAGTGCGTCATTGCACGGAAGCAACTGAGCTTCCAAGACTATAGCGACAGCTTGTAGCACTGCGGCCCACGAACGCGCGCATGAGAACAAGCCGCGCGGGAGGAATCGTTTCACTTAAGTCCGAGGACGGTGGGTGCCAGACACGAATTAGTGTGCCACGGTCGCGAGTAAATCCCCTAGACGAGGCTGGATCAAGAATCGATCTGACCACATTCGAGGAGATTCGTTGGATCTCCTTGCTTCTGGCCAAGTTGCCATGCTCGCTTTGTCGAGAACGGAGGGCAAGGTGTCGTCAACGAAGGATGCCAACGGTCGGACCCGTGTGGAGGCTATGCCTCCAACAAAGGAAGCTGGTGGACATACCCGTTGAACCATCGTGGAAAAAGAACGGGTCTAATGGATTAGCTCGAAAGGTGCACAACCTTTCGTGGTTGTCATGGGAAGTACGCGCTGTTCATCGACCGGTCATGGCGACGAACAGGATTTGGCCGACAAGACGGTGGCTGGCCCCAAGCGGAAGCGGGAACGACGTTCACGCGACATGCGATCCATACCCCCTCGGCCAACAATCAACTAATGGCCGTGGCTCCGTCACAATGTCGTGGCTGGATTGGCGAAAGAAGATACACTCGATGCAAGACGACGTCGCTGACGAGATATTTCAACATTCCGCGCGATACGATTGGTCCCGTCATAGCATTTTGGCCAATCAATGAAAGGGGAGTTGCATAAACCTCTAAAAGATCGCGTCCAGTGGAGGCCATGATGCTGGCACTGTTGCTGCCCGCGCTGTTGGTGGTGGTGGCCCAAGTCCCGGTGCCAGCTTCGCCGCCAGGTTACACCATTGGCAACGGGTCTGCTGAAGCGTCTGTGCAGTTGGAGGTGTTTGTCGACTTGCTGTGTCCGTACAGCAAAGACGCCTTTGGTGCACTCAAGCGCCTCGTGCATCACGCGTCGCCGTCCCGCTTTCGTCTTCGCGTCCATCCATTTCCTCTTCCGTACCATCATCAAGCGTATTCCGTCGCACAAGCAAGCGAAACCATTCGTCATGCCCTCGGCCCGGCAACGTTCGTGCCATGGGCGGACGCCGTCTTCGACAACCAAGACAGGTGACCTCCCACGCTCGCTCGAATGCGGAAACGAACCCTGTCGTGTGATAGATTTGGCAACAAAGCGACACAACTTCGACGGACAAGCCAACGTGACGGCCCAACTCGCCCAGCTTGCGCATCAAACGTTCCCACGACTTACAAGCGAGCAGTGGGAAGATGGCATGTCCGGGCATGGCGGGACTGCACGGGACTCGGACATGCGTGTGGCGTGGAAGTACGCGTGCTCTCGGGGCGTCACCGGGACACCCACGTTTTTCTTGAACGACGTTGTTGTCGACGACCCTGATCCCGACTGGACATTGGAGGACTGGCTCCGATTTCTCGACCCGTACCTCGATCCGAGTCAAGACCAAGCTTCGGCCCTCGAGAGCACTACGACATTGTCGGCGTCGTGGGTACCTACCATCTTGAGCTGTGTATTTGTAGCCCTCGGTGCGGGGGTCATGGTTGCGGCGCTTCGCCATTGGCAACAGTTGCACTCCCTTCGTGCGCATTATCGCCCCATTTAGCTGCTAACACGTGCTGCTACTTTGGCGTATTTCTCGTTCGCGGCACGAGCCTCCGCCACAACGATCGTTTCCGCCACTCTGGGACGTCACATTCACAGCGTTTCAAGTGCATGTACTGATCACCGCGACGTTCTTCCAGCCCCCAAGACGATGCAACCATATATATACGCTCCTGTGAGGCGAGCAATAGGTCGACCGATGCACCCATGCGCATGCTGCACGCTGACCGAGCGAACGAACCGATGGCAACACTCAACATGCGATGTCCTGGCTTCCCCAGTCATGTCGGTTGCGAATCTTTTTCCAAGCACGCAGGTCGACTCCGCAAGAAATCGACTTCGTGCCGGACATCAGGATGGTGACCAACGTGCAGCCGACGAGGCGCACGGCCATGAGCCGTCGCGGGAAAACCTCCATCGCGCGGGTGTGCTTGCGATGGCCTTCACAGCGTCCACGACAAACTATATCGGAGATAGATGACATCGCTACCATCGGCCGGAGGCAGGGATGTCTGTCTTCCATCCAACAGCGTCCACCTCCACCACCATCGTCGGTTTGACGTGATGACATGTTCAACCAGTTGGACAAACTGCCGAACGCCGCCACTCGACTTGTTTTCACGCACATATGCCATTTTTACTTGAAAAACGATTGGGGCATGGCAAGCCACGCAGCGTCGTCGTCGTCCTCGCTGACAACCATCTCGTCTTCATCTTCGTCGACCGTGCGTGGCTTGGCCATGGGTGATCTCTTCGGCGATCCATTGGGGTGGTCCGCCATCGCCGTAGCATGCAGCGACGTTCCATCCAGCATCTCTAGAAACGCTTGGCGATTCTCACGCGGCATGTGACCAAGGACCTCTCGTTTGCCCATGGCGTCGAGGACATACAGCTCTACGTGCTCCAACGCAGAGATGGCATGGGGACAAGGCCCTGCTTCGCCTCGGCCAACGTGGCAGCCCGATTCGCCCACAACCACGCGGTGGCGCAGAGCCGACGGCGGTACGGCAACGGTATCATTGCCAGACGCAGACGGGGCCACAACGAGCTTGACACTGCCGCTCGAGACGAACGCGACTTCGTCCAAACTGTCTCCTGCTTCGTACATGGCCGTCCCGCCGATCACGACTTGAAATTGCAAGGCCAGAACAAGACGATGGCGGATGTACGCATCGCACGACGTCAACGCAGACGACGACGTGAGGAGGTGGCGCTGCACGTACGTGGCGATTTCAACGCGCAGCGGGACGGGCAAATACGCCGCCACGGCGTGTTCGACGAGCCCGCCGCCCGTGCGATGGCACCACAGCTTCATGTTGGCCACAATCGCGCGCGTCGTCGGCTTGGTCGTGTGCGCCACGCGAAAGTAGCTCGCCAACGTGCTGAGCTTGGCCTGTGTCGCGCCTCTGCCAAACGTGTCGGCAAACTGAAAGTACGACGCAAAGCACGAAGTGAGCGCGGCAAAGAAGAACGACCCACACAGCGCTTCGACGTTCTCGAAAAAGTACTCGAGGTGGCCGCCCGTTCGAATGTCCCCGAGGCCGACCGTCCCGATAAACGTGATCACAAAGTAGTACGCACCTACACGACGTTCCTGTCACGTGTCGAGCTCGACCAAACGACGACAAACGTACGGACGTAGCAGTCGATCATGGACGTGCAAATGTTGTGCTCTCCGGTGGCTTCGTCCCACACGGACAGCTTGCCGCCGCCCATGTACGGGTCGCGGACAGCCCACGTCAATGCCGAGTGCTTTTCCACGTACCGATGCAGCAACATCCACACACACGCCCACCAGTGCACCATGATCACGTAGTACAGGATGCAGTGGAGAATGTGCAGCATGCTGCCGCTGACGCGACACAAGAAGAACTGAAAGTTGCGCGAGAAGCGGCGGAGGTACCGTGGGAACCGCTTTGCCCGCAGCAAGAGCGGCATCACGAGGAACTTGAGTGCCGGGAGCCCGACCACAAACGACCCGAGGCAGTAGGGCGCTATCGAGACCAGGTCCAGGACCAAATAAGACCGGTAGTTTTCGCGAATCTTGGCGCGGTGCCGGATCAACTTGGAATGGTCCATAAAGGCAAACCAGTTGTAGCTCCAGTACGTGTCCAGCGCGTACAGGACCTGCGCCAGCACGTCGCCGCCGTACCACACGACCAGTTCATGAAGCGAATCCACGCGATCCTCGACGAGGTACGTCGCGCGAAGCGGCAGCACGATCAAAATGTACAGAGTTGTCCAAAACAAGATGCCGTCCCACATGCGGCGAAAGCGCGAGTCCGGCTCGATCCATGTCCGGGCGACAGCGGATTCGTCCATGCGTTCGTCGTGGCTGTCACTCGTCCTGCGCGCGGCATGTCGATGCTGCAGCTCTACCGTGGCGCTCTCGTCCGACTTGATGTCGACGGTCAGCGGCGCCCCGTCTACAGCGTCGTCGCCGTGGCCATTCGTCGCGTCGTCGAGGCGGTCGAGGAGCTGCTGCTTGAGCTCCGGGAACGCGTCAAACACAGCATCCATGCCGGTCTCGCGCAGGACAAACACTTCCGTGAACACGCACGCACAGATCGTGTGTGGATGCGGCTCATCTAGAAGCAAACTCCGCTCGCCAAACACGCCAAGTCGCTTGCTGTGCTTGGTCGGGATTGTTGGGTCTTGATACTGGACACTTCCGGGCTTGACAAAGTACATGCATCGGTTGTATCGGAGCTCACCGACGAGCTCGTCGCCAGGGGCCACGGACCTGGACTTGAGATGCTTGGCGACGGCGGCAACGACGTCGGACGGCAGGTGCGCAAACAAGTCACTCTGCATCAATCGCGTGTGCTTGATATGGTCGACGATGGCGTCGCGGAGCTGGCGCGGCAACATGCCGACGATCTCGTCTTCCTGGAACAGGAGCTTGCGACGTTTTCGGTACAAGAACTCCATGAACCCAAGCGCTTTGTCCGTCATGGGCTGCGGCACCTTGTGGAACGCCATGTACTTGGCGAGGGCGTCCGTGGCCTGGCGGATCGACGTCGATGCCGCGTCCACTTTCAAGATGATTTCCCCAATCACGCCGATCTTGCCGGCGCTGAAGAAGATGCCGGCAAAGATCGCGCCTATGCACACGATCGTCTCGACCATGTTTACAGGCACGATGATGCCAGAGCTCACAACGAGCAGCATCTGAATCGCATAGTTGAAACATCGCGAGTACCGCTCCCAGATCGTTCCGCCGTCCTTGGGCAAGTACATGCCATGGATCTGGTACTCGATCCAGGTTCCGGCAAACAAGCACGTGGCTTCTGCCGTCACTGCGTCGCTGTCACCCGCGCCGTTCGCGTTGTCGCGCGTGCTGCAGTCTGTCGACCACGGGAAAATCCCCTTGTCCGCAAACGCCACGTAGTGCCATCCGCACGCCAGGAGGTGCGAAAAGAACAGGATAAACAAAAAGTACCGACACACAACGACCACGTCGCTCCACTGCGGCTTGTTTCGGATCGCCGACTGCGCCAACTCTCGGATGCGAATCGTAAAGTACCGCAGACGAAAGACCTTGGGGAGTCGGCACACGGTAAGCACCGCGACAAGTTGGTCGGGGTGCCGGCGCACAAACTCGATCACAAACAACTCGACGGGAAACCCGCACACGATGTCCCACTTGAGCGAGTGCCACACGGCCCAGTGAAACGAAATCGACAGCACCGACGTGTCCTGGCGCAGCCGAAGCAAGTGATAGCGGTACTTGACTGCAATGTCGACGAGGAAGAGCCCGTCGAGGACGTAGTCGACGACAAACCCGTACAGATACGACGCGGGCTGCAACGACGAAAAGAAGGCGAGGCGAAACGGAACGAGGAACGCGTTGTAGAGCAGGGCGAGCACGACAAGCACATTCAGGACGCGCCGGAACCGCGATTTCGGATGGAACCGACTGTGGACGAGGGCATCCTTTTCCAGCGAGGCTTTTGACGTCGGCGTCCACTTGACAACGGGGCCCTTGCATGTTTTGAGCTTTCTCGACCGCGGCGACAACGCCGGTGTAGCGGGGAAAGTCGCGTCCGTTGTCGAGACATGGTCGGATGGAGGCAACGGCACGACATGAGCCGACGACGATGGCGCTGCCGACCGCGTCAAATGGCTCAACGTCGACTTCATCGCGATGTCTCCAAGTTTGACCATCGCCGTTGTCATCAAGTCAACGACCGTGCGTTGGACGCCATCTCGTCCATCCTTTTCCAGTTCGTTCATGGCATAATGGTGCATGGTGGCGTCCAAATGCACCTGCATGTCGCGGCGCAGCGACTTCCACGTGGACATTTGCGTGCCCAAGATCGCCGCGACGTCCTTGGCTCGCAGCCACAGCACTTCGCAGAATTCCGACCCCGCGCGATACGTCAACGACGGCATGGCGGGGACTTTTGTGGCCGCCGCGCCGTCGTTCTCCGCTCCAAACTCCAGAAACGACGCCAATCCAAACGTCCGACGGTCGAGCGATTCCACGCTGTCGATTTCAACGACAAACTCAGCGACAGCTTCTGCTTGAATGCCTCGTTCGATCGCGTTGCCGTTGTTGGACGTCGACTGGATGCAGCCATGAACAACGACGAGACCAGACACGAGGATGCCCAGGCTTCCCCTCGGCACGTCAATCGCGTCATGGGGAATGCACAGCTGCGGCTCCATCGCGGCGTACACGGCGCGCATCCCGTCTTCGTTGACGTGGCGGAAAAAATACGCACTCGGGTCCGTGTTTCGACACATCGTTTGAACGATCTCCCACCGCAGCTCCGGCACATACTCCAAGATAGCAGCTTCCTTTTCGTAGTACTCGTGCTCCCACATAAACTCAAAGTACCCAAGCACGCGGTCCTGGAGCCGTTCTGGTAACTTGTGCGACGCCACGAGCCATTTGAATCTAGTCAGCGCACGACTCGAGCATCGCAGACGACGGGCGGCGGCGGCAAAGTACGTACCCGACAAGCATCTTTTGGTGCGTGACTTGTGCCTTGTTGCGGGTGAGCAGCAGCGACGCGACGCCGCCGACGAGCGCCGGTTTGAGGATGGCACCGTAGAGCAGCATGACCGTCGCGATCATGGTCTCGTACGGGTTCACGGGCACAATGTCGCCAAACCCGAGCGTCGACCCGCCAATGTACCCAAAGTACATGGACCGGACGAGGTAGAATCGATTGTGGGCGTACGATTGAAAGTAAAACTGCGGGTTCGACTGGTCGAGGTCGACCCAGTTGGCGTCGGGGTAGTCGGTTGCTGTGATCTCGGCCACGTAGTACCAAAAACACCCGACGACGTACCCCGACAAGACCAAGATGGACATGATCCGAAAGATGCGGCGGGTAAACACGTGGACGTGAAGCCGAGACAGGAGCAGCGCCTCGGCCACTTCAAAGTACTCGGTCAGGTGCAGGATGCGCACGATCTACTCGGCCAAACACACCACGATGAGCCCGACGAATGAGTTGCATATGGACGTAGCACAACCTTGTTGACGCGAAAAAACGCAAGATCGCGCATCGAGTGCCACCCGCATACGCACACAACGTCGAGCGGAAGGATCGACGTGAGGTCGATCCAGCACCAGACCGACCGAATGTACCGGCGGAATACGCGACGTCGGTCAGTGACCACATGGCCGTCGTGCTCGACGTAGAATCGCCGGCAGTGCAGAAAAAAATCGACGAGGAAGAGCACGTCAAAGCCCCAGAACAGTCCCAGGTCCACCAGCGCCTCCGCGTCGGGGGCTTCGAATCGGTTGTGCGACCGAAAAAAGGCACAGTCGCGCGGCACGGCGTAAATGTTGTACAACAGTCCGCCAAAGCACACGAGCGTCCACACCCGCCGGAACATCGAGTTGGGCAGCCAGTCCGCCGACGTCACGCGGCACCGCCGCCGCCGACTCGTCGACCCCGCCGTGGCAGCGCTCGAATCCATCGTGGTCGCGGTATGCTTGGCCAGGATGTGCCCGCCCCCACTATCGTCGTCGTTGCCATCCTCGTCACGCGCAGTGTCCGGGTGACGATCTTGTTCCAATTGCCACATGTCTTGAAAGTGCTCGCGGGCCAAATAGACAAACTCACACCCCGACGTGCACACGACCGTGTACTGCGCGACGTGGTCTTCGCTGAACAGCGCATCTTCTCCAAAATACTCGTGGATGTCCAACGCTTTGACGACAGCGCCACCATCCACGTAGGTGGCGTCGCCTCGGCGAAGAAGGTACAACCCACCGAGAGGTTGGGACGCGACAACGACAATATCTCCGGGAGCTTTGCTCACGTAGATGACATGTTCCGAGATGGCGGCGCGGAGGGTCTTGCTTGCCGTGTGGAAGCGAGGCACGGTGTGCACAAGGACTTCTTCGTGCTCGATTTGGAGGCGTGCTCGAAGCGCATAGGGTAGTTGCGTCGCGAGCTCGGCCCGCGTCGTTTCGATTTGCGGCACAAACGACGCTCGGACCGACGTCAAGGCGCGGTCGACCAGGTCGTCGCTGGCGTGGCGCCATTCCAAGTACCCACATACGTCGTCGAGGCGTTCTTGGAGCGCCATTTGGTTGCGATCTGCATGCTCCATGAGCTTGAGGACGCACGCAATCGATGCACACGAGATCAAGATGCCCATGTATATCACCTACAAAACCTCATTGTCGTGGGATGTTTGTGACCGAAGGACGAATCGAGCCAACGTACGAGAATGGAGACGAGGGTTTCACCGCGCGTGACCGCTGTGACGTCGCCAAACCCGACGGTCGTCAGCATCGTCGCGGACCAGTAGATCGAACGAAGGTATGTCGTGGCTGTGCTCGTGTTGTAGAACTCTGGGTACATGGACTGCTTCAACCACGAGTACGAGTCGTGCCTCTCGACGTACGCCACGTAAAACCAAATGCAGGCAAACCAGTGCGACCACATGGGAAGAATTGTCAAGATGTACAACGTGCGGCGCATCTGAACGCTCACGCGCCAAAAGTACCCTTCCGTGATGCGGAGGTACCGAAGGAATGGCAGAATGGCGACGACGTGGTTGAGTCGCCACACGCCAAAGTTGCCGCGGAACCCCCCGGCGTGTGCGATCAAGTCGACCGGGAGAAACGCAAGGCATTCGATCCAAAGCCGCACGCGGTGCGGAGATGTCGTGGCGGCGGCGGCTAGCGACGCGAACGCTGACGTCGTCGACGACGACGGACGCCAGAGCGCGAGCTGGACGACGAACAGTGTCAGCATGATGGCGTCCCACGTGTAGTCGACGGCGAGGAGGGCCCACGGTGTGTCCAGTAATTCGACCGTGGGCACGACCAGGCCTCGCAGTGGCAGCGTAAACATGTTCACCAGCACCGCCGTGAGGCCAAGGACACATGCGACGCCATGGAACTTGACCTGGACCATGCCGCACGCGCCGCCCCCGAGCGCTGGCTCCCCGTGCGACACGAGAAAAGTGGTGCCGGGTGTTCGTGGTTGACGGGACGGCGTTCGTTTCGGATCCCCCATGAAACCGATACCATCAAGTAAAAATTTTTTTGGGAATGCATGCAATTTTTTTATGCGAGATAAACCGATCTACGTTGCTCGCTCATGAGGGAGGTCAAGCATGTTGTGAGGCTTGTCGCTGGGAGGTGGTGGGAGGTGGGTAGTCTACATGAAGCCGGAGCCGCGGATGTTTTGCTTGAGAATAATGTCTTTGCACGCATTGAACACGACTTGGACGTTTTGCGAGTCGGTCGCGCACGTGACGTGGTGGTAGATTTCCTTTTCCGGCTGGCGGTTCATCTCGAGAAACTTGGACAAAAAGTACGTGACGCCCTTGTCAAAGTCGCCAAGACCGCCGGGGAAGTCCTTGAACACTTCGACGCTCTTGATGTCGATCTTCCTCACCTTTTCTTCAAACAGGTCCTTCTTGTTGAGGAAGAGGATCATGGCCGAGTTGGAAAAGAACCGGTTGTTCACAATCTCGTCAAACAACGTGATCGCTTCGATCATGCGGTTCGTGCTCGAGTCCTCGTACAGCGACTGGTCGTACTCGCTCAGCGCCGCGACGAAAATGACCGACGTCACGTCTTCGAAGCAATGGATCCACTTTTTGCGCTCGTTGCGTTGGCCGCCGACGTCGTACATAACAAACGTCGCGCCGTCGATCTGGTACTTTTCTTCGACGATGCCAGACGTGCGCACGCGCGCGTAGAGCATGTCCTGCTGCGTGACTTGGTAGTCGTCCTTCATGATGCGGTCGATGTCGTTGAAGTAAAACTTGACCGACTCGACGATCTGGAACTCGGCTCGCCGTGCCCATGTCGCCATCACGCCCGGGTCTGTCCACAGGTTCTTGATCTTTTGGCCGATCTTTGGATTCACTTCCGTTTCGTCTGAAATCGCCTTGATCTCGTCAAAGTCCTCCACGCACTTGACTTCGCTCTTGAGCTGGAGCTCGACGCACTGATCCAGCAAAATCTTCATCGAGGTCACAATGTTGTTGTATACGATCGGCGTGCAGTGCCGACGTTCCTCTTCCGTGAGCGGCATCCCGTACAGGATCTTCATTTGTTTGAAAATCGTGCTTTTCCCCGACTCGCCGGCACCGAGAAGGAGGAGCTTGACCTTTTCTTGTTCGAGTCGGTGGGCTTCTTCATTTGCTTGGTCGACTTCGCGGGATTTGGCAGCGTCCTTGTCACTGTCGAGGTTGCTTTGTGTGCATCCCATGGTTGGAGAACGTGGACGGTGTGTCGCTCGCGAGCTGGCTGATCTGGCTGGTTTGTTACGACTGTGAGTGCGGGGACGGGCTGCTCTAGAGTCCGGCGCTGTCAGTCGTCGATGCCGCGCGGTGAGGTGGCTCGGAGAAGTGACTGCTCACGAGGAATTATACTTATGAAATCTGTAACTACCACGCGCCTTGTCGCTGCCTCCTCTATTTTTACCCCAATCTGCCTTAACCGACGAAACGACAGCCCACCATGGCGTACCTTCTTGAACGTTGGCCACGCTGTACTGCCCTGCTCCGCCGCCATCTTGACCCGTCGCTATAAACAGCGGCGAATCCTTAACATCCGACCAGACTTACCTCGACTGCGCTTGGTAGATATTTCACACCGCGCGCGCCGCGCGCGTTTGGAGCACCATAAAAGACAACACGATCTGTCTTCCTTCTCGTTCTACACTCGAGCTCTTGAATCGCGCCGACGCCGTGTGCTTGGCATCGAGCATTGTCACCTTGCCGCGGGCGGCGAAAGGCGGCGGCGTCTAAAGCTCCAAAGGTCGCGCCGTTTCAACGAATTCCATTGGTGGGTTGAATATCCAGTGGCCAATCAAAACGATGATCTCGGAGACTGGAGTTTTGAATGCCACTGGATGAGTCGGACAGAATTGTATCCTGTCATGGGAGTGGACGCGTCGGGCGGCATGGCCAGCGAGGCGAAGCAAGCGCCGACGCAACGAACAGCCGAGCTCGTCTTCGAATACATCCCGAGCTTGCAGTGCACTGTTCTGACGCACGAATATGCATCGTATCCGCTGAAGTTTCTCCACCCGTCGACGATGTCTGCACCTGGGTACCCCACTGCCATTGCTGTGCGCAAACGTCCTTCACGCCAGATGATGATCAACGAGGTGTATAGTGCATGATGAACTACGGAGGAGGTCTCGTCGGCGGCGACAAAACCCATGTGGATGTCCATCTTCGCGTCAACGCGACTGGTATCTGTCCGTCCGTGTCCACAACTCGATTCCATGTATCTCGGTGTGGGTAGTCGTGATGGCGACACAAGCCACAACCAAAGTCTACAAACTTAAGGCAACATCCCCCGCTGTGATGTCCTCTCAAGGCCTAACTGTTCGAGTCGAGGCCGATGGCTTCATTGCAGTTGTTCCGGACCCCGTCACTTGCTTCGCTGGAGCGCTGTACGCGCAACACCAGCGATTCTCGCTACATCCGTCGGCATCCCTTGTCTTGGTCGACTGGATAACGAGTGGCCGGCATGCACGCGGCGAGTCATGGAGCTTTGCCTCTTTCGAGAGCTTCAATGAGATCGTGTACGAAGACGGCGGAAGCAATGCGTCGGTTGTCGTCTTGTCTGACCGAGTCCGGTTGACTGACGAACCGTGCGACCCATTGGCATCTCGCATGGGCGGCATGACAGTCTTTGGGACCGTCGTGCTCCTCGGCCCACAGCTCGACGAGATGATTCAATCCCTTCTCCAAGACGGCAGGCGAAAGTTCTTAGCTCCCCACCAACATCCTGTTCCAGCGGGATCGCCTACCTCTACCCGGCTCAACCAAAATGTTCGCGCGGCCGTCAGTCGGCTCTCTCCAAGTCATCCGCTGCTATCGTCGTTCTCTGGAGCGATCGTGCGGATCGCCAGTCGAACAACAGAGTCCGCGGCTGACTACATGCGGGCGCTGGTGGAACCGCTCGAGGGTGTGGTAGGCGTCCGCTTTTTTCACGAAACTCGGTAATAAATTTCAAGTGCTAATCCTCATCAACGCTGAGGCGCATCGGCATTCGAGAGCATGCGGTCCTGAGACGTTGACGGCGATAGCCACGACGTTTCCACGGCATGCCAAGCGGTTTGAGTGCGTCATCGCAGCATTGCACTGTCCACTCCATCTGCGGGTTTGTGTTCGACGAGACCGGTGGAGACATGGACGCGCTGAAGCATCGACGTCTCGACGAAAGGGGGCTCAGCACGCAAGTAGATGGAACTACTCACATGAAATTAATCTCGGTCCACTTGCTCAACTTCGCCGCAGTCCATCTCGTCGTCATCCGACAAGCACAAGTCAATCACGGTGGCGGGATCCGTCGCTTCCGACGACATGATGTGCAGTTTTCGCCGGGGTGGGGATGCGATGCCGACGGAGACTTGGATGTTTTGGCCAGTCGTTAAATCAACCGTGCTCCCTTCACGGCAAGCCCACACAACTTTTTTGCCACACGTTGGATACAATGGGACGCTCGTACCTCTTGAACGGAACGACGCGGCGGCCATATCGGTCCTGGCACGCTTTGCGGTTCCCTCGCGCCGGTTGTCGAGATGTAGTCGCTTGCGGGCTCGCTTCCCTAGTTGGGGCTTGGTACGTGTGGTAGCGATGGGTTGCGACATCGAGGTTTCGGTTGGCAGAGACGTGATACACTGCCGGTGTGAACTCGACGTTCCGTCGTCAGTGGTTGGTGGTTGAGCGGGGGCTGATCCTTTGGAGGGTGGCGCGGGGAGTGGTTTTTGGTGCTCGCGGAGCCGGCGAATCGTCAATTTTCGGCCACGGAGCTGCTCACCCGAGCTCGCAACGGCGCAGTCGACACCGTCCATCGAGTCGAAGTGGACAAAAGCAAAGCCACGAAACATGCCACTGACGCTATCGATCATCATGCGCACAGCTTTGACCACGCCATACGAATCAAAAAGCATCGACACTTCAGACTCCACGGCGTCGTACGGAATGTTGCCGACGAAAACGCTAAGCGGATCCGATTGCGGAACGGCGCTGAGGCCACAGTCTGGCACGGACACGAGGGCCTCCGACGGCGCGAGCGGCGGCATGGAACCATTTGAGCTGGACGAGGATGCGCTGTCGTCCATGACTGCATCGTCCGCCATCAGCGCAGGGGTCGTCGTCGTCACGCCACCGGGATACAAATCCTCGATCCACACGATTTTCGTCGCAAGCTGTTGCAAGTCAGGAGATACGTTCGGTCGATACCCTGCACATTCCACGATTATCAAGTCATATAATGGTCAATCTTGCGTACCCACGACCCAAAGTTCCTTGTGGCGCACGTTTTTGATGAGGTCCAACGAATCGTAAAAGTCGCCATCGCCTGGTATTTGATAGCCACAGGATTCGCATGAGCGATGGGCATGGCCAAGCATAAGGTATCGCACCTGCAACGAGCACCAATCGATCGGCCATCTGCATTCAACACGCCGAGAATTAAGGTTGAAAAGTTCGTGCTGCTTCACTCGTTCGACGTACTTGTTCATACACTAGAGACAGCATCTTCGTCGCAATGCTAATGGTGCACTCGTCACCATGCATGCAATATGAAGGTAGATCATACCCGTTGTCGACCCCTTTTTGAATCTTTTGCTGGAATTGGATGTTACACTTGGGACACCGACACTGGTACCCTTTCCTTTGGTATGTCTTCACTTGAAACTATAAGAGTTGGCGTGAGAGGCAATGGGCGCACAAAGTGTGCGTACCTGAGGGCCTTCTGGCGCGGCTCGCTTGAGCGCTCGAACGTCGGGATACCCCTTTTGCTCGTGGTCAAAGTACCAGCACTCTAGGTGTGCAAGGCTGCTTAAGGAATAGTGAGCTACGACGAGAAGGTGAATGCACCTGCAAACGAAAACCCAGCCATGGCTTCAAGGTCTGCTCGAAACTCCACATAGTCGAGTTTTCCATTCGGCTGTGTTGGATGAACGTTGCATGAGAACCAAGAGTTGATTTTGTGCACGAGTACACGCTGGTGGTGGACATACCAAGTTTCTCGCTCCAATGTTGGCATACGAACCATCTTGATCAAGGTTAGAGGGTCCCATAGGAACGAAATATATGCATACCAATGATCAAGACGCTCCGAAAAGGACGTGCGTGAGGCGGCGGCACCTGCAGCGACTCCATCGTGCGCCGCCGCGCGATGCGCTCCGAATTTGAAAAATACTCGACAGATAAACGGTGAATTCCTTTTGATTGGTTGAAAAGTAAGAGAATTATGAAGATTGTGAATTTGGATTGGCTAAATCGAAACTACCTGAATACGATTGGCCCATTCAGTTAATTGCACTGCAAGGATGACTGAGGAATGTTGGACTGGAGGATAATGCAAGCGTGTCACACAACTCGAACATCGCCTCTGGCACTCCGAGAGCTGTTGCGAATGGGCGTTGGAAGTCGTGAAGTAGAACCATTCAGATGAGGCAAGGGCCACGTGTGCCCGTGGAATCAACGACGAGGAGCCATCAGGCTGGCAAGTCCATTCAAAGAAGTCTGAACCATGAATTGGCTCATTGGGTGTATCTTGGGTCCTTTGCACGAGATGGGGCGTGCTGGACAGGGGCACTGGAGCTCAAATCGGACAGCGTGCGCGATCTCACCGTTGCCCACAACCCCTTGACAAAATCCATAAATGCAGGATCTCGCAAAACGTTGAACACGAAGTAGAGCACCATCGGGCCAATGATGACGACGTGGAGCATTCCCAGCATGTATATAAAGTCCTCCATTGTCATTTTGGACGTCATCTTCTTGGCTGTGCTTGGTTTTGCCGCTTCGCATGCCGCAAGGATGACGGCGGCGGCACCTTGTCCGAGTCTTTTCATTGGAAATTTGAAACTGCACAGGAAATTGCGGATAAACGAGGTGGTTACATTTTTATCCGGAAACCTTTCACAGTTGCCCAACCAATGTACTCGGCGCGAGCTCCACCACGGCAGCCGTGACGTCCGCTCGATTCCTTTGGCGCCGCTGCATAACGATGCCAGCCAATACGATGAACATGATAGGTAGGTATACCGCGCTTCCAAGCATTTCCTTCGAATCAGGGTTAGGGCCGGTCGACTGGGAAATGGCAGGGACTGCCTTCAGGGAGACAGCGATGTCGTCGAGCGCAGCCACGTTGAGCTCGCCATCGAAAGCATCAGTCGTGCCAAAGTACGCCAGTGCTATCTTTGGAGGCACGTGAAAGCTAAGGGGTACCCGCTTTGCCATGCACGACGTGTTGACTAACTCCAACTTGCCATACCCCATCACGTAGGACGCCACAACATACACCCCGCAGTGAACATCACCCTATCCATCAATACATTACATGAGACATCGCAAGCGCTTGACGATGTACCTTCATCATGGGCGTTTGGAACGCTGTGCAATGCGGGGCATCTGGAAACTCAATCCAGCGTTTCTGCGTGCCGTTGATCGCGGCATATTGCGCGCGTCCGTGGTGAATTTCCGTTTGTGGGTCGAGCGTCCCACTGAGAAAGAGGACTGACGCATGCAGAGGAATCGTCGACGTCCGATTAAAGTAGGCATCTCGGGCATAAGTGAATGGAGGAGGTAGCGCTCGGGTCCGTGAGGCAGGCCTGTGGGCTTGGCAAGCAGCATCGGCGTAGTTGGTTGCGACGCAGTAGGCTGGAACGAGGTCGTACACCCCCAGACCAAACGGCTGGGACTCGACGTAGCGCTTCATCTCGGCTTGGCTCGGTGTCGGGTACGACCACTCTTCCGAGAACACGATCAAGTTATACAGCATCGGGGTGAACTCGAGCAGTTCGTCACCCCCGACGAGTCCGTGGATGGGCACAATGGTCCTGCCATGTCCATGGGATGGTCGTTGGATTTTTCGCTGCATGAACGTCAGCACGTGGTCATCCTCGCGAGTACATCGGTGCAATCGGTACATGACGGCCGGGATCATTGTGCGGAGGGTGGCGCTCATAAGAAGAGTCGTGAGGAAGCGTCGAAGAGTGTTGGACGGTGGCGTGTCGGTCCAGTTTGCCGCCGGTCGACACAGGGATCCATCGACCCCGCCAGGAAGCCTTGCATCCAGGCGCTCGTAAATGCGCAAGAGAACGCGGCCCAACGGGATGTTGCCCGTAACAAAGTCTGGAAACTTGGAGTGGCAGAACGAATTTCGAGCACATTTCTCGAGGAATCGACTACCTACACACAGTCAATGACTTGGTTCAGCTCTGGCGATCGTGGGAATGGCGCACCGGCAGCGTTGATGTCGTGGTCAAACTGTGCAAAGCTGTGGTTCACTTGGGCGACAACACCATCCAAGACAAAGCCTTGGATGTGCCCTGGACCAAGCTGCATCACTCGCTCCACCAGCAACGTTCCATAGCTTGCCCCGTACACGATCACATTATGGTCGGAACTTGGCCGCAATCCCTTCGTCAGCATCTACACTCGAATCAAGCCTGACATCACGTCGTCGTTGCAAGGGTTAGTTGGAATGAATACAACGTACGAATAGATCGGTCGCGGCGCTTGTGATCGAAAACGCCGCGGTCTGTCCATCTGCCACCATCCTGAGTGCATCTCCTTGAAAGAGCACGCACCGATCTGAAACAAAACGTCGCGAATGCATGCAGGCAGCTCGTCGATCGAAATGGCATCTCCTTCGGCACTGCCGGGCGTGGACGCCTGCGCCGCGACGCATTCCAAGGGGTGGCTGCGTCCGGTTCCCCGATGATCCATCGTGTAAATGTTAGCTGTCCCGTTCGTGGTCGTAAACAAGTCGAGCATCATATACTCCACTACGAAAGAAGTTCCAGCGTCGATGGCGGCCGTTCGACCTTGCTCAAACACACGTACTGGCGACAGATGACGCCCCCGGGCCTCCTTGCAGCACCCATACGTCCTTGTCGACTCTCGACGAGTTCCCCAGCATTCGTTTCACAAATACTTGAATAAGTCGGTCACTGTGGCATGAAGCAATGGCTGGATAGCACAACGGAAGCTCTATCAAGGCGCACTCAGTTGCCACTTGCATCGTGTTGTGCCGCTCGTTTTATGACGGAACGGTGTTGGCGGAGCAGTTGAACCAGCCGTCGATCCGCCATCCCTCCATCGCCGCGACGGCAATATTTGACAGCAGCAAGATGCTTCGCTTCATCATCACAGTGCCGTTCGAAGATATGGCTCGCAGTGTCCGCCGACTTCCTCGACCGTTTCGTCGCTGGCCATTCCACCACGATCTTTCCAAAACGCTGGACTGTGGCGCTGCCACGTGTAACGTTTTCCATTGGTGAGAAATCCATGCATTTGATTGGCCCACACTCTGAAGTTTGATTGGGCCATTCGAAATCCGGCGAATTGCGCGATGGACCGCGTCCCGCTGCCGCTGACGCCGCTGGTGGACGCGACTGCGCCGTCGATCCCGTGGCTTTCAGAGGACGAATACGACATGTTTTCCATGTACAAGCAAACCAGTAGTGCCGTCGCCACCGATGCAACGAAGAAGCGCAAAGCAGCAGAACTTGCTGACACGTCCACGGCTATTGATGATACAAACCTGGAGCCCGCACCTTCCTCGATATCCTGCTGGGACGACGTCTTGCACGCCAAGAAGAGCACGCTTGCAGCAGAAGACCACAGCGTGTATTTGGAACTGAAGCAGCGCAAATTAACTGCGCAAAAGGTGAGGCCAACACCGATGCTAACGATCTGCAGCCCTGACACTTTGTTACAGATGGGCATGCCCGCGATCTTGGCCCTGTCTGAAGCCGAGCAAAACACTTTCGCTCGCATTGACGCACTTGTGGCGCAGGAGCAGGTACGTTTCCAAGGACACCACGGAGCTTCTAATTGTCGACCTCACGTAGCGGGACTTCCAAAAGCAGTTTGAGCGCGTGGCCAAGCGAGAGCTGGTCGTGCTCATGACTCTGCCTGAGGCTGTGGACAAGAAAGTACGTTAGCGTCAATGGTATTACACGTCAACAAGTTATGTCCAGGTCCACGACGAACTCCGCTCGCGATGCGACTTTGCCAAAGCAACGTACCCGCAGCAATACATTGCCTCGAGCCGCCTTCAGTTTCAAGAAGCAGTATGTACATGGCCCATCACGGGCGTTCTTGGATAGCTAACTCCATGTAGAAGTACGACGTAGCCGCTCCGAAACACGCCTTTAAGGCACTCGTCGTACCCGGCGATGGTTCCCATGCGATTCAGCCATTGCCGCCACCAGGTTCCATGACGGTCATTCCAGATGCCGTCGTCGACTCGGTCCTGTCCTCGCGGTGGCTTCCCGGTCCAGTCGTATCGTCGGACGCGGCAGTCCGAACGCTCATGCTCAAGCACAAGTGCAAAATCGCACTGACCACGTCGACATTGGCGACGCTGTTTGACAATCATGACGGGCGCTTTTACCAGGTGCATTTACCGACTTGGGACTTGATTTGGTCGTAAAGGTGTCCCGTGATCGCAGCCATTCAAGATTCCCGTGACTGTGGCCGACAACGGAGAAGTGAGAAGCGACGCATTCGGCGTGTGTGTGATGATGAATGCTATTCCAGGTACTCATGGACAAGCCGCTGGTACAAGCAAAGTGGAGCGGGCGAGCGATGAGTACCAAGTTTTGTCGCCGCCTGTTGATCCGCTGGCTTGAACCAAGACCGGTGGACCACACGCCCAAGGTTGACAACGTTGAGACATCCCTGTCGCCATCGAAGTCCACAACATATCACGTGTGGGATTTCGCAGGGACATCGGTGTTGGTTCGCTCGTCGATCCATGGCTCCACGGTAGGACCTTCCACACGCTGTGGCTCGCTCATCTGGGCATAAAGGAATCGCCCGTGACCATCCACGCCAAGATGGATTATCAGTGGAATCTCCTGCCGGAGCACGTCACTGAGCGCGACCGTGCACGCATTTGGCTGCATGCTTGGATGCGAGGGAATGCCAGCATTGCATTTGGTGCGTCGACACCTCGCCATGGATGTTTCATCACTTTGGCCCTAGGCCACTTTCATGGCACGGGCCCTCGTGTGACCGTGTCCAAGGAATCGGTGGCGTCCGTGGTATCGGTCGACGAAAAGTACGCGCGGCAGTTGACAGCACGACGATGTCCTACCTGATAACTCATTGTGGTGGTGTTGTGCAGCCCATTTACCAAGTTTCAACTTGTGCATGAGATTTTTCACCACGTCACGGAGCTTCCGACGGGGCAATACATCCTTGATCACACGCCCGCTCGAACTGGCGGTGGTGCTGTGACGGTGTACGCTGCTGCTGTCGGCGACGTCAGCGACTCGTCGGGCGATGTACCGAGTGCTCCCGCAGCTTCTATCAGCAGTGCCATGATGGATCTACATGCGTTTCTCGATGAGGCCGGGCGTTGGGATCGCACAGACTTGGCTTGCGTGATGCCGCAGTGGACCATGCCGCAGCAGATCCCGTACACGTTCCTTATCCCGACGTACTGTTCCAGCTATTACGCATCGGGTGGTCGGTGCGATCGAATTCACGGACGACGTAAGTGTCCATCCTATCCCGGTGAATTCCTGTGATCATCTGATGGAGAGTTTTTGACGTAGACAAACCGTGTGGCGACGTCCACTTGCGGGTTGGAAAGCATGCAGGTGTCTTTGTGTGCCAACTATCCGTCAGTGGCAGCGCCAGCCTCAAGAAAGAGCACACTCGCGTTCCCATGGCTCCGTTTTGCAAGGGCTTCTTGCAGAGAACTTGCGTCAAGGTGAGAGCATGTACCTCATGTCGACAGGGGTCGTATCCCCGACGCCGACAGATCCGCTGGATGGTTGGATGCAGCGGTTTTAGTCCATTCATTGCACTGACGGTCCACTTCTTGTAGAAATCGTGCTCCGACCCGCACATCGACCTGCCATTGCTCCTCCGACAGGTCGCACAAGAAGTGTTAGTGCATCCACAACCACCATCGACCCGCCGTTCCAGCAAATCCAAGGGCGGGGCGCCGCGCGCAAAGCCAACGGACCCACTCTCCACCACGTCGTGACTGTGAATGAATCGTGTGTTTATTACAGTTTAAACCAAGGTGCACGTTGCTCTATTGTCTCGTGCCAGGTCGTCACATAGTAGTCCCTAAGTCCTATTTCTCGGTGAGCGGCCGGAACCCTTTCCACCACGTCGGCGCGGCATACCCGCCGTTCGTGTCTGAGTTCTCCCGCGCCAGCGTTTTGAGGAGGACGTCCGTCGGGCCGTCGGGATATACGGCATAGGCAGCTGTCAACGCCGTGTGCGCCTTGTCCCAGTGGCCGTCCAAGTATTGCTGCATGCCGTCGTTGAAGAGCGTAAAAAACTCGCGCGGGATCTTCTCCTGCAGCACCGCGAGAAAATTGTGCCGGTCAAAATCCATCGGCATCTGAACGCCGTTCGGGTCCACGAGCGGCAGTGGAATGTCGACGTAGTTGCCAATGTCGAACGTCCACAAGTCCATCGGGATCTCGCTGCCCTTGACGGTCACACGGTCGACTTTGCGGCAGTACGACTTGACCACGGGGCTCAGCTCATCGATGAACCATTCGCTGATGAGCATGTCGCACTGGAACTGCCCCGTCGCGTTCTCGAGGCGAGCTGCCATGTTGACGTTCGGGCTCAGGTACGACGCGTCGATTTTGAATTTCGAGCCGATCGCGCCTTCGATTGCCCACCCAATGTGCAGGCCAAACCCCATGGCGACGTGAAAGTGGTTGTCAAACTTGTGTTGGAGCGACTTGTTGTTCAAGTACACGTGGAACCGGCCGTTGGGCTGGTTTGCCGCGTGGATTTCGACGCGCATGCGCAGCACCGCGATGAGGGCCGAGTCGACGAGTTCCTGCGGACAGATCTTGCGCGGCAGCAACCCCGTCGCCTTCAACATGACGCCAATGTCGGCGCGCTTCTTGATCCGCTCCGCTGCGTCCATGACAGGCTTGGTCGCCGGGTCCCGCGGGTCGCGCATCCCCGGGAGAGCGCCATCGCAGATTTTCCACGCGATCAAGAATGCCGACCCGATATTCTTGTTGGCCGCGCCATAGTACATGTTGGCGTCGCTGTGAACAATATCGGCAAGCGTGTTGATGTAGGTGATGACGCTTTCCTCGAGAATCGAGCACGTCTCGGTAAAGTGTTCGATGATGCCAAAGCCAAAGATGGACGAGATCTTCTTGCCTGGACAAAATGACCACGTTTTACACGGGCGCCGACTTGGAGCCGGGACGACGACGCACCTGGAATCATCACGTTGAGCTCGCCCGTGCCGCCCATGTTTTTCGAAATGATTTCCGTGCCGGCGCTGCCAAACCCGACTTGCAGCAGCCGGCCGATCTTGGCGATCGTTTTTTCAAGCATTCGAGTCTCGTACTCTTGCTCCAAGTCTTCAACGACCTCGACGTTCTCGAGGGGGTTCTCCGCCAGTCGGTTCACGAGCGCCATCTAGTCGCACACGACTCAAACGTCCAATGCTCAACATGGCACAACGCACCATGCGCTCGACCGGCCCGATCACGAGCTGGTCCGAATCCTTGGTGAAGAAGAAAATGCTCATCCCAAACACAAACACGATAATGCATGTCTTGCCGACGCTCGAGTGCGCATCCGCCGTGTTTTGCCCTTGGATGTTGAACACGACGCCGGAAAAGCACGACGTATCGTACACGGTTCCGTCGGCCGCGTAGCACGCGTAGATGCTTGTCGACGTGTCGAGATCCGTTTTTCGTAGGGTGGACAGGTCCGTCGTCAAGTAATCGGAGCTCCAGCCGGACGTCGGGTTCTTTTTCAGCGTGTACGGGGACGTGGCGTCGACCGCGCCCGTCGACGTCAGGCTTTGAAACCTCATCTGGTGCATCCATTCGTTCGTCAAGTTGGTCGGAATCCCGTACACGACGGCGCTCAAGATGAGCCCGTCGCACTGCCGGATGTATTCCTAGTCGTGCAAGCATGGATCGTCGTCACCACGGCCGTCGGGATGCTATCCGACGTACCTGAAACGACGTTTGGAATGCCGCCATCGAGACGTCCCCCGTTGCATTGTAATCCTGCGCGAGGCGGTGCAGGTGAAAGAATGCGTCGTACTGGTACGCGTCCACGCTGGACAGTGACATGTCGATCACGGGCAAAAAGATAACCATCGTCAGCACGAGCACAATCAAGCGGCGGGTCGTGAGCTCTGTCAAAATCCGACCGACTTTCGACGGCTCGTTGAGCTGGACTTCTTCAGCCTCGTCCTTGTTGCGGAACATCCGCGACACCCGAATGAGTCGGATGAGGCGAATCAACTTGACCATGCGGCCCGCCTTCGTACCCGCTCGCCCAGCTTTTCCCGCCTGCAGCGATGCCGACGCGATTCCCTTCGTGTTCGTATCGTCTGGCACAATCAAGCTCATCGCCCACGGTACGTCCGACAGGATCGTAATCGTCGAGATCAAGTCCATCCAAAACGTAAACGACATGCCGCGGTTGAAGTACCCCGGCCGCGCATACATGTTGGCCGCCATCTCGACTGCAAACCCCACAAACGTGAGGATGAGCAGGACATAGAACGCGCTGTCGGCTTCCCCTGAAAACCCGCTGACGCGCATGTCGTCTGCAAAAAGGGCGAAAATGGTCATGATGCCGAGCCCAATGCCTAGACCGCGGCCATCCAGGTGCGCCACGATTTGTTCGCGCCGAACCTGCGTCGGAGGGACCTTTTGCACCTCCGGGCTCACCTTGTTTGCCACCTTCGCCGACTTGGACGTTGACGAGGCCAGCATCGTCGAATTCCGCGCCGAGTCGGACTCGACCTCAGCCTCGCTACAGTCGTGCCCTTACCAAGTGTAACCACTCGCATGTTCAGCCTGGCTGGCGACTATTTTTAACTCCGTAACGCTGACGGTCGTCGTTGACGTGGCGCAGACCTTGAGCAGCTCAGCAACTGCACGTGGAAAAGACACCATTGCTGGGACATCTCGACGGCGCGGCATGAGGGGACTTTGACGTGCGACATGCAACCTCGTCACAGAGCAGGAGGAAGTTGCATTGCCTGCGAGCGACACGTCCACCTTCCCATATAAAAGCCCGACAGACGCGAGATCGTCGGCCTTGGGTCGATTCGTACATGCCTCGAATGCCCACGGGCATCTCATCGATCCGACTCGACGCCCGCGCATGAGCGTTTCGATTTGAAGTTGGGTTCAAAATATATCCATGGGGGAACTGGGCTAAATTGAGCGCTTGTATGCGCTCAGTGCATAACGTTACGACAGGGGAATGAAGGCACATGCCACGTCGTCGCAAGGACGGAAGAGCGAAACCATCGCAGTGCAAGCAGTCGAATCCTGCTCATCTCCCCCCGGTCTCATCAAACATAGTTTCCACGACATGCTCTGGCTGTGCGATGTGTTTGTGTGCCACATCGCATTCGCTTGGAAACGCACATACTGTCGCCGCCTCGGTTCATGTGAATCGGTGCTGCTGGCACGTCGTATGGGAGAGAAATATTGAAACAATGTGGTGGCGAGCATCGTCAATAGCAGTTCCCTACCGCGTGACGTTCTGGACGTTTGTGTCCCACGTCTGCCATTGCCACATTCTACTAGGCCTGAAGTGCAGCGTCGAATGTCGATGCGAGATGGACTACATTTTATTCACGGCGCGTGTGCCGCTATGCAGCACAAACCCGACGCACTTAAAGACGCAGCAGCATACGTCTGTGGGCCAACTAGGTATTCATGCGGAGGCGTAGGTGGGCAAAGAGATGGCGCCAAAATTCACTCGACGCCACTTTATCCAAGTGGCGCTTGTGCGGATGGATCTGCGAGCATTGTGTTCATGCAAGCCAACTTGACGAACAGTTCAAACTTACCATGAGAATTTTGACGTCCCATTTCTTGATTTCGTCGTTGAGCGGCGTGCCGTGCGAATAAATATGAATCCCGCAAACTAGAGGCGCAGTGACCACAACGACGCACAAACGAAAATCTCGGCCAACACCTACCTCGCTTAAACACTTCCAGGGGAAACTGCCACTGCCAGTCCTTGAACTGCCACGCATGCCCTGAAACGATGACACCAACGACGGCGTTCCTGGTGACACGAGTGAGCGGCCGGACCTTGCCTCCATCCAACGTACCAGTCGCGGGAGGTGAACCGGATGACGCTGTCCACGAGCTTGAACGTGTACGTGTGGTCGCTCTCCTTGATGTGGACCGTTAACGACGCGGGCTTGCGCAGTCCTTCCGACTTTTTTTGCGCGGTCGTGACAAAATGCCCTTCTTCCAAGAAGTCCTTGACATTCAGCAGACTCAACAGGTCCGACACCCCCGCGGGAACGACAATAATTGGGGTATCTACACGAACCATCGATCCGCTTGCATCGCGGGACCTCATGCGCCATCATGACGGTTGATACCTGGAATCACTCGCTTCATGGCCACGTGAAGAGGTAAGATTGTCGACGACGGCTGCGTGAGCAGCGTCGGCTTACCCGACCCATTGGACCGTTCTCGTTCTTCCTTCAACACCAGCTCGAACAGCGCCAACATCGACTCGAACGACTGGGAAGCACAACTCAGACGTTTCCGAGCAACTGAACGGCGAACAGGCACACGCGACTCATACCTTTGGCGTTGTCATCATGCTTGTGCGATCACAGTGCGTGTATTCCTTGTCAAGAATGCGCTTCTTGATTTCGTTCTCAGTGTCCGTCTCGCCCAACGCATCATCGCCGGATGGCGCGGCCGCACGCTCCACGTCCTTCGGTTTCTTCGATGGAGGTGCGGAAGCCGAGGAACCCGATTCGAGTGGACGGGATTGATCTTCTGCAGCTGCCTTGCGCTTCTGGGTTGCCGCGGCCTCTGCGTGGTCATACACTTGGACAGACTTTTCGATATCGCCACGCAGATACGCCATCAACTCTTTCTTGTCCATTGTCGACACCATAGTTGCCTTTTCCGACCGCGTCTTGGACACATATTCCGGAAACGACAACGCGGCATACTTGACACACGTGACGACTGCATGCAAGTCGTAGCTCTTCCCGGTCGCTTTGGAATGGAACGTCGTCTTCAACGTTGCTGGGAACCGATGGCTCACTTCCTTCTCGCCTGTTTCCATGTTGATCGAGTACAACAAGACTTCACCATTCTCCGATTCGATGGGACGGTTCGCAATCACTGCCGCGCGAACCAGCGCCAGCGCGTCCATCTTGTGTGTGGTGCACAATTCAAATTGCTTGCGATTTAATTGGTCAAAAATACAAGATATACACCAATCAAGCGCCTCAACAAACGAACACACAAGTACAACTACCTTTTTCACAAAATCTCAAATATCACTCCCATACGAAATCAAAGATAAAACCACGAGTATAAAAATTTATTGAGTTACACGGAATCCTATGTTTTCCGCACAAATCAAGGAAAATATTGGATGAAACTGTCAGTGCAATGGCCCAAGATACACCTTTCCATGCAAATGGCGGCGGCACACCGCACTCACATGCGCTTCCACGACGGTGGCGTCGTACCCTGCCGCGCAAAGCTTCACCATGTTTGCGGCGTACTTGAGGCTGTAGTCCGAGTACCCACCGCAGGCCGTGGCGACTGCTGTATTCACTCGTCGCAAGCACGTATCGTCCAGCAGATCGTTGTTGACGGGGAGGGTCGGCGTGGAAGCCAGTACCTTCGTTTGAATCTCAGCAAACATAATGTCAGCGAGTTCGCGCTCTTGGATCGTGTGGAGCAGAGCCTGGGCGAGGTCGTGGCGGGATTCTCCCGGAGGCGCGCGGAGGTACTGGTAAAACTTGGACACGATTTCAGCATCGCGCACGTCCATCGACGTCGTGGCCGCCAAGTTCGATTCTTCCGTGGCAATTGCAACGTTTCCATCAACGCGGGCGGCTGGGTCCAATGTGCCGAGGAAGTCGCCGACGGGCTCGACGGGAATCGAATCGATGGATCCAAACGCTAGCACGTGGCTCTTGTTTGTCTTGCGTTTGACGTTCTCATACTGCTCTTCCAGCGTTTCCTTGGACAGGTCGGACACATCGCTGTCCTCCATCCAATTCACCGAATACAAGTCGCCCAAACACGTGCCTAGCAAGTGCATGCCGATCTTGTCGCCGAGAGGAGGGCAATAAGTGCCCCAGGACGATTCGTGATCGTTCGCAGCTGTCGTTGCGTACACATTGATGTCGTTGGGCAGGAGTCCCTTGAACATGGAGCCCGATTCGCACGCCTCCATGTAGAACACGAGTTCTTTAAACTTGTGTGCGGCATGCATGTCCTTGAGCGTCGACACCAGGTCCTTGGCGTACAAGTTGTCCTTTGGAAACACGACAAATCCCGGCGCTCCGTGATCCACGAAGTTGACAAAGACGCGGTCCTCCGCAGTGCTCTTGAGCACTTTGCCGCCGGCACTCGCATCCCCACTGAGGACCTGTAGGAACTTCTTCGGAGTGACCTGCAAAACAAACGTTCATGAGGCTTGAATGCGAACAAGGAACAGTCAGAGTGCCCGTACGTCGTCGCCACGGTAGTCGATATGGCAATCTCGGTAGACGTCGACAGCATCCTTCTTGAACATTGTTGGGTGGTTAAAGAGTTGACCGGGGTACGGATTCGACGTGCTGTTGGCGGCATCATCGTACATCATCAGTACAATGTTGGAAGCGGGGAGGCCGTGGCGGCGCACAATATGATATGCATGACCTAGATAAACCAGCACGGTCAGGATCGCTTGTTACAGCAAAATACGTCATACATGCATCGGCTTGGTGGCGATAGTTCCAGTAGCCTGTGGACCCGACGACAATGACAGCCCAATGCTCGCCCACCACGGAGTGGACGAGAGCTGCGAGGGTCGCCGCGGCTAGTTGACGGAGCACACGCATGCGGCGTCAGAGGAAGATTGACTTGTGCTCTTCGTCGCCGCAGGCACAAGATCGAGAACATTGTAAGCCAATCAGGTTGCTGTAAACGCAACGGCAGCTGGAATATCTCACCAAGTTCTGTTCTCCATGTACGTTTTAACTGGACGTCCTCGAATTTTACATATTTTGAGCAATATAATTGATGGAAGATCCACATTGACAGTGAACCACAACGAAACTCGGCAACACAATTATGGGGACATAGCTTGCGGCAATTCAAGTCGTGTCCATACCAACCAGCTAGATTTCTCTGTTGTGCAGCACGTAACCTGTTTCCGCCTCAGCGATATGCATTTCGACCGTTGTATTTGCAATGAGCAATATTGAGCGATGGCAATGCGTTGGCGATTTACCAGTGACACCACTGCCACCAACAACATCAGCAGGTTTATTCCAATCTTGTGGCGGTGTATTTCGCCAGTGCTAACGTTATTGCGAAAGTTCTGCGACAGCACAATATATACAACCGAATTTTCAGTATTTGAACAATTCGTTTTGTGTCAATAATGCATTTTGCAGAATTGTCAAACGTCCGAGAGTAATTAAAGCATATTCTATTCTGTTGAAAATATATATGTAAAATTTGTAGAAATTGTAGACAACTGGGTTAATTATGAAAAGCAAGTTAAAATAAAGAAATTATGAAAAATTGCCATTGTTAATTGGAATAGCGTATTGCAGCACAATGTACTTTTGAAAGCGCGTCCCTGAGTCGGGCAGCGACATCATCGATGGCCACAAGCGCAGCATCCCCAGCTCTCCGCCGCGTTCTTCAGACGGACTTCACTGCAGCACAAGGAAACGCATTACAAGCTTGCTTTGCTAGCTTGTATGGAATCGACCTCGCCGACGTCCCGAACTTCATCTCCGATCCCAGAGGATACATGGTTGCCATCAATGCTTGGCTCGACTGTCGGGGCACGAACGTCCACTTGCGCAAAGTCCCGTTGTCTCCAAACGGGACGCTTCCATCGAACGAATCATCTCTCGTTCCCGGCACGCTCGTTCTCCTGCGAGGCAACTCGCCGCGTGGAAGCCATGCCCATGTCATCATCGCCTCGGTCGATTCTTCAGGTAGGGCATTCGTCCCGGCCATGGACCCACATCCCGACACAACGTACCTCAGTGACGATACGTCCGGGCAATGGGCTGGTCTACTCGAAGCGTCCAATCGACCCGATGTGTAACCTTGGCCATCGCTCACGATCCTTCCACCATTATCCCAGAGCTGGACTGGTCATGCTCAGCAACCCCACCTCACCCTTGCCAACACCAAACGCATGGTCACACGCTAAGCTCGCATGTAAGACAAAATCTATCCAACATCGTTGTAAGAGCACCATGAAGCGGGTTGCTCTATGAAGTGAGTCGAGCGATCGCAGGACATTCCGTTCGTACGGATATGTCCCGTGAAGAGTGCCGTGGCGAGCACTCCAACGTCAGTCGAATTTTCGAGTTCACATACCACGGGAGGTCGAACGAGCGATGCCGTGTGGACAAAAGAGCAAGAGATGAGCCACAGCGCCAAAATAAAGTTAATCACACGCACAATACCTTCCTAAAATCTACTCTCGACATTCCGTTCAAACGGAGAGGGGGGCTGGCTCTACAGCGCCGCCCGTTGCAAGGTCGCTTGGTGTTCAGCGATCAAGCCCGACACAACAGCCTGCATTTGATCGGGAAACGACGCAGCGAGCCACTTGAAGCATGCGACGATCTTCTTCTGGACATCTTCGTCCACGTCCGAGTTTTCACCAAGCGACTGAGCAAAAATGGAGAGGATCGTGCTCATGTGTTGGCTTGCGACGGGGTGTTGCATTTCGAGCAGCTTGAACAGCGCGCCGTACACGTTTTCCGTTTCGGAAAAGTCGGCCTTGAGCGGCAGCGCCTTCAAGAAGACGGGCAACACTTGGTCCAGCGGGACAGCTTCCGGCGCGGTCGAGATCATCGACGCCACGGCCGAGCACGCATTGTCGACCACGGCTTCGTCGTTGGCGTTGAAGAGCGGGGCGAGTGCCTGGAGGAGCTGCAGATATTGCGGCGCGAGTGCAGGACCGCTCATCCGCACAATTGCGCCGAGGCTAAAGGCCGAGTTGCGTTGGAGCGACGAGTCGGCCGACGCCGCGCCCTTGAACAAGGCGGGGACGACTTCAGACACGTACTGGGCGCCAGCCGCTTGGAGTTCCGGGAGCACTTCGCCAAAGCACCCAAGGATGGCCGCACGATCCTTGTCCGAGTGAATGCCAACGTTGAAGTATGCCATGAACTTCGGGAAGAGCGGCGTCCACAATGGCAACAAGCCCGGGCCGAACGCCTTGGCCATCGCACCAAACAGCTCGGTGAGCAAGTCAACAACGGTGCTCTTTTCGCCATCTTCGTCCTCGTCGTCTTCTTCGTCGTGGCCATGACCGTCGGTGTCGTCGGAGCTGAGTTCGAGCGTCGATTCCGTGAACTTGCCGATCAGGTCAAAATACGGCGCCAACACGACCGCCCCGAGTTCCGTCGTGAGCGTCGTGAGCGACCGGAGCGTGCCTTCGACGACGCTGGGATCGTCGTCGTGGAGGAGTTCTTGAAACACGCTCTGAATTTGGCCGGCTTCAACGTCGCCGAGTGGAGGGCCCATCAGTTTGTCCAAGAGGAGCTTGGTGCGAGGGTGTAGCTCCAGCAACTGACCTTGCGACCATGCCTTGACGTCGCCGTCCTGGGCAGCAGGAGTCGTGGCGTAGAACGACACAACCACGAGCGCGGCACACGCTTCCGGGACTACCGCACGCACAGTTTCGTGGATCGTTTCCACCATCAACGACATGGCGACCAAGATGTCGGGGACGAAGCGGTCAAAGGCACCGCCGAGGTTCGTCGCAAGCGCTTCAATGCATTGCACGGCCCGGGTCAGCATTTCCGTGGTCGCCGTGTGGACCTTGAAGTAGTGTTCGGTCGCGTCGATCTCGTCTTCGTCTTCGAACGCTTCGAGCTTTTGATCGTTGTCGCGGCAGATTTCGACGCCGTTGTCCGGCGTCAGCATGGGCAAGATCGCCTGGACGCACGTTTCGGCGTACGGCAAGAACGCCTGCTTGTAAATGTTGCTCGCGTTGATGATAAAACCCATGCACATGTCGTTGAGCTCTTCGTCGTGGAATTGCATCGTTTGGAACACGTACGGCATGATCGTTTGGATGTGCGGGCCAAATTTCTCGGCACCCAGGGCGACGACCAAGTACCCGAGGCACTCGATCGCGGTCGCGCGCAGCTGCAAGTACTTCTTGTCCGTGATGCCCAAGAACGGCTGCAGCAAATCGCACACGCCGGAAAAGTACGGCTCAAACTTGGTCTTGGCGCCGACCGAGACACTGCCCAACGCGGAAATGGCCAACTTTTGGATGCCGGGTTTTTGGGTTTGCACGAGCACCACAAGCTTCTCGACGAGTCCGTTCAAGAACGGCTCGATCTCTTCCGGCTCCATCGACTCGGTAAAGACTTCGAGAACATAGCACGACGTTGCCTTGACCGCCGGCGTCGGGTCGTCCAGGAGCGCGAGGGCAACGGGGATGATCTCGGCATAGTGCGATTGAATCTCGGGCTGGAGGTACTCGGCAAACTGGCCGAGCGAAAAGCACGCGGCTTCCCGGACGTTGTGGTGGGTGGACGACGCGGCCGAAAAGATGAGCGGCAACACGCTCGCGAGGTTCTCCGACATGAAGTCGGACAAGCCTTCGGACACGACGCCGAGCGCGAGAACACCAGCCTTTTGCATGTTGGGGTTGGTGGACCCGACGACTTGATGGGCGCACTGGAGGATAATCGGTTTGAGCGTCTTGGGCGACAAGCTCAGTGCCATGTAGTCGAGGGTGCGCTGCGCCATTTGCGTCATCTGCTCCTCTTCGTCTTCGTCGTTTTCTTCCTGCAAGATGCTGAAGAAGACCCCGCTCGCCGACACCGTGTCGGCCGCAATCGCTTGGATCATTGCGTTGAAAATCGTTGGCGCCAGGTTGGACTTGGAAATGACCTTGGGCTTGTTTTCGATCATCGAGTTCAGGCACGAGTTGGCCGCGGACCGCGTCGACTGTTCGACATCGGGGGCCATGAAGATTTGGAGGAGGAGGTGCACGAGGGTCGGCATCGCCTTGGTGAGAAGCGGGAACGAGATCTCCGACAGCGACGTGAACGACTCCATAAAGTCGCACGCTTCTTGTTCGTTCTGTGCCGCCATGCATGCTTTGAGGATGTCGATCATGGGCTCGACAAGCGTTTGGAAGTCTGTTGCCGTCTTCTTGTCCGAGACTTCGTTTTCGTCCAGGAATGGCGCAATGCCGCACGACGCGCGCATAGCTTCAACGCGAACTTTCATTTCGGCGTCCTTAAGCCCGTTCAAGTAGAAGCCCTTGACGTTTTGGAACTGTTCAATCAGTTGGTCGCCAATCGTTTCGTTCAACTTGTTGAGCAACAGCATGGCGAGGTACCGCGCGGGCGCGCTCGCGGCGTTCCCAGCACACGTCGTGATCAAGTTGAACAGTTCCGGCCATTGGCCTTCCGGCATAATTTCGGCGGCAACGGCGGCGATGATGCGCGCAATGCCGACTTGCACGACCGCGATGGGTTCTTCCACAACACGTTGGAGCAACGCTTGCGCGAGGCCAGTGCGTGTGGGAACGTCAAAGTTTGACCAGTGCGACGAGATCTTCAGGTGCATGAGCAACGCCGCGTATTGGCGAACTTCCGGGCGCGACGACCCTTGCAACTGGGTCATCAACCCCAGGATGGACGCAGGCGATCCGATGTATTGCTTCAGCAGAGCTTCCGCTTCCTTGATGACCTGGGTGTTGGGTGCCATCAGCCGCGAGATGCACTCCTCGAGCTGTTCTGGGGCGAAGTCGACCATGGTGCGATGTCGTGTGGCGGATATCTCCGAGAATGACTCGAAACGGTGATCTTCAAGATCTCAGCCAATACGAAATTGAAGGCGAAATGAATGGTGAAGTGCATTTGCCGCCGGGGAGAGCCAATCAGAGATTGCATATTCCCCGCCATGCCATTCGATTGGTGGAATTCATCTGTGCACGTGACGATCTTATACGGGGCATTGGGATGAATTGCCCCAGTGCGCGCCGGCACAACGCCTCAGGTGCGAAGGGGGCGTCGTGGCGGCGACCCAGCCCCAACAGGCCACGAGTGGTTCGGCACCTCATACGATGTTGCTACTTCACGTATGTCTTCAGTTGGATGCCATCGCCAGCGTTCGAAACCCCGAAACCATAGGAAACGCCGCGTCAAAAACGATTTGTGCGTGCATGGATCATTCGCCGATGCGAGATGAACTGTATCCAGGCGCGCCATCACGACTGCCTTATCAATAGTTGTAGCTACCGTAGCCAGGAGATTCTTGTACCCAGGACAGGTTGCCCGCCACGAGGCAGCAACGGATGCTATCGGCCACGATGTGCAGGAGGCGGCAATTGTCTTTACAAGGGTTTATCCCACGAAGGGCATTTTAATTTTCGATGCAGATTTTTAAATCGAAATAGTGCGACATGACACAATTGTGGGTGGCATGCTCGGGCTCGTGACGACGGTAGCGGTGGACTCAGCTTCGCCACGGGAGCTCGACGTCCTCAGCAGCTTCCTGCTATATCACTTGTCTGTCGGATTCAAACGCATCTGCGTCTTCCTCGACACGCCTGGCACAACCTCGGAGGAAGTGCTCTCCCGACTGCATTCCGCCTTGAAGCAACACAGGCAAGCCATCGATATCGTGGAGAAGTCGTCGAGCTATGCCATATACCCTACTTGCAGTTTGTACGCAGCCCTGCAGCCTTCGATTTCAGATGAAGTCCATGCACGCCAGCAGTTGAACTGCGAACTCGCGATGACTTCGTGCCTGACGTGGAACGAGATCGCCCGCACGGATGCTTCGCGCACTCCGTTGGAGTGGCTTGTACACTTGGACCTCGACGAGCTGCTTTACTACCCCAGCAACCACGACGACGACCGCAACGATGGATTGCACATGTTCTTCGCGTCAGCATCTCCTTCGATTCACCAATTCACATTCGTCAACCATGAAGCCATCCCAACCACAGCCAACGTGTCCAATTACTTTGTTGAAGTCAGCCATTTTAAAGTAAACCACTTGGTCGCGCCGTTCACGTCTGCTGCCCAAGCCTGCATGAACCGATGGAGGGACCGCACGACGCATCGGCAGTACATGCTTGCCTACGACAACGGTAAGTCTGCAGTTCGCATTCGACGAGGCGTCTTGCCGTCCAGCGTGCATTCGTGGCAGCCGCACCCTTCCCTCGCTACTGTGACCAACTTCCCCGACCCACGTCGAATGAACATGGCGACGACGATCTCACATACAACGTCGCCGTGGATATTGCACTATCCAAGCTGCGGCTACGACTGGTTCAAAGAAAAATATCGTACGCTTGGACGATTCCCCGACGCGTGGTTCCAGGGAAAGCTGCCAATTCAACCGTGCTTCCACACGACAGCCCGAGACGTATGGGCGACCTGCGTTGAAACCCACGACGAGAAAGCGATGCGGACCTTGTACCACGAGCAAGTAATGCTTGATGACCCCGACGGGTTAGAAGCCCAAATCGATGCAGGCGTGGTCGTGCACCTCCTTGGTCCATCCAAACGTCTTCAGCGACTTCTTGGACTCCAACCACAGGACGTACAGTCGCAGCCGCCACCACTGCGGCCTTCAACATATCGACCATCTATCCCTCCGCCTGCAGGCATTTCAGAGGTCGGGTACAATTCAGAGAAGGCTTGGATGTTGGCGTCCATCGCGGCGAAGTACTTGTGATCTTGCCAGTTTTCGAGAAAGATCTCAATTTGGTTGTGCCTTTTGGGAAAATCCGAATAGCCAATCCGCTTCGTCTATTCAGGACATTTCCCTATATTTTAACCAATCAGAAATTGCCTCATGGCAGGGAATTCCAGCAGAAAACAACGTGCATGCCACTTGAAAAAGATTACTCGTGTGATGACGTCCATGGGGCTGCGTGTGATCATGCTGGCGCTGTGCAGCGCTGTCGCGTTTTCGTCCGCCTTTTATACGTCGGCAAGTGCTGTGAAGAACTTGGACCCCAAATCCTTCGAAAAGGAAGTCATTGGCGGCAAGGGTGTGTGGTTCGTTGAGTTTTACGCGCCATGGTGCGGTCACTGCAAGAACCTTGCTCCGGAATGGAAGAAAGCTGCGAAGGCGTTGGATGGAATTGTGAACGTTGCTGCTGTCGATTGCGACCAACACAAAGAACTTGCTGGCAAGTACGGCGTCCAAGGGTTTCCGACCATCAAAGTGTTTGGAGACAACAAGCGTTCCCCCACGGATTACCAAGGCCAACGCACGGCGCAGGCGATTGTAGACGCAGCCGTCAAGGAAGCGTCCAAGTTAGCGAAGGCTCGTATGTCTGGCAAAGCATCGACTGGCAAGCCTTCGCCGCAAGAAAAGCCCAAACCCAAGTCGAAGCCGTCGCCTTCATCCTCTGCCGTTGTCACACTCACTGACGACAACTTTGACGAGCTCGTGTTAAACAGCGGCGACGTGTGGATGGTGGAGTTCTACGCCCCTTGGTGTGGTCACTGCAAATCGTTGGCTCCGGAATGGGAACAAGCTGCCTCGGAGCTGAAGGGTCAAGTAAAGTTGGGTGCTTTGGACGCCACAGCGGCCGAGCGCAAGGCGAGTGAGTATGGCATCAAGGGTTTTCCTACGATCAAGCTGTTCGGACCGACGGCATCGTCTGCGTCGGATGCTCAGGACTACCAAGGGCCTCGCCAAGCGTCGGGCATAGTCTCGTATGCGCTGCACCAGCTCGAGAAACTTGGAGGTGGCTTGAAGGTGCCTGAAATCACGTCGATGAGCACGATGCAAGACCACTGTGCTGGCAAGTCGATCTGCGTCGTTGCGGTCTTGCCTCACATCTTCGACTCGGGGGCGAAGGGCCGCACAGATTACCTGAGCCAAGTCGAAGGTGCTGCCAAGTTGGTGCGTGGCAAGCCGTTCCGGTTCTCATGGGTCCAGGGTGGCGACCAAAACAAGCTCGAGCAAGCGTTCGACCTCACGTTTGGATACCCTGCGGTCGTGGCGATTTCGCTCGACAAGCAGCGGTACTCGGTCATGCGCGCCGCGTTCGATAGCAAGTCGATTGCCACGTTCCTCGAAGATATTTTTTCTGGCAAGCAGAGCACATACCCGTACGACAATCTACCGGCGATCCACACCGTGACGCCTTGGGACGGCAAGGACGCCAAGGTCGACGCGATTGTCGACGACGATGACGACGATATCCTCAAGGAGCTCGGTCTCGGCGGCGGCAGCGACGAGCTTTAGATATGATGCTTCTTCGGTTTGTGACACGGTCCATGCCAAGTTGGTCTAATGACAAAGTTTTGCTGGAATGCGGTTGAACATTATGGATGCCGACGAGTGTTCCAGCGGTCATGGAACCACATGTACTGAGCTGGGAAGGCCATGATGAGGGACGACAAGGTCGTGGCATACACTTGCATGATGGCTTGCACCGATGGCTGCTGCCGCTCTGCAGAAATCGCGTCGCGATGAATCTAATGGGGCCATGTGGACGCGTCGGAACAGCATTGAGTCGCGTACCGGCAGCGTGTGCAGGATCAACGGCTTGGCGTGATTTGGAGGCGCCAACGTTAACGCAGTGAACCAAATAGGACGCCGCGTGCGCTGGTGCAGGACGGCCATCCCAGGAGCCATCCGCGAGGGCTGGCCAACAAACCACACGTCGACACCACTTCGACTGGGCCGTTGGTCGCAAACGAGGGCGACAACGTCGGAAGCGGGTGGTGCAGCATGCCGAGTGTCGTTGAGAGCGCTGGAGTCGGGATCGGAAGCGCGCGGCGCCAAGACATTTGCCAGAGCAGGAAGGCAATTTTTATCCTGGCAAGAGTCGTGTGAATTGAGATCGAAGATATGGATGGGATTGTACTGGAAGCAAACGAGTGTGGGGATAGCTTCGGAGACGAGTCAGCCATGCGTTCAACGGCTCGTTGTGCAGCGGGCGATAGAGCTACATGTACGATTGAAATGAGCGGTGTGGAGGCACGATAACCTCGACGACGCGGCGAACGTGCAGATGCGGTGGCGCATGCACACACGGTAGCAGTTCCCAGCAGCCTACACCAAATTTGCATTCGAGCAGAGTGCGTACATGCAGTGTGGAACCTACCGATATGACCGGTCACGACAATCACGGACCCTTCGCTCAGATCGGCCACGTATGCTGGTGGAAACGCGAGGTCGATATAGCGCTCCATGTGCCTCCATCGTCCGAACGCTTGAAGATGCAAAAACCAAAGCAAGGACTATGCCACGGATGGTGAGATGCGAACGTAACAGGAGACGGTCGAGCGTACGACGCAAGTGTTTTCGTAGGTTTCACGGACAAGGCGCTTTCGCTTGGCTACGCTCATCGACGGAAACGCCGCGGCGACATTGCGTTGCACAATTTGCCTACGAAGACCCACTGCACACAGTAGGAACCCGTCGTCGGCTGCACGACCCCGCGCACCTGCGTGCCCAACGCGTCCCAGTAGTCGCCCCAACGGAACGAACAATGAGGGAGGAAGGATACCCACGACAAAGGCAAGACCTCGCAAGGCGAATGCAACGACATGGTCCCTGATGCGTCGCCTTGCGCCGGCATTCTCATCCAGCGTTGCCAAAGTCCCTTTCATGCCGAGATGTATGCTACTGCAAATTCCGACAGAAATTAGTGTAGTCCATCCCTTTCCCATTGAAATCGAGCGCGATGCCCAAGATCGAGCCATCACACGGTGGACACGGTCATGTCAGATGCAGCATTCCGCATGGACGGTCATGGCAGAGTCTGTGGTTGCTGCGGAGGTGGCTCCGCTCTGGTGGCACCTCTCGGGTGGGCAGGCAAGCCCAACATGTTTAGGATGGCAGGATATATTCAAGTTGGAAGCATAGTTTACGCATGGAGGAGTTCGATTTCAAAAATGAGGTCCGAGTTTGGGGGAATGTCCTTGCCGGCGCCTTCCGAGCCGTACCCGAGCTTGGACGGAATCGTGATCGTCCGCTTCCCGCCCACACGCATGCCTTCGACGCCAATGTCCATGCCCTTGATGACGTTGCCCGAGCCTAACTTGAACCTGAACGGTCTCTTGCGGTCTTGGTTGGCATCGAACTGTTTGTTGTTCTTGGCGAGCTTGCCTTTGTAGAGTATTTGCACCTTGCGGCCCTTCAAGGCTTCTTTGCCCGTCCCGATGACACTACATCATAACTCGTGAGCATTCCTATCGACCAGAGATATATTTGTACCTGTCTTCGACAGTGACGCCACCTGCCTTGCGCACGGGCGTTGGCTTGGCCTTTTTCGAGCCTTCCTCACGGGCGGCAGCATCCACAGGTCGCTTCTTGTCGACCTTCTTCTCTTCCTTGGCCGGCTCTTCTTCGTCTACAATCTCTTCAAATCGACCCGAGTCGGGGATTTCATCACCATCATCATCGTCGTCGTCATCTTCTTCGTCAACGACTTCGAGGAGGTCGTGTTCGTCATCGCTGTCGTCGTCGTCGTCGCCGCCAATGCCGTACAATCCTTCGTCGTCTTCGTCGACGTCTTCGTCCATTTCTGCATCCACATACCCAGTCAAGTGGATCGCGTTCACTCCTTCCGTCGAAAATGTGACGGCGCCGTCCATTGGCGAGAAAGTGTGGCTCAACGTCCACTGCGAAGCCGACGCAATGTCCAACGTGCACAACGCAATCTTTAAGTCCCGACGTTCGGACGATGCATACAGCGTCGTGCGACCTGCAATGGCATCACCGGCCAACGCTGCGCCAGCGAGCTGGAACGCCATGTCTTCAGTCGGGTTTTCACACACCAAGCTATGATGCGGGTGAATCTGTTCCCCGAAGAAACCGGGCTCAATAGCAAGCTTGGTCACTGTCGACGCCTTCTTTGAAGGCGATGCCTTGACATCAGCCGCCTTCTGGGGCGTGGTATCCTTTGCAGGGGACGACGAAGTGTGCGCGGCGGACTTGTTCTTGGCCATGATGTTGAAACGATTCAAATCGATGTGTGGCGGGCAAAAATGAACCAGCAGCAAACCAATGGAACAAGTCCACGCTTGGTTTCACCCAATCAGAGACGACCACTAAATTTTTATGAATAATCGCTTGAGCTTCATACAGTATCACTGTTGAGAGTTGGAAATTTCTAGAAATATTTTGATTTGTGATATATCCGATATTCGTCCATTTACCATTTTTTCCTCCGTTCAATGGTTTCACACTATTTCATACACACTGTAAATAGTGTGAAATGGGCTGGATCGACTGACAAAGCTGGTGCCATGGTGTGCGACATCACGCACGATTTCCACAAGCTGGCCAAGTGGAAGGCTGCGCCTCGACAAGATAAGCAAGATGCCAATCATCAGGTCACTAATTTCATGCAGGCGGCCATGGATATTGTACGTCGTCCTTGTCGCCACGGCGATCTAGTCGTCATGAAACCAGGGTGCTGATCAGACTGTCCATAGCTGCGCGACATTCAAAAGATTGCGGCGTTCTGGGAGGAAAAGAGGAGAGCGTACTTGAGCCCTTCGCACTTCCTACCGAGCAAAGCAACGGTGTTCACTGACTTGGAGCGCGAAGAGCTCGAAGACGTATGGAAGCCGACTTGTCGCCTTTGGTCCGCTCCGCTGTCGTCCTCATTTTTCGAACCATGCGTAGAGCTTGCTTGATTCGTACAAGCTATGCGAGCAGCGTCTGGACGAGCTCAAGAATGCAGTGCTTTCCATCCCCGTAACACCACAAGTGGCCAAAGTACATTCGGAGATCATTCACTACCTGATCGACCGCATCAAACGCGGCATCTCATCGACAAAAGACCACCAGACGAAGCGCATGAGTCGGCCCTTCTTTCTGTCTAAAAAGTACGGTCATGTTCAGGTCCTGAGCAAGCTACCCGTCACTTTGTTCATGCAGACTCGTCCCCGACGGCATCGAGTTCAATCGAAGCACCATCGTTTTGCCCAAATCCAAGACTGCGCCAGTTCCGCTCACCACAGCATTGCCCTCGTCCAGTGCGTCGCCACCGCAGCCTAGCATCCCAGATTCACCTTCTGCACGTCCTCTAGCACCACCATCTCCTGTACGTTTGGCCCATTCAATCCCAAATGACGTGGAGCGATGTGCAGGCCCGTGGACAAACCTGTGTCGACGAACCAGCAACGACTTGGCCTGGCATATCAACCACCGCACCGCCGTTCGTGGAATTATCGTCGAAGAACGCACAAGACGACGCCATGGTGTTCTCCGAGGCCGAGACGCGTCAATTTCACGCCGAGAACGTTCAATTGCATCGTCATTTCCACGATGAAATCGACGCCGCCAGGTACTCTTCCTCGCTCCCCGTTTTACACCACCACTTTCTCACGAGTTGCTCGGGTTGCGATGGCTAGACGCGTCGAGAAACAAGTCCACGACATCCGAGACATGATGCATCAATTCGCGAATGAAATCGGCGGCCAGGCGGAAAAGATGCACGTTGTGGCCAAGGAAGCCGACTTGGTGGCCGAGAATGTCGGCCACGGGAACCAGTCGCTCAAGCAGGCGGCAGACTATGGCCACGGCCTCGGCTTTCTCATCTTTTGCTGCTACGTGGGGGCGTCCACCTTGCTCCTGTTCTTCCACTATTATTAACATGGTCACTGCGTCCTTCGTTGCGGTCCATGGGGCTTGGTCGTATGCCACGTCTCCAACATCCTGCGCTATTAAAGTATTCCTTGGCTCAATGCGTTGCTTAGTGGTACATCCATCATACTTAACGCTTAGCTCGCTTCGGGGGCGGGCCACCGGACGACTTTTTCTTGTGTTTTCGCTTGAACTCTTCGTCACTGTCGGCTTCTTTCTTTTCGTTGCGCATCATGTCGGATGCGCGGGCTTCCTTCTCGAGCTCGTCCCAGCTCGGGCCTTCCTCCTCGTCTTCTTCGTCGTCGCTGCCATCGTCCGAGTCGTCGTCTTCATCCACGAGCGACACGTCCGAGTCGGAATCGTCCGAGTCGTCGTCGTCCGATCCGTCCGACTCGCTGCCGCTCGCGCTTCCTTCAAACTCGCTTTCTTCGTCTTCTTCGCCGTCGTCTTCGTCGTCGCTGCCGTCCATGCGGAGGAATTCCCACCCGGCCGGTTTGGGCACGCCGTCTTCGTCCGTCTCCAAGTAGAACCGATCGTCCGCCTTGATCGTGACCATGATTTGCTTCCAGTTCAAGTTGGCCGGCCCTTCCGTAAAACAAATGTCAATATCGTCCAGCCATTCCTTGATGCGTTCGAGTTCGTTGGTCGAAATCGCCGACACGCGGACCGGCACCAAATTAAAGTTTTTGTACACAAACACCATGTCAAAGTTCTTGGACCCGAAAAACACGCGCTCAAAGTGAACGTGCTCGACGTCGTCCAGCAACGTGATGAAAAACGGGTACTCGGTCAGCGACACCAGGCAGTGCACGGTCGGCTGCAGGAGGACCATTTCCTTGAACGGCGTGCCGCTGAACCCGAGTTCCCGGTACGGAATGTCAAACGTGATCGTTTTGTCGATGGCTTCGCTGACTCGCTCGACCTTTTGGCAAAAATCCTTGAACGTCAAGTTGAGCTTCTCGCGAAGCGCGCGCTCGCGGTTCTCTTCGTCCAGTTCGTCGGGATCGTACATGGACCGGCGGCGATTTTCCAGCGCCTGACTGGACTCGATCACTTCCGTGTAAAACTGAACGTCCTGGTGCTTCTTCTTGCCAATCATGATCGGGTTCTTCAGGTGAAAGTGGATCAACACGACGAGCTCCTTGTCGCACGGTTGAAAAATCGCGTGCTTGATGTTGGCGTACAAAATGTCGAGCTTTTGGTTCTTGTTTGTCGTGAAGCGGAACCCGTTGTAGTGCGCTTCGAGCGTCCCTTGCGTCTTGCGACCGCTCAAATGCGGGCGCGCGCTCAGGTCACTCAGTCGCGGCACGCGGCGATCGCGATGCAAGATCAAATCTTCCTGCACCACCAAATCTAGACACCACAACAGTCACACATTTGGACCCACCAACGCCTCGACGGACGTACCCGACTCTTCCTGCTCCTGTTGTTCGCGTTGTTTGACGCGTTTCTGCAACTCCTTGATCAGTCGAAACTGGTTGTTCAAGTTGTGCGCGTCGCTCGACCGAAAGCCCAGTTCCTTGATAAACATGAGCGACGGAAACTTGGCGACGGCCGCTTGCATCGCCGGGGACGCGTCCTTCCCTAGAGTCCCGCCAACGCCCGGACAGTGAAAGTTGATGCGGAGGTACGTGGCCTTGTCCTCTTCGCTCTTGCTCACGTTCTTGATCGTGGAAATGTGAAATGGCACGGGGATGCCGTTGATGGGGACAATCACGGCTTCCGCGCGCATGTCGACCGCGACTTGGCGGGGTTTGAGCTCCGGGTACCGAGACGAATGGTTGTACGCCACGATCGCGTTTCGGTCGTGGCGTTTGCCTTGGATGGCGTCGCTGCTTTGCTCTTCCAATCGACGCATCGCTTCCTCGCGCTTTCGTTTCATGAGCTCGGCTTGATGGCGGTCGCGACGTTCCTGGTCGGTCTGCTTTCCTTCCGACTGGCGTTGCTTGTCACGCAAGCGGTTCTGGACAATGTTGCTGCTGGCAGGCGCGTCGTCGACGTCGTCATTGTCCGCGGCGAGTTCCTTTCGTTCGCGGTGCTGCTTTTGCGCATTGTCTAGCTTTTCCATTGCCTTACTCGACGACTTCTCGGGCTCGTCCATTCCGTCGAGTACGTAATGCACTTTGGTCCACGCCTTGGAGACTTTGGTCAAGATCTTGGTTTCATCCGCTTGCACGGCCACGGTGTCCGCGAGCAAAATCGAGTACGTTTCTGGCAAGTGGCGAGGCCGGTCGGTGTCCTTGAGCGGGATGTTCTGAAACCCGATGGCGACGTTGAACGCTTGGCCCGCCTGGATCACGTGGTGGTTCTTGGCCGTGAGGAGCATGCCAGCCTCTCGGAAATCGAGCCCAATGCCAAACCCAAAGTTTTTTGTCAGGAGTTTGGCGAGCTTCGGATTGCGCGATTCGATCAGCTTTGTAATTTTTTCAACTACTTGACTCACAGTCTTCCCGGGACGGAGCTCGTTGATGCACGCATCGTGCGCTTCATGGAGCAGCTCGTACGACCTCTCCATCGACTTTGTTGGCGTCACAAAGAACGTGCGTGCAACATTCGAACAGTACCCCTTGTACCGCGCGCCAACCGACGCCACGATCACGTCAAACTTCATCACGTCCGACGTACTCTGGGCGCTTGGCTTCAAGTCGTACTTGCCACCGGACTGAATAATCGGCGAGTAGCACGACTCGATGTCCTCGGGGCTCAATGTGACCTTGATCTTGCTTGGATCTTCAAATACACCTTCAATGTCGGCACTCAGCGCGTCATGTTTGACTCGCTTGTCCTCGTCGATGATGCTTTCCATGTCCTCAATGAATTTCGATTGAAACACCTTTTTCGTGAGCGCGCCAGCCCAACGAATGTTGTCCTGCGGTCGTTGCGGTCAGGAGAGGGTGATGCAGGACACAAAAATGGAGACAACGTGGCAGGAACGTACTAGTTCTTCGGGGGCCTTGACTCGCAACGCGCATTCAATGCCCTTGGAGATGTCGATCTTTTCCAAGCCAGCCGCATCGACTTCGCTCATGAAGTGCGCCACCAAGTCGCCTTCGGGCGACTCCTTGGTCAACACACCAATGCGTTTCTTGACGCAGTCTGCTTGAATGGCAGCGATGAGAGTGGCGTAGTTCGATTTGTTGCCGTCTGTCTTGTCCCGCTTCAGCAGCTCAAGCTTGACATCAGATGTGGTGTTGCCGTCGAGGATCTCTTCCAGCATCGTGTACTTCTTACCACTCGTGAGCACAATTAATTTGGACTTGGTGAACACCATCAAGGTCTCTGGAAACTCAAGAAACCCAAGCAAGTAGAACTGCAAGACCGCCGATTTACGATATCCGCTGTCTTCTGGGTTCGGTTTGCCCGCCAAGACCAAAAAGCTTTCAACATCGTCCCATTCGGCATTTTTCGGATCCTACGACCATATTCCCATCAGCATCACGCGCCTGATGGCCCTCTTCCACTAGTCTCCATGGACACATACCCTCCAAGAGGAATAAATGTTGTTGAGACGGCGGAAGAACAACTCCTTGTCCAGTTGCGGCGCCGTCATCTTCGCTCCAACCTTGCCGCTTGCAAAATGGTGCGGTTTGGAGGGAACTCGAGGTAGGTATCCGGATATTTTCCCGGATACCTACCAATGCAGACGTTTCCCCGCCCCAACTCAACGTCGCCCGCACCACCACCCATCGCTTCATGGCGGTAGGCGCCGCGCTTGATGCGTTCTCGTCGTTCCAGTGCATCGCGCGCGTACACATGTGCTCAGTGAGGCAAAAGCATGTTGATGGACGAAATCGAATGCTGCACAGCGTATCTGAGGTACAGCTGATCGGAAATTGGCGGGAAATCGACGAAACCACCTGCAGTCGCATTCCACGACGAGAGAAAGGCTCAGTTGTATGAATGGCCATGCTTGATCGCTCTCCATGTCCACTCGTCGCACGTGAAGGATCGTCACCGTTTGACATCGCCGATTGCATTCAACCGTGATCTTAGTGCCAGCAGCCTACTACCGCACAAGTATGTACTCAAGCTCAACGAGATCGTCTTCGCAAGCAAAGGCACCATTTGCATGGACAAAGGTGCACAGTCATGCATCTTAGCCGCCTAAATGTCGTCATGAGCAGCACCTCATAGACATGATTCAGGTGACTATCCACTACAATAAGGAGGAAAGGTCACTAAAGCTCGCGACCACCTTGTCGATCTGCTCGGTAGCTTCTTGAAGCTTGTACACAAGATCTTCTAGCTGCGCCACGGTGCAATTGAACTCGATGGTCGAGACATGGCCTGTTCGAGGAGACTTGGTCGAGAGCACAATGAGATAGAGCGGCTCGCGAATGTTGCCGAACGTGTTGGAACGAATGCAATGGTCGAGTCTCCACGAAAAATCGACCACTTCGTCCAGTTCCAAGCCTGATACAATGTGAGATGGCGAATTCGTGAACTGCGCGACCTGACACGCCACCTAATGCACGAATGTTCGGAAGGGACGCATGAAGTAGGCTAGCGATGTCGTCCACGTTGGCCTCTGTGACTCCCAGTTCTTCAATTAATCGTCTACATGACGGAGTGCGATGAGGGACTGTATGTTCGAGGGGGCAAGAGGCAAGAGGCACGACCAACCTCGTGCTTTCTCGAGTAAGGTTCTGTTTGGCGACGTCGGCGACCAAGATGCATATAGCTGCATACGCTTCTTTAAGTGCGATAGATTGCTCTACACCAATATTTAGCATCGGTAGTGCAGCTCGTTAGACGAGAATTGATCGTGTGAGGTCAATGACGCCATGGAGCGAACCTGGAGACGATGCATTGTCGAGCAATGAAAGGGATGGCGAGGAGGGAGAAGAGTGAATGAGTTGCTCCACTGCGAGCGCAAACAACTGTCGTAGGGATGGACCAGGTAGCGCCGTCACGGCCCGCTGAACTTGGCTCTCGATGGCATTGCCAAGCGCCATCTCCACCTAGGACGGAAGATCGAATTGATCCGACAGAAGAAATTGCATCAATTTTCCTTAATATTTTATGCATTTTGCCATACTTTTTTTTCAAAGAACCCAGCGGGAATGCATGTCAAGGCGGTTTGCCGTGATCAACATTGCTGCCATTGTCCATGTTTTGGAAAACGAATAAGGAGCCGAAGAAGGCTTCGCGGACGACGGCACCTGCGAAGAAAAGCGTCGGCGGTGGCGACGACGGTGTGAATGAATCGTGGCAATGAATGGAGCGCTCACGCTAGTGTGTGGTAGATTTCGACTTGTCCCAATTTGGAATCAAACCAGTCAGCGACAAGGATGTCGAAGCTGAAATGGCCAAAATGATGGCCGAGATGTCGAGCCGGAAGGGGGAAGCTGGAGACCTCGATGACTCGGACGATGAGACAGAACTTATGCGCCAGATTCAACAAATCGGTGCGGACGTTCCATCGACCGCTTTTTCATCCATGCTGTCCGGCAGCGCAAGCGATGTCGACGACGACGGCGAACTCAGCGATTCGTGCTTGGACGATCCGCATCTCCAAGCAGAGCTGCAAGGAATACTTGGGGCAGGTAAGAAGAGCGCATCGTTCCGTGGAGACGAGCGCGTCCGCCTGCAGAAACTTGCCGAGACAGAGAAGCAAAACGCGATCAATCTCAAGCGGGCAGGACAAATCCAGGCCGCCCTTGAAGCGATGCGAGCCATGAGAGCGTACGAAGCACAAATTGAAGCTCTGGATCAGTCAGTGCCTGTTCAGACAATTCCCGCGCGGCGTTCGATCGCGATGACCACCGCCACCAACGCCCCCTCCCTCGTCGATGACGACGACCCCGATCATCACAACATCGAAGTGACCGACGATGACCTGAACAATCCTGAATTCGACGCTATGCTGCATGGAGGCAACGCAAAGACCAAGGCGGCGCAAGTTGTTGAAAGTGTCGATGCCGTGACGGTCGAGAGTGTCCAGGCTAAGATTCTGGCGTTGAAACAGAGCGCCATCGAGTTGAAAAACCAAAACAAGATTCCTCAGGCGTTGACAGCTCTCAAAGAGGCTCGGGCGCTGGAGCCGACGCTCGTAAAACTATTGCAGCGACCACAACAAGGTGAAGCTCTGTCCGTCGAAGTATTGGCCATGGACAGCTCGCCATCCCAAGCCAAGTCCGCAGCCGAAGCAATACTAGCCGACGCGAGCGCAGATCACCGCGCCAAGGACATTCCTGTTGCCATGAGCGACTCGGATGACGAAGACATGGACATGGACGTGACGGACGACGACCTGAACAACCCCGAGTTTGATGCCATGCTGAGTGGAGAAGCCTCGGCAAAACTATCCTCCAAGGCAGACGCACAACCGCCGTCGAGATCGTCCGTGGCGGGGGGTGCCGTGGTTCTTATGGAAAGGCACACGCACCACGTCATGGAAATGCAAGTCACCAACTGCAGTCCTGAAGAGCTGGCTGCACGCGGCGGTGGAGGAGCGACGGAAACGGAGCCGAGCAGCGTTGGACTGGCAACCACGCCAGCATGTACCCACAATCTTCCTTCGTCCGAGGGCGATGCCGCGCCACCGTCCGGTGGCCTGGTAGGCCTCGATACCGAGTCCGCCATGCAGGCAGATGTTCTCGCTCAAGACGGTGCGGAAAGTCGTCCGGACTCTCGACCACGCACGTCTTCGTCGCAGTTGATTGACGAATTTGACGACGACGATGAATTCTTTGACGCCGTGGTGATTCCGCCGAATGTTTCCCTGCAAGATCAACTAAATGCCGCGAAAGCCGCTGCAATTGCTCTCAAGAAACAAGGCAACATTCAGGCGGCGTTGATTCAGCTGCGACTCGTCAAGGAGATCGAGGCAAAGCTCGTGCTGGAAACCACGCCGGCCGGACCGACGCCTCAAGAACTGTACGAGCAGCGGCAACGCGCGTTGGCATATGAAGCTATTGAGAAGCAACTTGTGGACTATGGCAACAAGTGTCGCGCTGAAGCCACCCGCCTGGTCTCCATCGACCGCAGTCGGGCCCAAGGCCAGTTGGACCTCCACAAAAGGTACGTGGCGGCGTTGGAGACGCTGCGGGCGGCCCGCGGGAACCCCCTTCAGCCCCCGCCCACAACGCACATCGAGGAACACGTCGATATTTTGGAACACGTAAACGTGGATGTACCGCTGGACCGAATCGAGATCAGCGTGCTTCAAATGCGCTCCACGGCAGTCGCGACGGCGTCCAAGGACTTGTTTGTCAAGCTCGGCTTAAACGTGCCGTCCCAAAACCCACACGAACTCACTACATCCACCGTGCGGGGCACCGGGTCCGGTTTGTACTCGTACAATGCAGTGGGAGTGTTTCCGATCCAGCGAAATCGCGGGCTGCTAAAGCTGGTCGAGCTGCGCAAGGCCCAAGTCGAGGTGTTCACCGCTCCTGGGTTCTTCTCAGCACCGCAGTCAGTTGGCAAGGCAACGGTGCCGCTCAGCCCCCTGCTCAGCTCGAGTGAGATTCAATGCTGGCTACCGCTCATGGTCAGTCGGCGGCCCTGCGGTTTGGACGTGCAGGTACGCGGGGACATGACCTACGTGTTTTGGATGTACGGAGGATTCGGAGCATGGAAGCGCGATGCGATTCATTGAGACCATGGCAGAGTTCACATGTGTGGTAGATCCGCATTCGGCTCCACGTACCCCTTCGAGACAAGGAATTTCGGCCGGTCAAGTCGTATGTGTTTGTGGTGGATGCGTACCCGCCGCCGTTGGCCCCAGCGATGACGACACCCGTGCAGCAACGACCGGTGGCGGCTCCAAAAACGCGTGTAAACGCCCCAGCAAATCAAGCACCACCACCCGACACCGCATCGATTCCCACTGCTTCATCACAGCATGCGCCACCAGCACCCTCCGTCAAGCCCCGCCCGGCGGACTCGATGAGCGATGACGACGATCCCCATGGAGTCGACAAGATCGTGAGCTACGACGTGATTTGCGAAGAGGTTCCACGACTCGCTTTCAACACGATGGACATCTCATTTGAATGTGTGCAGGTGGCGAAGCTGGAGGAAAAGATCAAGAGTGGGGCGGCCAGCGCTGAATTTACAGATCGACTCGATTCGTTGGCGCTGAAGAAACAGGTACGGATGCGCTGGGTGGTCGGGTGGTGGCTGACGATGGACCAACTCTAGCTGTTGGAGATTGATATTCAAACGGGCAAGTTGACGGAAGCCGCGTACGTCGACATGTTGAAAGCGCGCATTGCGTCGGACATGGCGTTGGCCCGGTCGCTGCATCAACGAGGTGCGTCGAGTTCGAGCAGTCGGGTTGGTTTTGACTGGACCTGGCGCTCACCGCACGTGAAAAGGACGCAAACTTGATGGCGCGAGAGTGCTCCATCGTGTCAAGGTCATGCAGCAAGAAATCGCATCGGCGACAGCTCCGCCATCGTAGCATCCCTTCGCAGGTGCAAGGAGCATGAACGATCGCCTAGCTACACCCAGCCATGCATGACTTGGCGCGTTCATGCCGTAGTCCAGTGTTTGCGCCCGTTTAATTGCAACGCAATAGAGAAAAGTGGTGCAATGCCGGAATCGGCGACGCGACGTGAATCGACCATATATGGGGGAATTTGTTCAGACCTTGGAGTGCGATGGAATCGACGTGTTCGAGACGCCTGTCGAGTGTGATTTCCACCCAAGCCCTCTGCCACTCCTTAACACAGCTAGGAGACCACCTGCCCTCCGTCGTCCAGTCGACGACACGCATCATCCCCTCCTCGTCGGCTCCAGTGCTGCAGAGGCGCCGACCAATCAAATTCGAGGATTTGGGATCTTTTGGTGCCTTTTCGCAAACGACCAACATTCTGTCGTCCCCGCGCGAAGGCCATGGCCGAGGCGAAGCAACCGTTCGAAGACAAGTACTTGGATCTGAAGGACGAGAACATTGCGTTGAAGAAGAAGAAGAATGAGCAGGAGGACACGATCAAGAGGTGTGCGCGTGCATCCTGCGATGGTTGACCTGATCGACGATGTATCATGCGATAGGATGTACACAAAACTGGCGATGCTCGAAGAGACCCTCAAGCGAAAGGAAAAGGACCAAGTGCCGGAAGCCGATTCCCCAGGTATACCCGTGCGTGGCTTTCATGCACTTTAGGCACAACGCACTCATGCACATGTGTGTCGGTTGGCAGGCAAAGGTGGCACGGGTGGCATGTCGTGCAAAAGGGACATGGAAACGGAGCGGTTCATCCACGAACTGCGGCGTGAAAATGCAGCGTTGCGGCGCAAGACGCAAGCCATGGCAGAGTCCACTCGTTATGGGCTACAAAGGGAAAGGCAAAAGGCGGCCGCGGTTCACCACCTGAAAAAGAAATCTCCCTTGCCAGCAGCAACGAAGCCGTCGCCATCTCACGCACACTCGTCCTCGGCCAACGACAACAATAACGGACTTGAGGCGCATTCGTCCATGGCTCGAGCCATGCATCATCATTACGCGTCGTCGGCGGCGTCGTCGCACGGGAAGACCGGGTCGCTCGAAACAGCACTGAAAGCTCGCATGGTGACCGCGGAACGGCAAGTCGTGCAATTGCAGCGCGAAAACGATAACTTGAAGGATGCTCTTGCTGCGCGATCCCATCACGCCCACAACAACAACAGCGACCACGACTCGGTCGAACACTTGCAGCGTGAACTGCGCGATCGCCAGGCACAACTCGTGATTCTAAATGCGCGGTTCGACAATTTAGAGTCCAAAGCGATGGCGGAGCGCGAGATCCAAGAAAAAACGCTCGAGCAAATGGACAATTTCAACCGGGTCATCCATCGGTTGCGCAGCGACCTCCAGGAAGCGCATGTCGTGCGCGACGAGATGGAGAAGAAAGTCGCCAAGGCCAAAGATATGCGCGACGAGCTCGAGATACTGCGGGCGCAGGTGTGGACGCTGTCATTGCGCTCGAAGGCGCGTCATCGATGGATGTGTAGAACCAAAAACTCGAAGACCGCATGACAAACCTGTGCGAAAGTCCTTTCATCAACGACGCATTCCAGCGCAAGGAACGGATCGACAAGCTCGTGGCTCTCGAGTCGCAGACCAAACAGCAGCAACTCAAGATCGACGCGATGCACGCCGACACTCAAAAGCACATGGCGGTCATCCAAGAGCTCCAGACCAACATCCGTCTCGTCAAGCAAGCAAAGGACGCCGCCGACCAGGAGCTGCTTCGAGTCAAGCAACTGCTGGACGAAGAGCGCCTCCAGCTTCGGCAATGGATGCATCAACAGCCAACAAGTTCTCCATTGACGCGACAGCCCAGCATCGACCCGCCTTCGCCGAAGCAACCACCCCAGCGCCAAGCCACGTCGAAAGCCACGAGCCCCATGCACCAGCCGCCGTCCGCATCGGCCACGTCGCAGGATATGCCTGTGCCGATCCAAACCATTCCAGTGCAACGCGCCGCGGCACTGCCGCTCGTCCTGCGGAAAGGCATCGTGGACGACCCGTCCCATACCCCGTTTCTCGAAGGCACGGACGGAGGTCCCCCAGAAAACAAGTGCGTGGCAGGTCTTTGGAACTCTCATGCCGTGCTCATGACTGTTTGGCTGGGTGTAGTGTGTCCTATCTCCGGCACAAAGTGCACACGCTGCAAATTGCCCACCTGTCGTCCACGCAAGAACTGGAGCGTTGTGAAAAGATGCTCCAAGCACAGACAAGCATCAATCGAGAACTGTCGTTCGAGATCGAGGAGCTCGTGACGCGCAAGGATGCGGGCCACACCGCGCTGCGCAAAAAGCTCGACGAGATCGAGTTGGTTGCCGACACACGACTGCGCAAGATCGCCATGCTCGAGGCACAGCTTCGCCAACTCAAGTACATGCGGACATCTCGGAGAAAGCAGCATGGGGCAGACGACAACGACGAGGATTTGTGGTCGGCCTTGGGCGATGGCGAAGACGACGGCCCACCCAAGAGCATCGACGAAAGCACCCTGGACTTGCTGACGGACCCGGCAGTGGACTTGGCCGCTGGTTTGTAAAGTTTGATGCATTCATCCGAGCCATTCACCCATCGACGCTTGACGGTGGTTGTTAGGCGAAAACTTGCTGGAAATTTGGGTCGTCGGCGGCGAGTTCGACCCCAAGCACGTCAACGGCACCGGGTGCACCTTTGTCCTGTGCGACTTTTTCGATTTTGAGTCGCAGTCGACGTCGCTTGTGCTGGGCAACCGTCCCGCATACAACTTTGCCGCGACGTACAAGGCACGTATTTGCACTGTCACGACGTCATGAAGCGCTGACTTGGGTCGCAGATTACAGCGGACGCGTTTTTCCTACGCTACTTGGCGTCCGAGTCCCTCGCCCTCGAAGTCCATCAAGCGGTCAAGGGCGACTTCCACGTCGTCGGACGGACAGCGCTGCGGCTGCATCCGCTCTTGGTCCACTCGACGGGGTCCATCAAAGACACGGCGACGCCTGTCCGCCACATCACGACCAACGCCGTCATGGGCCATTTGCATCTCGTCATTCGCGTCGCCTTGCCACTGACTGAAATCTGGCAGCTGCACTTGCAAGCGTGTCCATCCGATCAAGCGTTCCTTCCCAACGGCAACGTCGCGGCTGCCGACCATGCCGCCCACGCAGCCGCCGTCGACGTCTTGCCCGACGACAGCCCTCTCAACGATTTGCAAGTACGTCAGGCACACACTCGCACGGTTTGATCGGTCGAGTAGGTGTCCATGGTGGCGTGTCGTAAATTGTACACGTCGACTGGAATTCCTCCCAGCGCATACGTGCATTACCAGCTCCTGGGATTCCCCGACGTGTTCACGGACATCGTGCCGTCGTCCGGCGCGCCGACGTTTTCGTCCGAAAATGGCGGCGTCCACTGGTTCACGCTGTCTGTGGATCCGTGCCTCAAACAATTCTTTCGAAAGGTCAAGCTGCGCTGCACAGTCTTTGACGACAACGCCTCCGCCGACAGCTCGTCGTCGGGAGTCCTCGGTGTGTGCGACTTGTCGCTGCGACAGCTCGTGGATGGCGACCCGGTCGACGGATGGTTTGATATCGTGCACGACTCGTCCGGCGCCGTGGTTGGCGAACTGCTTGTCCATTTGGCATGGAAGAATCCGCTCCAGCTCGTGGATAGCGCGGCAGCCCACAGCAACGCACTCACGCAAACGCAGGTGCACGAGCTCATGCAGACGTTCTCGCCACGGCACGACGGCCGCGTCAACTACCGCGCGTTCCTCGTATATGCCCACTCGTCCGTGTTCGCGACAGCGCTCTTTCTTGACACCATCCAATCGATTCGGTCGATGCTGCATGCCGCGGTGGCCGCAGGGCATGAAGTGCCGTCGACGGTCGCGTCGGCTACATCGTCGACGCCGGGCATGGCGAAGGACTCGCTTGCACGCGTCTTCCACGCGTCAGGACTCACGCTGCCCCCCGACCACGTCCAAGTCCTCGTCGATGTCCTTGGGGACGTCAATGGTTTCGTTCACCCCGCCGAGCTGTGGCGGCACATTGACCCAACTCCGTCGTGCCAGGACCGATTTGTCGCCCAAAAATGCCGCGACGTTGTCCGCCAATTTGAAATGCGCGAGCGACAGCCACACAAAGTCAAGGCCCCGTTTGAACGGTACGATCCAACGCACTGCCATCACGTGTCGCGCGCGGAATTCAAGCGCGGCCTGGGCGTACTCGGGTTTGTAATATACGACCCCCACGCCGATGAAGCCAAGGCAGACCTCCTTGGCACGCACAACACGGTCGCCCCGAGCAGCACGCCGGAACAAGGCCCATCGTCTATGGAGAACGAAGCCGACGCTGAAATCCTCAAGCCCATGACGTCGGCTGCAGCGACGACGGAATTCGAACAGCGAAAAGCTGCGTTCACCAAACGCATGAAGCAAGCAGCCGACGCGAGCGGCAAGACGAGCTTTGTCTTGGACGCGCCGACGCTTCCGTCAGCCGCATCAAATCGACCATTGCCACCCAGTCGTGCCGCGCGTGTGATCCAGCAGCGATTCCGCGCATTTATGCAGCAAGGCGTCGCATCGTCAGCGCACGGTCCCGTCGCGGCCACGCCGCCGCCACTCACCGACGGACACGTCCTCCATTCGACCCTTCTCGACGTCGAGGCGTTCCTGGCCAACACGCTCTCCGTCACGGACGATCTCAAGGCCACCCTTGTCCGTGCGTGCCAAGATATGGACGAGACGAAGCGCGGACGCCTCAGTCGAAAGCAAATGACGTTTGTGTTGCGCCCGCTGTGCTTGACGCCGGCGCATCTTCGCACGCTCTTGGATGCATTCCGCGTTGATTCGTCTGGCCGTGGACAGAATCTCGTCATGTATGCGCCGGTGCTACACTTTGTGCTCACAGTCCAGCATATCGTGCCGCCTTTGATCAAGTGGCTCCAGTCGCTCATTCTAGAGGTGCGACTACATGCCACCGTCATTGCTGGATTTGTTTCGTGCGTTTGCTGGAGTGGGTTCAACTCGGCGGTCCCTTGAGGCCGCGGCCGTTCCCTGCGAGAAATAGTGCCGTCCCGCCCAGTTCGTGGACACCCTCACCTCTGCTTATGGACGACGTAGGAGAACGACATTGGCCCCTTTGTGCAGGCCGATAGTAGCGGCACTGGACACGTCCCGTTTCAAGTGTTTGGCGCGTGCTTGCGTCGCAAGTGTCCGCATTTGTCGTCGGCACAAGTGACCTTGATTGCTCAACTCTTCGACTTGTCTGGATTTGGCGTTTGCTATCGCGCGTTCTTGGACTTTATGGCGTCGCAGCCGGTGGCTATCGCGCTGCAAAAGATCAAAGCGTACCTTCGATCGTTGCCGCAGCCGACGAAGCAAGCCATTCAGGTAGGACGTAGCGGTGGACCGTTTGTACAGGGGTCCTCAAACGTGTGGTGCAGGTGGCGCTGGCCCAGGTCCCACTGGACGATGCGCTGACAAAACTCCAGTTGACGACGCTCTGGAAGCATCACAATGTCGAGTTGACACCGGCGGATCAGTCTGTGCTGTGGAATGCGCTTGATCCATCTCGTCTGGGGACAGTGTCCCCCGCGACGTTGTGGACTGTGCTCTTTCAGCCGGCTGCCTCGAATGCCATCACCTCGCCAAGCGCCATGGTACCGCCGCTGGACATGTCGCTCCTGCAGCAGTTGACTTGGAACTCGCGCCGGCATGTCGCCCCCGACTCGGACGCGATCTTGGCGGCGTTTACCAGGTACGACTGGGCGAAAACGGGTGGCATTGGTGTGCCCGAGTTTGCGGCCGTGCTGCAACAGGTTGGATTTGTCCTATCCACCGACGCCTTGCGTCAATTGGCGCGGCACTTTTACAACCACGGGCACGTCCAGTACGTGCGATTCCTCCAGTGGAGTCGCCCGCCCGACGTGGCGTATGCTCAACTTCAAACGCGCCTCCAACACTTTCTTCAACGTGTTGCGGCGACGCACGACATGTCGATGGCCGCCGTGGTAGGTCAATGGCGGCAAGCATTTCCGTCGCCCCCAGTGTCACGACAAGTGTTTGCGTCGGTCGTGGCCCAGCCACCATTAGCCCTCCCGCTCAACGCCGCCGAAGTCCGCGCCGTGCTGTCTCATCTCGACCCCGATTGCCATGACGTCGTCGACGTCGATGCGTTCCTCCGACTGGCCGACAACAACGAAGCAGATCCGTCATGCCGTCCCGCCAACCACGATGACGCCGATACGGCAGTGTTGTCGACGCTGCAAGGTGTGGTGGCCAAAGCCGGCAAGCACGAAGTCCTTCGACTCTTTGAAGCGTACGACGGCACGAAGAAAGGAGTTGTCGAGCCGGCCATTTTTGGCCTCGTGTGGCGCAAGCTCGGCGTCGAATTGAGCCCCGAAGACGTTCACTGGGTCTTTTCCGAGTTTGCCAAGGATGGCCACCAATTGGCATATCGCAAGTTCCTTCGCCACCACTTAAAGGACCATGGCACCGGCAATGCCGCCGACGCCGACAACGACGACATGGCGGCGGCGCGACGTCGTGGTAAACACCGCGCGCTGCTTGTGCAGATGTTGCAAACCGCCGCGACCGACCACCCTGAAGACTACAATGCGTGGCGGCGAGAAGTCGCTTGCCGGACAAAGTCGCGGCCGCACGTTTCCACGGACAAAGCGCTGTCCATCTTGATCAAGAGCCAAGACAATGCCCTTGGTCACCGTGACTTGATCGACATGCACTTGTTCGACAAGTTTATGTACCTGTTTACCAACAACACGAACGAAGAAGCGAGCGGCGATGAACAAGGCGGCCAAGTGTGTGTGGCCATGCTCCTGGCGTGCCTGGACAGCGCCGCGCCGTTGCCGCCACCTCATGCGGTGGCATCGACGACGGAAGCTCCTCCATCCGGTGTAGATTGCACCGCAGTAGAAGACGCAGTCCGCGTGTTGGGACTCGTCCTTTGTCGGTGTGTGGAGCAAGGGAAGGACTACAGGCGCGCCATCGACCGCCACGACGATCCAACGTGGCGTGGCGTTGTGGCCCGCCCTCACCTCAAGTCTAGTCTGTTGGAGCTGGGGTTCAACGTCGTGGACGGCGGCATGCGATTCATTGGGACCCTCCTCGGCGCATTTCGAGACCGGACAGGCCAAGATCACGATGCCATCAACTACATCCACTTGCTCCATGCGGGTCGGCGCGCGGCCAATTTGCCATCCGACCCGTCGGCCGTCGTATGGCAGTTGGACGAAGCTTTTCGCGCCCAGGTCCGGCAAAAGTGCCAAGTGACGTATGGATCGGAGGCGGGGGTCGGCGACGCTTGTGCTCCCCTCGAGCGCGCGTTCAACCACTTTGACCGGGACGACGTTGGTTTCTTGACCATGGAGGCGTTTGTTGCGGGCCTGCACGCGCTGCACTACGACCCGTACGTTGAGGTCACGAAATTTGTGGCCACGTCGCGCGCCGCGCCTTCTCGTGTCTGAGTGTTGTGATGCCTGGTTTAGGTCGGCAGCGGAAGCGCAAGCTCTCTTTGACAGCATGGCAGTGTTCCGCACCGCCACGCCGCCCGTGGTGTCTCGCGTGGAATTTGACGCATTTGTTCTCGACCCGCATCGCGACGACCTCCTCACCCATCTTCACTCGCGAGTTTCGTCCTTCTCGCAGCTCTCCCATGCCCTCGCGGCGGCCGACCCCCGCGGCTCGGGCGAGTTGCCGGTCTCAACGTTTGGAGACGTCTTGGCCGCGCATGGTCTGCGCGTCAGCCGCTCCGACCTCACGCGACTGCAATACTTGTTCGACGTGAACCGGACTGGGACAGTCCTGTCGTACAAATTGTGGCTCCGCGTCGTTGCCCGCGGCATCGGGACAACAGCGAACGGCGCCGACGATACCGATTCCCATGATTCTGTGCTTCACGCCATTCGTCGGACGCTGCAGACGTACTTGGCAAACAACAATGGTGGCGCGACTCCAGCAGGCACAGTAACGACTGCCGCACGAGCGTGTTTGGAAGCCGCCGACACAACCCATTCCGGCGCGCTGGCCGTTGCGGACTTCTACCTCACGATGAAGCACATGGGGTTAGTGCTCGCTCCGGAGCAAGTTCGGGAACTCGTGCTGCGGTACCCTGGCGGCACCGACAAGAGACAAATTGATTACCTGGCGTTGATGGCAGATGCAGCGCCGGCTGAACAGGGGGTGATGGAGCGCGTGATGATGTGCATGGAGGATGCAATTGAGCGCGGCGTCGACGTGCTGGTGCGTGCACTTGGCTCTATCATCGGATGTCCTAGGCTGGAGCTTACTGCATCACTCTTCTTAGACTCGGCTGCGACGGTTGGATGCGACTGGTCATGGAACGCTGACGGCAGCGCAATTCCGAGTGGGTTTGGAAGAATTGGGTGTATCGTTGTGCGATGCCGACATGCCCCAGATCATGGCCGGGTTTGGAGGAGAGGCGGGAAGTGCCGTGGAGCTACGGCATGTGCTGCAGCATGTACGGGTCCAAACAACCAAGGGACTTCTCCGAAAACTGGTCCCGTTGTCGGATGCAGCAACCGATAGACCATCTTCCATGGACAGGACGACCTTTGCGTCGTTTTGCGCGGCACAAGGCATCGCGGCACTGACTGCTTCTCAATGGAAAGTGCTCGAAGAGCAATTTGGGACAACGTCGCAGGACGCTGGTGTCACGATCGATGTTGGGCGGGTTGTGCAGAGTGTGCGGGCAGTGGGGGTGCAAGCCGTGCTCCACCAACTTTGCGAGGGTTTCAAAGCGGTTGGAGCCGTCGCCAAAGATGTCGGACAGGCCTGTCTCGCGCACGATGACGACTACACCGGTCAAATCTCCACGTCGCAGTTCTTTGGCGTGCTGGACAAAGTGATCGGGACACAGGTAGGATGTGGTTATTCTGAGTCCTTGGCGTTTACAGCGGCTCTTGTCCTAGATGTCGCCAAGCGACAGGCGCCTCCTCCACCATGCTCCGTGGATCGTGCTGGATCGCGTCCACTACCGCGACTTTGTTGCGGCCGCCTTCCATGCACACGTGTGAAATGTCCATGAGCCCATCATAGGAAGTGCGCAATTCGGCGAACTTGAGCGGGTCGGACGTGATATAATTGAAATGTCGGCGTCGTATTATTTTTGTTGTGGCATGCTACACTTGATATTTGTATGGGATGGGAGAGAGACGAATTAAAGTTTGCGCGTGGATTAAAAAAACTCGACAACGCGATGGGTTCTAACCAACAATTGCAACTCGACCAATTATTACCCAACGGAGGCGGTCTCACGCAATACACCCTCCTCCGCCATGTCCGACGACGATTCCAAGCCTGTGGTTGCAGCGCACGAAGCAGCCGCTACGACTGCCACTGCCAACACCGTCGATACACAAGCTGATCCCGCTGTGCAGGACGCACCCGTGCCAACTGCGCCAGTAGTCAAGGTACACTTGCAGAGCATGCATGGCCACAGGCGCTCAACTCATCACGTGTTGATAGCATCCGTTGCAACACAAATGGGTGCTCTGGTATGATAACCCAAAGAAGAAGCTGGCGAGCGAGACGTGGGAAGAGAGCTTGAAGGTTGTGTACTCGTTTGACACGGTCGAGGACTTTTGGGGGTGCGGACCATGAGGTGGCGTCGGTGGGCTAACGCGGCCATTTTTGTAGCATGTTTAACAATATCTTGCCGCCCACAAAGCTGCACGTCGGGAGCAACTACCATTTATTCAAAGAAGGCATCCGTCCGATGTGGGAGGATCCGATCAACGCCAAGGGCGGCAAATGGGTGCTGACCAACAACCGCCAGCGCCGCCCCCGCCTCGACGATGCATGGATGAACACGGTAGTCTTGGAACTCTCGGGGGCGGTACTCAATGGAAATGGCCATAGATGCTGGCCCTCATCGGCGAATGCCTCGAAGACGACGACGACTTAAGCGGTGCGGTCGTGTCGGTCCGAAAAACCCAAGACCGCATTGCCGTGTGGACGCAAACGGCCACAAACGAGCAGCTGCAACGAAAGGTCGGTGGCAACTTTCGCAAGGTCCTGGACCTGTCCAAGAACGAAGTTCTCAAGTACCAGAGTCATGCCGACGCGGCTGCCAGTGGGTCGAGCTACCAAAACGATGTGTACGTGTATGTCTGGACGGCTGGCCCTCATGTTTGCGCAGGGTATACGACGCGTAGGCCTTTGTCGACCGGACGCGTGCGGCGACGTCGGCGGTCGCGCAAGGTTAGAATAGGAGATACTGGATTTTGGGGAACAGTCTTGTGCGGGTTTGGCATGTAGATTGATCTGTTGTAATTTACAATTTACCACATAACGACAACAGGGTGGAGTGTGCACTGCAGCGGGACGCCCGCAAGCAGCACACTTGTCATGGCAACCAGCCATCCTGCCGCTCTCCCCGTGGTTAGAGCATGAAACGAAAAGTCGCCCTAGAAGGCTGCGGAGATTGGTTATGGGCCAAGTTAGCACGTGCACAAGTGACAACGGTGCGCCTTCAAGTGGGTCGAGTCGGTCGGTGGTCGACACAAACACGATATCGCCATGTGTGCTTTGAATGCACGAGGGGTGGTGTGGAGACAAGCGGGGGAGATGAAATCGCGTCGAAATGAGACGTTTCTTTACAGGGGTAGATTGGTCGACGAACGTCTCGGACGGGCTTAGTTGAGCGTGAATATCCGCACGGATTCGTCTTCGCTGGCCGTGACAAGGTCTGTTGTGAGACCTTGGCGCACGACAAACTCGGCTCCCAGAATCATTTCCTACGCGATGGTACACATTTGCTCTCCGCATCCACCACCTCGTCTTGGAGGAAAAGCTAGAGCGTACCGTGTGGCCCGTCAATCGCTTCTGCAGCTCGCCGTTGCGAGCGTCCCACACGTGGATCGCTCCATCGGTCGTGACCGTGTACACAAACTAAACCACGACGTCAGGACCACCAGATATGGAGCAACCACGTGCTTACCGGCTCGGTGGGATGCCACAGCAGCTTGATCACGCCAGCTTCATGTCGGCAAATGTGGCGGCACTGCACATGCCGTGTTCATCTCGCCACGTAAGAAGGGAGGTGCCGTACCTGGTACGTGGCCAAGTCCCAAATGCGCAGTTCGCCACCAAGGTCGCCCGTCGCAGCCCAGTTCAAGGTATTGCAAAACCCAGCGCTAAAAATGAACGCCATCTCGTCGTCAAGATTCTTGGACATGCAAGCACTACGCGATGAAGCATGGAGGAGGCCGTACCATTCCACCGAGCTCACGGCGCCGCCTTCGTCGTCCGTGACAGTGCCGCGAGCGGCATCCGACACGCCATGGACAAAAACGGCGAGTTGGCGCTTGCCTTGAAGCTGGAGGAGGCGCGCAGTGCCGTCTTGGGCGCACGAGATCATGACAGGTTGTTTGGGATGGCATACAACGTCGCAGATCGGGCCTTCATGGAACTCCTGTCTGGGAAATTATTCGTTGATTAGACGCGCCTCCATGACAACGACCACCGACAACGCGAAGAACGTACCCTCGAAAGACGTGGTTGCATTCCCCGGTCTTGGGGTTCCACAGCCGGACGGTGGAGTCCGCCGACCCGGTCACAATCATTTTCCCGGATCCCGTGAAGGCGCCGCATGTGACCGAGTCTTCGTGGCCGGCAAACACGTGCATGCACTCGCCGGTCGCGGCAAGCCACATCCACGCCGTACCGTCAGCTGACCCCGCGAGAATCACGTTGCCCTTGTTGTGCCATTTGATCCACTCGATTTCCTGAGAAGGACCGTCCAACGTGTGGACGAGGGCACCCGTCTGAACGACCCAGATCTTGACGACGCCGTCATACCCGCCAGTGGCGGCGTACGTTCCGTCGCAGCTAAAGCCAACTGCTACCACGGAATCTTCGTGACCTTTGAGCACATGCTTCACGGACAAGTCGTCGAGGCTCCAGATGAGACCGACATCGTCCCCGCCACCGCTCAGCACGATGCTCTTGTCCAAAGGGTGTAACGCAAGAGCATACACAGGTCCGGTGTGGCCTCGGAACACCTAGTCCATTTGATCGTTGAAACAACGATGCTGCGTAGTTGTGGATGGGTACCAGGCGAGCGTCATCAACGACTTCTGCCGTGACTTCCGCTTCGTTTTCATCGCCCATGTCCATATCGTCGTCGTCTTCGTCATCTAGCACGGCACCATCGAATCACCTCGGCAAGTGAGGACGACATGCTACGCACCTGGCATGTCGCCCAAGTCGTACTCTTGCGTAACTTCGTCTTCCAAGATCATCTCGTCATCTTCTTCGTTCAAATCAATGTCGCGTGGGGCGTCCATGGTCCTCCCCTCCTGCTGCTGCTTGACGCGGGTCGTTCACGTTTCGACGTCGGCGGCTCCTCCAACGGCGCTCCACCAATCAGCGTCAAGGACGGACTGAATGGACCAACACTCCCACACGAGGCCAAAGAGTGTTCAACGGATGAACTCGCTTAAGTTCGAATGGGGAAATTGCCTGTTTTGTTCGACTGAATACCATCACTCCGTCGCACTCGTTAGGACAAGGAATTGTTCAGTGGATACCAGCACAATGGCAGCCCTTGTCCAGGCACGCTTGCCTTAATTCTGATGATCAATCAAGCGATAGAGCTTGGTTCTCTTTCGAATCGAACTCATTGCGCGTGTGGTAAGCCTCGGTGCTGCATATGGACGACTCGTCTTCGACGCTAGAGTTTGGTACTGGTACAAAATTGTGCATCCCCAAGAGATAGGAATGATGGTTGTTGTACTTTCCGAAGGGAATGGACAGCAATTTGCCAGGATCCAAAAATTGCCTGAATGGTCGCGTTGTCGGGAAGATGGGCTTGATAGGTAACATCGTGGGCCTCCAGGATAAAGGCAAGATCGATGTCGTGGTGGATCGACCGTACTACATGTCTGGGGAGCTCGTAAAGGGCAAGATCCTTGTGGAAGTGACGTCACCGATCCAATGCAATGGTACGCCACAATCCAATCCGCCAATATTTCATCGCATGATCAGCTGGGTGTGGTTAGAGGTCGTGCTGCTCGCGTCTGGCAAAGAAAAGGTCGAGTGGAAGGAGAATGGCACAACCCACACGGGCTGCGTCGAGTTCTTCAAGAAAAAGGTAGCACCCGCAGACACAGCTCCTGCGAATTTCACCGGTTGTAGTCTAGATTGTGCTCTACTGCGTTGAACGAGTGCTGCAACCGAGCACGTACGAGTTTGCCTTCGAGTACCAGCTCCCGGAAAACTTGCCTGGAAGTTTCGACGCAAAGAAGGACAGCGCAGGCATTGTCGCCAAGATAGAATATTCCATGAGTGGCACCGTCATAGTGGACGGTGTCTTTGCCCGCGACTTGATGAAGAAAGCCATCTTGGTGCTGTACACGAGCCGCGTCGGCCAACTCGCCCGGCCGAGCATCGACACGTGTAGACGCAAGGTGACGTATCTGTGTTTTGACCGCGGCACTTGTGCATTCAAAGCAGCCGCGGACAAGACGCTCTACGACACTACTGACACCCCTAACGTACTCTGTCTTCTTACGGGACCTCGCAACTGACTTTCCCTGCCGAACTAGATCCATGTCGACATTCAAAACGGATCGAGCGAAAACGTTCAGCGAATTCAATGCTGTCTCGTGCGCCGAGACGTACTAACGGCATCGGACGGCGCGACCAAAACGTGCCATACAACTTTGTGTGACGTTTCCTTTCCTGGTGTGCCAGCCCATGCTGTCGTGGCCCAAGATCTCCCGTTTGCCTTGACGACGAAAGAGCTGTCTCCATCCACGAAAGGCTCACACATTGAAGTTACCTATGTCATTCACGTTCTCTGCGACCTCCCTCGCACATCGTCCGATATTTTGTTGGTGCTTCCTATTGAAATCTCAACTCCTACGCTCCGCGCGGCCCTGCCTTCCCCATCAACGTCTACGCCGTCCACACAGCCGAGAACGTCGCCGTTGCCATCATCGTCAAAGCCTACAATTGTCATCCCTACCGACGGCACGACGGCCCAGACGCCGATTGTGATGCCCACGAATTGTACGGTCCATGATCTGCCGGAAAGAGGTGCTACCGTTGTACCCCAAGCACCAACAGCAAGTTCGACGCCGCGAGCAACGCGCGCGTCGATGGCGGTTATCCAGCCGGCTCCCCCGCTGCAACCGCCTCTGCAGAGGCCTCCTGTGGTTGTGGCAGTGGCCCCCGCGACAAGTCCTGGCCAAATGCAGCCAATGCAAACGGTGCCATATTCACCCTCCATGCAGCCGCAACAGTTCGGGATGGCAGGGCAAGGTGGAATGATGTGTTTTCCCGCGACGTCGCCTCAAATGATGGCAATGGTTGGTCACACAATGCACATGGTCATGCAACATCCGTCGACGATGGTCCGACTTCCTGGCTACATGGGGCAGCCACAGTTGTCCCCGACGCTGAGCCCCATTCACCCACAGCAACCTGTCGCGATGTGGCCATCTGACAGCGGCATCAACCTCGACAACGTGTCCGTGGACGGTGGCGGACCTGCCGACGTTCATTTTGTCAACTGCACGCCGCTGCCTATGGACTTGGTGTGGGTCGACACAGCTGGCTTGGAGCTCTTCTACGCACGGGTGAACCCGTCGGAGTCGTACATGCAGCCAACTTTTACCAACCACATGTGGAAGGTGGGTCAGTGTGGGCAGGCTATCCTGACGTACCGGGTACGCGTGGGACGCCAGCGCGTCGAAGTCCTGGGACCAGGGCTTGCGAACTATTGTTGATCAAAATTGCAAGTTTGTTACAATTACCACCCACGACGATGTGCCATCATTCATTGAAGCGCCACAGAAGATGGCTACGGCTCGTAGAGCCATGTAAATGGGGCTGCATTCCGTTTTGGCCGACGTTTGAACACGCATATTGCTTTGGCAGGTCGTTCGATAGGACGCGCGCACTCGATTTGCACAACTGCCTGCCAACAATCGAGAACTTGCTTGGTGGATTAGCCATGGCTCACGTCGCCCTTCCTGTCCATTACATGTTGGTCTTCATCATTGATATGCGGTGGACGATACTACGATGGCAATGGGATCGTGGTAGCCTTACTCTGCGCTTTTAAACACTTTGGCGCAGGCGTCGTAGCCAGTGACTGCCATGAGCCTCGCTTCTCCGAATTTTTCCCACTCATTGGGGGACGGCGCTCGATCACCGACGCAATCCAAAGCATGAACGATCGTCACATGGCCCCGTGTGCGATGGCGGAAGAGGAACTCCTCGGGTTCGAACAGGAGGGACATTTGAAACACATCACGAGACATTCGGTAACCCGCGTCCGACACGGCGAGCGCAGAGCATCCGACGACGCGGATCGGGGACTGCGATCGATCGTAGTTGAGTTCACGGATTAGGTGGCATACGTCCTGAATCACGACGTGCGCCATGCGCTCAAACTGCCGCGTCCACTTGGATGATTTTTCGATGTGGTATAAATGCAGGCAGAGTTCGCCCGTGGAGCTCGTCGCCGCATCAAAGATGCCGTCGACCAATGCTGCTTCTTCAATTTCCTTACGGATGAACTTGTTCCACGTTGACGGAAGCAACGGCACGAAGATGCAACAACCAAACGTGTCGTACATCATCCCGAACTGAGCATGATGGGCGAACCACTTTGCAAGCACGGCTGGCGTGAGGGGATTTTCAGTCGGGTACAGCTCGACGTCATTTTTAATCAAGTCTGCGTAGTCAGAGGCTTGGATAGGTCGAGGAAGCGGCGGCCGGCATGTGGAACTGGTGGGTGCCATGGCCGGCAGTGCTGAGGATGATGCCACGACAAGATGATGAATCATTGGATAAAATAAACCAATTCAAGTGCTTGAAAGCGAAGAATTGGCTCTATTTTTAGCCAATCCTAGCTCTGTTATCTTCTGAAGGTCGAACATGTCCGGATATGTATCCGTACTGCCTGTTCACCGCAGAAATCGAATTCGTTGCAGGGGGAGAGAAGCCATGGCGTCCGGAGCGAACTTCTTCCGCGTAAGTTGCCGCTGCATGCGTCGTCCTGACGGCAGGATGTTTTGAGTCTCACGGGATTATTTATGTGCAGGGTACAACTTTGGACCAGGACAGTCGCTTCTTTAACAAGCACAAGAAGTTGCTGGCGAGGATGGAGTTTCCGGCGTGCTTTAAGCACAAGGTAGACATCTCAAAAGTGAACAAGGAAGTAATGCACCAATGGATCACAGAAAAGATCACCCAAGTGCTGGGGTTCGAGGATGAAATTGTCGTGTCCACGGCGATCAATCTCTTGGAACCCACGCATCATTTAGATCCGTTGGATCCAAAAGAAATGCAGGTCGCCCTCACGGGATTCCTCGAAGGTGATGCGTCAAGCTTCATGGAAGAGCTTTGGAACTTGCTGGTCAGTGCTCAAGAGAACCCCACGGGCATTCCGCAAGTGTTTCTCGACAAGAAGAAGAAAGAGATGGAAGCGAAGCGAGAAAAAGACGCCAAGGACCGCGAACGCCTCGCCAAGCGCGTTGAAGCATTTCAGCCAGCTCCGTCCAATGCGAAAACCAGCAGATTCAGCGATCGTCGCCGCGAAGGGACGGAGCGACGTCATCATGGACGCAGTAGCAGCCCACTGTCGCGCTATCGCCGTTCGAATCCTTCGCCCCAACGCCGCCAACGCTCCCCATCTCCCAAGCGAGGTCGCACGAAATCCCGTCGCGATGCTTCTTCATCTCCGGATAAGAAAACCTCATCGGTGAAGTCCAATTCACCCAAACGTCGTAACGATCGCACTCCAAGTACCCCTCGTGCCAAATCAAAAAAGGCACAAGAAGCGTCAAAGTCTCCAAACAAAGTCACGCCCCCGCAGAAGAGCCGCCATCGGCCGTCAAGTCCCCCGCAGACTCCAGTCAGCCGTCGGCCAACGCGGCGCTCCAACACGCCTCCATCCCGACGCCGATCTACTTCCCCTCTCGACTACCAAGGCATCCGACACCGATCGCCGTCACGAGAGCGTGGCGGCCGGCACCGATCGCCGTCGCGAGAGCGTGGAAGCCGATACCGGTCTTCGTCCCGAGAGCGTGGTAGCCGACGTCGCTCACCCTCGCGAGACCGAAAATCGCCCCCTCGCCGACGTCGCCGTAGTCGCACGCCTCCGCGCCGGTCGAGACCATCGAGATCTCCGTCCAAAGATGAGTTTCAGCGCGAGAAACGACCCCGTCGGCAGGACAAAGACGATGACCAAGGCGAAGGCCGCCGGGGACACTAGCTAGTGTCCACAGCCTGACAACGCGGACGGCCGTGCGTGCCGTCGATTGCCCGGCACTGCCGGGTCGACGTTGGTACATCCTAATCGATTGCCGACATGAATTGAACATCGAGGACGTTCTGCATGCTGATGGCGGTACGAGGGTGCCTGTGCGTGGAAGGCAAGAAGGAATCGAAAAGGATGTGCGCCGAGCCGCCGTTCTCAAAGCGGCCCGAACCACAATCGTGTCCCACGTGCGATGGATCGAATGAAGGAGTACGTGCGATTTCCATGAGGATGGCTCCAGTGCTATGGTCGAGTTACACGTCCGACTTCGATGGATCAAATGGCGCCTGGGTGGGCTGCGGGGACATGTACGCCCCAGAGGGGGGCTGCTGCGGGGTCGCACCAGGCGGAGGCAGTTGGTAGGCTCCTGGTGGTGGGGCCGCCACGACGGGGACAAGCGTCGGCGCCCCCAGTGCAATGGGCAAGTGCAGCTCGACGTCGGGGCAAAGGGCGATGTCGCACACGATGTCGATCGTGTAGTTGCACGAGACGAGCGCGGACCGCGTGGACGGGTACATGGCGGTCCCGACGAGTTGAAACGATTGGGGCTGCGATACCGATTGACCGGCTGGCACCCCTGGAAAGTCGGCGTGGCAAATGGTCGTGGTCATTCGGCGTGTCGAGCCCGATGCATGCGCGACGACATGGCGGCGGAGTTCGCACCGCATGACGCGGACGTCGCGGGACGATTGATTCTGTACGTCCACGTGGATCTGGGGGACTTCGCCAGGGCCGTACATGTTTTTGTCCATGACAGCGCGCATCGAACACTGGCCTTGCGCGACGCAGCAAAACAGACGCACGGTTTGGACCTTGCGGTCGGAACTCGGGGCGACGACACCAGCCAGCTGAGCGTACACGGTGAGCTTCTGGCGACTCTTGAGGTCCCTGCTGAAGATGCCGGCCACGTCGACCGATCCTTTGATCGAGTACTCGATCTTGGCTTTGACGCCACTGCCTCCTTGGTTGTCGAAGCAGCCGGGAAGACCAGGCGGGAGTTGGTACTGGAACGGGTAGATGTAGCTGCCGGGAGCGAGCATGTGCTGGACGTTAAAGAGCACCATCTACGCGGCACGAGGGTGCGGTGCGTGATGACATCGCTCGAAGGGCACACGCTACCGATTGCTTGAAGAATTCGCGGCGGTCGGCATACGTTCGAGTCACGGTGCGACTCTCGCCGTTCGACGACTCGGTGTGGCTTTCCGTCCAATGCACTTTTTCCTTTCCACACACCACGAGTACGACGCCTACATGCATGGTTGAGCACGTGCGTCGCCGCGCGTACGTACTGTTGCATTCGATGGGCTCATGGACTTCGACCGACAGGTTGCCCATGATAACGTCGCCAGAAATGTAGTACGGCTTGTCCACGTTGACGCGAATCTTGCCTTTCGTGCCAAGGAATCCCATCTTCCGCTCCCCTCGCCAAGATTTCGATGGCCAAATGGGTTATTTTCGGCGCCGCCCACGATCTGTACTTAACTTGGCGAATTCCATTGTGAAACCAAACAGGAAGTCCGACAAGCGTGCTGCTGACCAAAGCGCGCAGTTCTGCTGCGCAAACGTCGTCAACGGTCGCCTTCGATGCGGGTATTCAGGACGCATGACGCGCGACGGTGGCTATACGTGGCCACCCGACACAGGGCCATGGAGCGACATCACACGGCCGCGTGTTCTTCCATATCTTTCGTGTTGTCATGATGTAACTTCTCAACGGTTCAACCCTTGCAACAATGGGATGAGGGTGGCGGACACATGTGGCAGTGTGGAGATGCGCAAGTAGATACGCCAGCGCTGTGCTGTAGTGACGCCTGGTCTATGTATCGGACGGACTCCAGGTCGGAGGCAGGACATGGTCCGCCACTGACCACCCTATCAGCCCAACACGGTGCTGTCGCGAACACTATCCACAAAAGGCACCATTCCCTGCACTGGAGAGCAGTCCTGGTATACTTCCACGTACTGCGGCTTCCGAGAATGCATCGAACATGCCTCGGGCGACCGTGTTTGGCAAAAGTGCCCCTAGAAAGGAGGTCGTCACCTCTCTCGGTGACGAGTTATTCAATACCAGCGCAGCTCATGGAGCGAATGCGGTTTGGTATCACGTACTGCGGTTCACCAACGTACGGTGCTTTGGTATGCCAGGAGGCGATGAGGGCAGTAGGGCTAGACCTGCATGTGATGCAGGAGAAAGTCGCAGCGCCACTCACGAATGGATCATTGAATCGCATGAATCTATATTTCCTGTTGTTAGGCAACTTGCTTTGCCAGTGGCATGTTATCGGTGGTCAGTTCGGCTTCCTTGGCAAGTGGAACCGCTTCGGCCATTGCAGGCACATACGGTGGTGCGGACGCGGCCGGCGCCACGAGCAGAGTTGGCGCGCCAAGCGCTATAGGGAGCTTGAGCTTTACGTCCGGACACAACGCAAAGTCGCACACGATATCAATGGTGTACGACACTGTGATGAACGACGCCAGTGTGCTGGGGTACATGCCTTCGCCCGTCAGTTGAAACGATTGTGGTTGCGAGATCGACATGCCGGCGGGCACCCCCGGAAACTTTGCCGTGCAGATGGTCTTTGTGAGCACACGGCGCTTCCCCGAGCCCACGACGACCGTCGAGCGGCGGAGATGGCATTTCATGGATCGGATGTCGCGCTTCGAGTGGTTCTGGATGTCGCACTGGATTTGAGGGATCTCTCCTGGGCCATACATATTTTTGTCCATCGCAACACGCAGCGTCGCTTTCCCTTGAGGGATGCAGCACAAGAGCCGCACCGTCTGCACCTTCTGGTCAAAGCTGGGCGCGACGTAGCCGGCCAGTTGCGAGTAGACAGTCAAACACTGCTTCTTCTTGAGATCTCGATTGAAAAATCCGTCGACGCAGACCGCGCCTTTGATGGAGTACTCGATCTTGGCCTTTACTCCTTCCGCGCCATGGTTGTCGAAGCACCCCGGCAGCCCAAACGGGAGTTGATACGCGAACGGGTACACGTATTGACCGGGTGGCAGTGCATGCTGGACGTTGAACAACACGATCTGCGAGAGCGCGGTGTGTGAGGAGGGAACGGCCCAGCGTATGCGCACCTTGTGTTTGAAGAAAGCTCGGCTGTTCGTATACCATCGCTTCTCTGTGCGGCTTTCTCCATGCACTGTGCGGGTGTGATCTTCGGACCACGACACCTTTTCCTTTCCCGCAACGAACACAACTACCTCTACGACGCGAGTCAGCGCTCGAGTGCTCGCACTTTGTCCCGTGGACGACGACGTTACCGGTGCAGTCGATGCTCTTGCGGATGTCGACAAGGAGCGATCCCGAGATCACATCTCCAGACGTGTAGTATGGCTTGTCCACGCGCAATTGGATCGTTCCTTTGCCATGGATGAGGTCATTCACGAAATCCATCGCGGCGGCGGCGGCTGGTTGAATGGTGTTCAATTTGAATGTGAAGAAAGCACACACCAAATGGCAGAGTGGAGTGATGGTAAACACACATTCGGTCGCTGAATCGTCGGGATTGCCTTATCTAGTACCACAAAGTAAAGGTTGCTGACGCGGCGACACAAAGAATAAGCGCCCTTCGGACCCACGGCTGTTTGCGCACAAGGCGCGTTCTCGATCCTACCAGACGATACAATCGGCGCGCCAGCATCGCATGACTTTGGCAAGAAGGTAGACCTCGACGGATACAGCATGTGGAGCATGTATGCAACTCGTGCTACCAAGAACACGCAAGGACCCGTGGGCGACACGATTGTATTCCGTTTCGCTTGGAGACGTCCAAGCTAGGGAAAGCTACACGCGATCACGTGACATGTGGCCGACTCAAGCAGTTTCTTGTTGCGTCAAATTCCATGCCGAAATAGCTGCTCTGGGCGGAGAAAATTCAAGACGTCGAGCAAATCTCCGACACGCAATGTCGCTTCCGCGTGTGGATTTCCATGGGTGCCTTCACAGCACCGTTGGTCCTCTATCTGAAAGTGGCTCTGCTGGAAGCTCGATTCCACCCCTGCGTTCGCGAGCTCAAGGTGCACAGAGTGAGACGCCATCAGCCTTGAAGTTGTGCACAGTCTGGATTGTGAGATTTTGTCAAAATCTTCGTGAATTCAAGTCGAAAGAAGCTTCGTTTTTAAAAAAATACCCAAAATTGGACATAATGAAAAGAAGAAATATTGCTTGGGAGTTCCCGCTGGCGCGAAATAGCGCAACATGGTAACGCTGACAAGCTGCTCGTGGCAACGTTCACCGCCGATCGATAGGGGCGCGCAGAGAAGCGAAAGGCAGTGGTGCGGCATAGCCGGCCGCCATTGCAAGATGTAGGGAGTGACTCGGACGAAGTAGAGTTTTACCCTGCCAAGCGATCCAAACGAACGGACCATTCTCAAGCACACCATACGTCCAGTCAACGATCCGATCCACTGCAAGACGACGAAGAAGACGATTTAAATTTCACCCAGAGAGACACCGCCACAGACCAGCAATTCGCGAGTCAGTCCATGTCCCACGTGTACCAAGACGACGACGATGCCGAGCCTGCTCGAATTGGCAACATGAATCCTAAGGTATGTACGAGGCAGGCTGCATCCTGACTTCGTTCAACGCGTTTGCATCACACTCGAATGTAGACGAAGGAAGACTTGACGGCCAAAACCGTGCGGTATCTGTTGTACAGGGCAAGTTCTCACACTCCCGTCAAGCTCGGGGACTTGACCAAGGAAATCTTCAAAGACCATCGCAATGCTGCCAGGTACGTCGATTCGTTTCTTCGCCTTCGTCTGGAAAAATCGCCGTAGACACTTCCTGGGGGTGGCAGCCAAGAAACTCGAGTCTCTCTTTGGCTACCGCGTTGTCGCGGTGGACGATGCCGCGTTGGGCGACGCTTCATCCAAGAAGGACGTTTTTCTCATCATAAACAACATCCAGGACCAGAAGCACCTGCTCAGGATCAACAAGTGTCATGGCATGAAGGAACGCGGCCTCCTCATGATAATCTTTGGGCTCATCTGGTGCGCGCCACGACGGCTACTGGGGGAAGGTCGAGTTTTCGTGGTCGAGACATTGACCTCATTCCTTCCCATAGATGAACTGTGGAAAAGCTTGAGTCTGCTCGATAGCTCCATCCGAGACAAGCGGAATGCGATCTTTGGGGACATGGTGCCACTCGTCAAGCTGTTTGAGTCGCAACTGTACGTGCGTGACGACCTGGAGGGAACGCGCGCAGGTTTCCTCATGGAATGGTGGCGACAGGTACTTGTCATGCCATTCCGACATTGACAACGATGGAAAGCGCACCAAGAGCTATGGATATGGCCCACGCGCAATGGCTGAAGTTGGCAAGGCGCACATCCTGACTTTTGTCTGCAAAGTACGTCGTGGCATGGTCCGTCGCGAGTGAATGATCAGGACTGTGTTGTAGCTGATCAATGGACGCCATCCGTCTAAAGAACTGCTCGAGGAACTCGAACATGAGGGGAGAATTGCATAGTCGATGGCATGACGGCATGCATTCATATAGGCTCTCTGGAGTAGTAGTCTTCGCCTTAAGTGATCGTTGTTGTACACTGTGAACGGACTCAGAGTGTGAAGCAAGAAGCGTGGGCCACTTGAAGGACCTTGTGGCATTCATTATTCGGTCGTTGACGACAGCGGTGTCAAGTTCTGAACATGTTCACTGAGGCGTCAAGCATTAGAGTCTAAGGAGAACTGGAACACCGATCAACTTTCTCAAGTTTTGGGTGGTGTTTAAAAACACCAGGGGAATGCAGATATGAAAATCCACTCTGGGAGTGCCTGGACACGATTTAACCGCCGAAACCGTACAAAGTGCGGCCTTGGCGCTTCAATGCGTACACGACATCCATGGCCGTGACGGTCTTTCGGCGAGCGTGTTCCGTGTACGTGACCGAGTCGCGGATCACGTTTTCCAAGAAAACCTTGAGCACACCGCGGGTTTCTTCATAAATCAAACCAGAGATACGCTTGACACCACCACGACGAGCGAGACGGCGGATAGCGGGCTTGGTGATACCTTGGATGTTATCGCGAAGGACCTTGCGATGGCGCTTGGCACCGCCCTTTCCGAGACCTTTACCGCCTTTTCCGCGACCAGACATGTTGCTTGAGTTGATGAATTGAAATTCCAAAATGGCAATCGAGGTAGGTGGCGATGGCAGAAGAAGACTACAGCGAATTTGACAAATTCCCCCCGAATATCTCACGCACGGCAGTATATTTGATTGGCTCCCGCCAAAACATTATACTCGATTGGTGGATTTTGCAAAAATCCCGCCAGTTAATGCACAGAAATGAAGCTTACTCCGCATTGATTGGTGGAATATTTTTCTGCCTGAGGTCGGAGCGGTCCTTTTTGAAACGAGTACCTTGATTTTGGAACGCCGTGAAGGCAAGCCGCATTTTTGAAATCTCAACCAACTAGCATGGCTCGCACCAAGCAAACTGCGCGTAAGTCTACCGGCGGCAAGGCGCCCCGTAAGCAATTGGCCACCAAAGCTGCCCGCAAGTCCGCCCCGGCCACCGGTGGTGTAAAGAAGCCCCATCGCTACCGCCCCGGTACGGTCGCGTTGCGTGAGATCCGTCGCTACCAAAAGTCGACGGAACTCTTGATCCGCAAGCTCCCTTTTCAACGCTTGGTGCGTGAAATCGCCCAAGACTTCAAGACCGACTTGCGCTTCCAAGGCTCGGCTGTCTTGGCCTTGCAAGAAGCCGCTGAAGCCTACCTCGTCGGATTGTTCGAAGACACCAACCTGTGCGCCATCCACGCCAAGCGTGTCACGATCATGCCTAAGGACATCCAATTGGCTCGCCGCATCCGTGGTGAACGCTCTTAAATTGACATTAGCCACCATGACCTGGTAGCGTGTCCTCCCCTCTGGTGTTTTTCAACACCACCCAACCGCCGAGGAAATTCTGTCGAGCCTCTCTCCCCCAGTCTTTTACTTATCTGCTCCACTCGCCTCTTGTCATCATGTACTAGTGACTAAGCGCGATGCTGTAGTCCGTTCGAGGCAAACTGTCGTCAGATGGACAACATTGTTTCCGGGTCTCTTCTTGCAAATGGTTCCCTTGGGTTGGCATGGTTCAACGGCAGACAATGGGGACCTTGTCCCTCGTCCAAGACCACGCCGTCGACCAGCACCGCACAACTGTCCCATGCATTGTTGCCAACTGCGATCCATTCCACGTCACGCAACGTGTTGCGCCATCGGAATCGCACAGTCGACAACGATTGTGGAAAGTGTCGTGTCGTAGGTGGCATGTCACTTGATGTCCATCTGGACAACGATGTAGCATCAAGAATTCAAGATGTTGGCATTATCCATTGACGGACGGGCACGTTGCATGGCGATGACGAAGGTTGTGCCAAATGGGACTTCTTCTGCTCTTGGAAAGACCAGTCGTGACGCGAGAGTGCAGCAGCACGCTTACTTCGTCGAGAACGATGACCGAACAGTAGCAGGTCATGGAGAAATCCGGAGTTAGGTGCAATCGCTCGAGCCACCATCGTGACGCGTCGGCAACGTGCTGCATGTGCAACCCACCAAGGTATGGCTTCAGCCGCCCTCTGCCGTCACTCCATCAAAACAGCATGCACTTCACGGGGCAAAAAGGTTGTTCATGGACACCGTGCGCCGACGTTGAACGCAAGGTCCGCCTTGACCCGCGGTTCATCCATGGTAAACCGGTCCACCAACCTCCCGTCACTGAAAGCACTACGTTTTCGTAGGAAGAAACTGGACGAGTGTCGCAAGGTGATCAAAAAGGGTAGGCCTTTTCTGGGGCTGGGCTGTCCGCAGCCACAGGTGAATCGCGATCAAGAGATTTGCCCTACAGAATTTCTTCACCGCTGGCAGTGTCGGCTTCATGAGCTACCATTGCCAGTACCTTGCAATCCCGACGACAAACTACGAAAGTCACTGCGCCCGAATGGCAAGGCCTCGATGCTCATCATGAATACCTACGCAGCTAGATCTTGTCATGCGGAAGAGATGCAAGGACAAAGAGATGGATCGTGTGTCCATGCAGGTTGGTTGGACCCCAGAGCCCGACCTCAACAAAGCCTAGACGCAGACGTCGCTGGGACTCCATCTCGGCAGTTTTGAGGCCGGCAAAGATACAGGATGGCAGCACGAAAGGGTCAACGTGCGATCGTGCAGTAGTTGCGTCCACGCACTCGGGAAGAACGAACGACCTGTCACGTTAAATTAAGTTGGACGAGGTCGCGCCAGGGGCCGTCCACCCTTCTTGGACCGTGTTGGGCTGGCGTGTCATGCACAGCACTCGTTCCCACGTGCGGCCAACAGGGTCCATGCACCGCGGCGAGTTCTTCGTGACGGCCGTGATCGGGAAGAACACGACTCGGTTCGCACTCAGACCAACCGTGAACCCCGTGTACCCAGCCATCGCGCCGTGGACGGCATTCTGGCCCAGCAACATGCAGTACAAACTGTCGGCGGCGTTGGCGGGCACACTGCGAATCATGTACGACGGGTCAATGTACTTGACTGTGGCGACTTTGCCGTTCGTTTTGAAATGGCGGAGCAGTTCGCCCTTCATAAACTCGCCAATCGGGGGCAATTTCTTGTTGCCGCCTACACGTTCGCTTCAGTGACGCTCACTCCACCGCGAGAAAACTTACCAGCATCTACTTGCGCCGACGTCCCGAGCAATTCTTCGCCAGCACCCTCAGCCACGACCACGACAGCGTACCCTTTTTGCTGCACGACGCGCTCGACATGGGCCAAACAACTTCGCGGACCGTCCAACACAATCGGGACTTCGGGGATGCAGCACAAGTCGACGTCGCCGCTGCTAAGGGTGGCGTGAGCTGCAATGAACCCCGCCGAGCGACCCATGAGCTTGACGACCCCAATGCCGTTGGGCACGCACGTTGCTTCAATCATGGCGGACCGAATCGCACGTTGGGCTTCTTCCACAGCCGTGTTGAACCCGAACGACCGATCCAAGAGATCCACGTCGTTATCGATGGTCTTGGGCACGCCGGCGATCGCAATCGGAAGCGACCTCGCGCGGCATTCGTCCGCGATGATGTTGGCCGCTCGGTGCGTTCCATCGCCCCCAATCACATACAACTGGTTGATGCCGTTCGTGGTCAAGAATGACAGGATTTTCTCCACATCGAACCCGCCTCGATTCGACCCCAAAATCGTCCCTCCGTTGTGGTGGATGCCGCCGACGATCGTCGGGTTGAGCATGATCGGTGCTTCCTTCTGCTTCAAGTCCGTCCAGTTGTGGAATCCTTCAAACCCCATGCGAATGCCGTAAATGTCGCGTACGCCGTACAAATTCCACAGCGCCAACGTGATATCGCGAATGACGTTGTTCAAGCCAGGACAGAGCCCACCGCATGTCACAATCGCTGCTTTGACCTTGTTAGGGTCAAAATACAGACTCGCGCGAGGACCAGCGCGGAGGTACGCGCGGGACACGGGTTGTTGTCGGGGGTGTCGTCGAATGTCACCGAGGATCACATCATCTTGAGACATGATGCGGTTGTATGTGGACGTCCGATCATATTCCCGCTCTTCCTTCTTGTCTTGCGTGTCGATGTTGCGCTCGTTGGGGTAAAACGCATTTTCATCGGGAAGCCATTGCGCCAAGTGAGGCACGGGCAGCAGGTACGTGTCGTTAATCATGATGCCTTCCATGTGCGTCATATAGCCAAAACCCTTGGGGTGCTTCGCCATGAAAGGCGGCTGCACTTCCGTGACTTTCGGCAGCTCTCGGTGGGACGGCGACGGCGGCGGAAACTCACCGGGGTCCGAGGATCGCGAGGAAGTCGCCATGAGGATTTGACGGCAAATTTGAATCTGCTCGGATCGCCCAAGAAAATCGGCAACGGGCGGTGTGGACATACGGATAAACATCGCGATATCCGGTGGAATCCTTGGCATGTGCCTCAACGTCTTGAAATTTGACGAAGGAATTCACCGAGGACGGGCTCGACCACATGGACGTCATGCACACCCGACAGCGAGCGGCCGCTGACTCCCTGGTCGCGATGGTGCCGACGCCTGGAGAGAATGAAGGCGCCGCATAGCCAACATCGTAAGAGTCGGAGGGAGGATCTGTTTAATAGTGGGCGACTCTGGGACAGAAACACGTGTGTCTACAGGTGCGCCCTGCACTGGCACATAAATACGCTTTGCGGTGTCGCATGAATGAACGTTCTGTGGCTCCAAGCTCGCATACGTCGCACCAAGCAATTGCTGCGCCATGTGCACCCTTTCGGCGACTCAGCGACTTGGTGGAGAAGGAAAATGCTGGACTTCGTTCTCTCCACATTGCCTTGCTTCTGCGAGTTCCAGCCTTGCAATTCTACGATGTTAGGACCATCAAGTCGGTCGGATTACCGTGCTTTGCTCCTCGAGCATCCACACCTAGCTTAAAAGGGATGCGTGGTAGCTGTCGCATGTATCCACTGCGACCAGGTGATGACCCCATCGCGCTCCGAACCATCCCGCGTCGATCAGGCGCCGTCCTCGTCTCGTACCACGGTGGTATCGCTCGGCCATGCCGTTCCCACATACTCAACCCAGTCGACAAAGTCGACCCTCCGCTACGCGCCACAGTCAATCGCTCTCCAGCTTGCGCGATCCCAACGGTGAGATGGCAATGAACTAGCCGCTGCGAAGTGACAGCGAGGAGCGTGCATCTTGGCGCGCCTCGTGCACCTGTTTACACGATGCGCCTCACCGCTTTTGTGTCAGAAGCTCCTGAGGCGGTGACAAGAAGAGTGTTTTGTTGGTTGGACGCACTTCGGCATGTTACTAGTGGTGACGAGAGATGTTCGGCCCATGAAGCATGGAATGCGAGAGCTTGGGGCGATGTTGATGGCAGGTTTGTGGAGTTTCGTCGCGCTGGCCCAGCATGTAATGTCGAGGTGAAGGTGGCACACGCGAATTTTTCACAGTCCTATTTATGGCGCTGATAACGGAGTCGTGCAGCGTAAGGGAACGGTGCCAACATCGCGACCAGCCACGAGCTCCATCCTGCAGCAGTCGCTTTTGGGCATGTTCGAGGCCTGGACCACAGCTATATGATAGAGTCAACGAGAATGGTTGATTAGCCTGAGGGAATGCGATGCACCCTGGCTATTCGCATGAGCCTCATAGCACAGAATGGCCACGAGGGAGTCAAACGGTCAGTGTCCGTGAGCTGCGACGGGGATGCATGTGTCGGCTCTCTCATCCAAGCACAGTTGAAAAGATGTATCAAGACACCCGCCTGAACTCAACAAATCTATTCATGCGTCAACGTTATCCGATACAGTTCGAGACCGACACCTTCGTCGCCAAGAGATTTCGTCGCCTTGGGAACCGTGCGGTAATGCGTCGCTTGCAGCGCCGTCGCGACTGGCAAATACTCGAGGAACGCATCGATGCCGTCTTCGTGGCGGCGTTCGACTGCGACCAGGACGATGCACGCCGGGTTCCGCTTGCACAGTACATCCATCGTCAGCGCCAGAGCTCGCCACGACTCCCCGTACAGTGGCTGATAAATGCAATCGCAACTTAGCACAATGTCAAATGCGCCATGCTCGTCGCAAAACGCATTGGCGGCATCGACGCCCCAGCTCAAGGCGGATGCGGTCACGCCGCCGTTGGGGAAGTTTCGGCGAATGTTGGTCCGGAGCAATGGGACGAGTTCCGGCTGTTCCGTGAGCACGACGTGCTTGGCGCCAAGGATGCTGGCAACCATTCCTGGGACACCGCTAATATTTGCAGTCGTGTGACTCATCGTTGTTGTCGAAAGAGATGACGTACATGCCCGCGCCAAGCTCGAGAACTCGCAATGAGTCCACTTGCACGTCGTTGAGGACGTGGTTCGCCAGAACGACAGCAGCATCCCACACCAACGTGCCAGCCCACGCGGCTCCGGCAAACAGCGGCGCGAGTTCATCTTCGTCCTACGAGACCGCATGAGTCCGAGCTCGACGATTGCGGGGGTCATGCGTACAAGGACAAGTGTCAAGTCAAGCTGTTTGTCCCGGACGCCAATGCATATCCTTTCTTCGCACACGCGAACGTCGTCGATCGCGACCACGATCGTGTCTGCCATGGCGGCCAGTCGTTCGTGTAAAACCGCGACTTCCAGGGCTCGAACCCGGGCCAAATTGCCAGCTTGTATAAAATACGCAAACCCATGATATCACCGGGTTGAGTGGCGTCAACTTGTCACCGCAGGCTTCTGGCGGGGTAGGGTTCTTTAAGGGAGATGTCACTATTGTGAGGGATCTATCCACGGCATGTGGATGGGGTGCCCGTTTCAAACCAGGAGTGAACATTGTGGGGACTCAGCAAGGGGCCCAACGAGGTTCTTAAAGAGAGGTGCACCGCCTCAGGCTGGTAACAGAGCAGGGAAAAGCTTCCGCTCTTGGTAGTGGAAGGATCGCAACCCAGAATGTCGATGGTCCCTCCCAATGGAATATGGCGTCGTTCGAAAGGAATCTGCAACCACATCTTTTTTCTACTTGGTATGATGCTTTGGGAAGCCCCAAGCGATGGCGTCGTAATGCTGGTCATGCTCCCAGATCGAAAGTTGCGAGGATGGGTGCCGCCGACAAGGACACCATGCTTTTGTCATGGAGTACTCGAGACATCCGTTGTCCACGGCATGCGGACAGTCGTGTCGAGTAGTCCTTGTCCGCGAAGTCAAAATAGCACGGGTGTGCATCTGGAATGCAATCGTGAATGGATAGTGCCCGCCGTCATGCTGGACATGATCAGCCAGCGCGATGCCATCGAGCTGCTTTCATTGCGCAGACGGATAACATCACAGCGCCGTCCGTCTCGGGCACCGCTTGGATTTCTAAATCATGCAAGCCTTTTGCACTGTAAGTGGCACAGCCCGGGATGAATGAGGAATGCCCAAATGCTGTCTTGCCATGGTTGGTCGACAATGACTCGGGGGATGGCATGGGAGGTGGTTGGGCACATGACCAGATCTGGACGTACAACGCATCGATCGCAGTCGCTCCGACGCCCATTTTCAGCATCGAGAGACAAGATGATTTCGTATTACTCGGGGTGAAACTGTTGCGACTCGAGCCCCCTGGTCCGCGCAGTTCATCGTCGGCCACCTCCTGCACGCTAAAGCGGATGGTGCCACACTTCTTCGCAGTGGTACGCCTTGGGAGTGATTTGAATGACGACATGGAGCGGAATGTCAATCGTCGGGCACTCTTCCGGGTGCTTGTTGGTCAAGTACGCGTACAGTACGCGGAGAATTGCTTGATGCGCCACGATGAGCACCGGGCGGTCGAGACGCATGAGCTCCGTGATGACGGGCTCCAAGCGGTGGATCACGTCTTGGTACGACTCGCCACGAGGGTACCGATAGTGCAACTTGTTGGTCTTGCGCGCGCGGTATTCCTCCGGGTACTGCGCCGCAACCTGCTCGTACGTCATGCCGTCGCAAATACCGGCGTCGATCTCGTCCAGCTGCTTCCACTTGACCACGACGCGGCCATGGCTCGCGATGCGCTCCACTGTCTGGCCCGTTCGAGTCATCGTGGACGTCCACACACTCAGCTGCGTGTCGTCGGGGTAATGCGCTTGGATAAACTTGTCGAGCTGCTCGGCGTACTGCACACCCCACGGACTCAACGGCGAGTCGCCGCCAATCAAGCCCTACACCGCCGCCGTTGGTCGACGGTGGGCGGCGTGGCTGTCGTACCTGCGTGTTGTAGACGCTTTCGCCGTGGCGGCTGAGCCAAATCGGCCGCGGTCGGAGTTGCAGGTTGGCCATCAAGAACATGATGCGCGATTGAAGATAGCCGTACACTTGGTTGCAAAAGATCTGCCGGCCAACGTCGATGATCTACATATGCGTTGGGAGGGGTGGTCCATCAGGTTTCATTCCGTGTCATGGAGACGAAAACCTTGATGAACGAGCACCGCTCCGTCTCTTCCAACGGCATGTACACGTCGCGGTAGTGCTCAATGCGTTGATGGTAGTCTTCCACGACTTGGTCGAGCGTGAAGTGCGCGTAGTCGTACGAGTTGAGCTTCATCTCGTTGATGGAGATGGCAATGAGCTCCGGGTCGTCGCAGATCGACTCGATAAAGAGCAGCTCGTACTTGAACGGCCGCGCCGCCGCCGCTTCGCGGATTTCTTTGCGTCGCTACAGCGCATGATGTCAACGGAAATGATTCCTTGCACCGATGGCATTTGATCTCCAACGCATCCTCCCTTCACGAAAATCTCCCACGCCACGCATGTTGACACGCAAACTGTCGCACGAAAGCGATGCAAACTCACCGCAACACTAGCGTTCGTCGCATCAAACACAGCGCACGTGCACGTGTCGTTGGCCAGGGCGTCCAGCGCATCTTTCAAGCACGCCACGCCAATCTACGTATATAGATGAAGCCGCCGAGTCCGCCATGTCGACGCACCTCGGCGCGCTTCTGCGAGTCGGACGTGTTGTCAGGGTCCCAAAAGTGGTGCGTCACTTCTGCCTTGACGATCGTGCGGCGGTACTCGCTCACGTTAAACACCTTGGTCGCGTGGCCCATCCAAGTCAGCTAGACACGAACGATCAGAGTCGACGGTCGCTCGGTTGGGACGATACATGTCTGGCGAGAATGTGGCCGAGAAAGGTCTTGCCGCGGCCGGGCAGTCCCACGAGAACAATGAGAAGCTTCCCACTGCGCTGCTGCGATTCGTTCGCCATCGAAACCGGGTACGACAGTGTCGATCGATGGCCGCCGTCCTGCCATCACGTTCATGTCACTCGGATATACCATCGCGCGGTACCTGTTGCCGCATCTGGTGCTCTTGAGTGACCAAATCCCCACCAAAGTGCTAGCCGTCGGTCGTCAGTGCCGACAAATCGATGCGACATGCCGAAATGGCTACAACAGCTTATGATGTACCTCTGTGCGCGCCGCCAGAAGGATGCTCGTCTGGCTGAACTCGCGGTGAGAGACGGAAAGCCGCTTTGGCGCGGGTTGAACGATAGTTGCGCGGCTTTCGAGACCAGCGTCGAGCGCCTTGAGAGATTCCTCGCTCTTGGACCGCGTCATCGACCCTCCAGACGGCGTGCGCGTGCGACCAGCCTCGGCAGTCTCATCGAGTCCGTACTCCGCATTGTCCGGCTTGATGATCGACTACAGCAACGCGTCCATTTGAGATAGAGGCATCGAAGACTCTTACATACGTCGCGCTTGATGAGAGCCGGCGGCATCTTCTTGAGTTCAGATCGCGGTTTGATACGGGGAGATTGCTGCACGATCGCGTCGGTGGCCGGGGTGCTGGGGAAGGCATGCTTTCCCGACAGACGACGAATCGTCGGGGGCAGCGGTCGAAGAACCGGTGGCGTGGTGTTTTTGCGCACTTCAGAGGAAGCAATCGTCGCGGCGGGATTCATCGTTGGAAGTTCGCGGAGATCGGGGCCACGCAGCATGGTTGGAATCGGGACTTGGACGGCGTCGCCCGCCGCAGGAGTGATCGTGATAAAGTTGTTGAGGTTGCCGTACCCGTCTTGGGCAAAGGCGTAATCAGGGTCATACTTCCACGCTTTGTTGTCCACAAAGAATTTGTAGCGGTACAATCCCGCCGCCAGATCCAACGCGATCGAGAACGTGCCATCCGCATGCTTTTCCATCGGGAACTTTTCTCCCCAGCTACAAGACACGGCATGAGACGACAGAAAAGCTGGATAGAAGGCGCGGTGCAGTACTTGTTGAAGGAGCCAGCGATGCTCACGCTGTCACAATGATGGGCCCATCGAAACAGAGCCGCGTACTGAGGTGTTGCCGCCGCCGCCATCTTCGATCGGGTATCACCGCGGCGATATGATGATACAAAAACACGACGGGAGTATCCGGATAATGTAACCGGAACTGTATCCAAATTTCGCAGCACATCATCATCCTGAACCGGCGCGGCAGCGAAGCGGCGGGGATGTGGCACGCGTTGCTTGCGTGTGTCGTTATCCTTGCGCTGCGGACTTCGCATGTCGGCAGCACGATGCAGTTTGACTTAGGCAAGCGGTACGGACTCGGCATCTCGAATCCAAATGCTCCCATGCACGAAGGAGCACTTCGCCAGATTATGAACGGCGTGCGGCAAGAACGTCCAGGTGCGCTCGTCGTCTCGAGTTCAACAAGATAGCCGATGATGACGACGAAATCGACGCTAGATGCGATGTACTTGTTTGGACTCATGCAGTTCTACGGCCACGGCGTCGCCCAAGACAAGGATGCCGGAGTGCGATTCTTCAGGAAAGCCGCGGCAGATCGCCACGTGGACGCGCAATTTGCGCTAGGGCTCTTGCATTACAAAGGTGGTGACGGTAGGCTTGCAACACCCTTTTCTTACGAGTTTGTCACCGCTTGGCTGCCAGGTGTCGTCCAAGACGATTCGATGGCATATTCGTTTCTCAAACCTGCCGCCGACAAAGGTCACGCAGATAGCCAGTGGCTCCTTGGCACGTACGTCTCAACAGGGCATGCCACCGTGCCTACGTTGCTTCAAAACCCGCAGGATGCTTCGCGATGGCCGTGGCCCGAGGTCGTCTGCTGCCGATTCCATGGCGTTTGAGGTAGCGACACCGCTCCACGCAGTCCGTAGTTGCTCACTGCAAGGTTCTGCCGTCAGCTCATTCGAGATTCCGCCGCCCAAGGCAACCCACACGGCCAATTCCACCTCGGTACACGTCGACGCACGTTCGTCGACCAATGTGCTTGGTCATAGGCGTGTACTACGAGTATGGAACCCGCCACGTCGCACAGAATCTCACTGCCGCCGCGCAATTGTACGCGCTGGCTTCCGCTCAGGTGGGGGGTCCCTGCTCTATCCTAGAGACATGTCACAATCGATATCTTTGGGTGCAGCATGTCCCTGATGCTGCATTCTACTTGGGACTCATGCATGCGTACGGTCGTGGAGTCCGCCAGGACGTGGAGCAAGCGGTTGGTCTCTTCAACAAGGTATGTTTACCAACTCAATCTTCCGTTTTCCCATGCGTACTTTGGCGCAGGCGGCGTCAATGCAACATGGGCCCGCCATGTACTACCTCGGACTCATGCACGTCCACGGCGACGGCGGCCTGTCGGTTGACTACACCCGAGGGCTGTACTGGTTTGACATGGCGTTGGCGACGAAAGACAAATCGATTGCAGAGAATGTCCAACACGCCCGCGACGAACTCGCTGCGCTCGTCGCACAAGCGTCAGCCCATCGCGCCGCGGTCTTGGCAGGTCGATGACTTGTGATGGCAGAGACCTCATTACCATGGCGTGACACTCTGTTGAGGATTAAGAACAGGGGAGGTGCTTTCGAACAACCGACAGCATCGCCGTGAGTTCAGCAACGTCTGAGAGCGCAGGGTCGTGAGCGGGCACATGCAAGGACAGCGCCGCCTTGGCACGTGCGAGCGGCGACGCCACAGCGTCCAACTGGCCCGCGTGATACAGCAGCTACGATGAACAACACACGATGGCGGCGTTAGGAAAAATAGCCCTCTTCCACATACAGCATGTCTTCACCAACTTGGCTCGACGCAAGCTGGTACGACCAGGCCAGTCGCGCGTGATCATGAGTAGGAAAGCACACAGCGCATGAAGTACTCGATGACTTGGTCGAGACTTTTTTGCGCTGTGCAATCGTACCTGGGCCGCCTTGAGGTATTCGTGACCCAACTCGGCATCCAGAGGGCTGTAGAGAGCCTCTAGAATCGCAAGCGACTTTAAACTATGCGACGCGGCGCACGTAAAGTTTCCCGCTGTTGCTGCGACTTGCGCGAGGAGGTCGTACGCACGACCGACGAGCACGTGGGCAGCAGGCAACACCGCTTGTCGTTCGTGGAGCACCATTGTTGCCATGTCTTGGATCTACTCACCACGATTGAATGGTTGCAAAATGCCACGCAAGGCGCCATACGCGTGCGAAGTCGCCGGGTGACGTAGCCTGTGCGATGCTGCGGACGATTGTATCTTCGACAGCTTGAGTTCGCTCGACAAAGTTGATGGGAAGTTCGTGGATCGATTGGACATGGGCTGCGCCGCACGCGTCGCACTCGCACCAAAAGAAGTACTGGGCTTGGAGATGGTGGCGGCGCGCGGGACCGTCCATTTTGGCCGCGTGCGGGCCGTACGAAATGCACACCTGTTCGTGTGGTGCAATGTCGCGACTGGTGATCAAGGTCAGCGTGGCATTGTCAAAGCGAACGAATGCATTCGGCGCGCACGAGTGGTTGAACAACGCCATTCGTTTGTACACTCCAACACCGACTCGGACTTGCGAGATCTGGCTCAGCGCATGGTAGGGATCGCTTGCATGGGCCGTCGCCGTGATCGCGAGGACGTTGGTCGGCAACTGGCCAGCAAACGCCAGGAGCATCGAAAGCGTTTTCGCGCTCTCAACGGCATCGAGGTGAACTCGCCAGGGACTCAACACCGCCAACGTGGCGACATAGAGAATTGTGTCGACGGCGGTCGCTGGAGGCATGGACACCAAGTGCGATTGGAGGCCCTCGACGCCGCCAGTGTCTAGTGACTTGGGTCTGCTTTTTCATTGGAACTGTGCGGACGACACCGATGGTCCGGTGTGACGGACAAAGCCTGCAGATTCAGCGGCGGCGTGGCAGGACTCATCTCCGTCAACATGCAGAATCAAAAGGATAGATTGATGCACAGAGGTAGCTACCGCCTTCTGGAGCTGCGTCAGCCATCTGCTGTACGTTGCCGTAGAGCGCCGCACCCGGACGAACAATCGAACGTGGCAACGATGGCGGTCGAGTTCCAGGATCAAGAGGCCAACGGGGAGGTTTCCGTCAGCCGAGGAGCTCACCAAGGCAAAGTAGACGTTGCTGTCGACGAGCATGGATGAGTTGATGGAAGGGGTGTGGCGTCGAAGCGGCGGGAAGTGGACGAAAGCTCGAAAAGCGGCCATGTCGTTGCTCGTCCAGCGCCGAGTGCTACACGCGTTCGAGAGATCCAAGTGCCACGAAAACCAATCGTCCTGGGATCCCATGAGGCTTCGGTTCACCAGACGAAGCAAAACTCGAGAGAGTGCATCCAGCTCGACGCCGTCTGGCAGGAGCATGGAGCACTCCTGGCTGTGACCGGCAATCCACGCGGTCGCCCGACATGCCTCGGTGCAGTAGATGTCGATGTTGCAATAATCGCACGAGAGTGGGTTCGGCGGCGACAAGCGGGCGCACGCAGAGCAGGCGTTCGCAACTCCCACAGCCAGAACGTGAGGCGATTCTGTGAGCAATATTGTCCCAGCTGGGATAGCTTGAGTGGCTAGGACCGATCGACC